TCTGGCTTTAGATTCAGGTTTCCATGTGGTTCTGGTACTTTTGGATCTATCTGCAGCATTCGACAAGATCGATCATGTTATTTTGATCACAAGACTTCACACTTGGGCTGGCATTTCAGGCACAGCCCTGGATTGGTTTATGTCATACTTTTGTAACAGGTCTGCTAGGGTCATGTTGGATGGCTGCTCATACGAGTCACTGCCTCTACGTTGGGGTGTCCCACAAGGTTCAATTCTCGGCCCGTTACTGTTCAACCTCTATATACTGCCCTTAGGAGCCATTTTCAGAAAGCACGCTGTCTCATACCATCTTTACGCTGACGACTGTCAAATCTACTTTTCATTTAAGCCAACTCAATCAACGAAAGTTCTGTCTGATTGTATCCTTGAGGTCAAGCAATGTCTAGCTGACAACTTCCTCCATCTTAATGACTCCAAAACTGACTTAATCGTTTTCAGTCCTAACAGTACCACGGCGACTCATCAACCTGACCTCAACTACAGGTGCTGGCCAGTAAATTAGAATATCATCAAAAGGTTGAAAATATTTCAGTAATTCCATTCAAAACGTGAAACTTGTACATTATATTCATGCAATGCACACAGACCAATGTATTTCCAATGTTCATTACATTTAAATTTGATATTCATAAGTGACAACTAATGAAAACTCCAAATTTGGTATCTCAAAAAATTAGAATATTCTGAAAAGGCTGAATATAGAAGACACCTGCTGCCACTCTAATCAGCTGATTTACTCAAAACACCTGCAAAGGCCTTTAAAAGGTCCCTCAGTCTTGTTTTGAAGGCACCACAATCATGGGGAAGACTTCTGACTTAACAGCTGTCCAAAAGACAATCATTGACACCTTGCACAAGGAGGGCAAGACACAAAAGGTGATTGCTAAAGAAGCTGGCTGTTCGCAGAGCTCTGTGTCCAAGCACATTAACAGACAGGCGAAGGGACGGAAAAAATGTGGTAGAAAAAAGTGTACAAGCTCTAGGGATAACCGCACCCTGCAGAGAATTGTGACGACAAACCCATTCAAAAATGTGGGGGAGATCCACAAAGAGTGGACTGCAGCTGGAGTCAGCGCTTCAAGAACCACCACGAGGAGACTCATGAAAGACATGGGATTCAGGTGTCGCATTCCGTGTGTCAAGCCACTCTTGAACAAGAAACAGCGCAAGAAGCGTCTCGCCTGGGCCAAGGACAAAAAGGACTGGACTGATGCTGAGTGGTCCAAAGTTATGTTTTCTGATGAAAGCAAGTTCTGCATTTCCTTTGGAAATCAAGGACCCAGAGTCTGGAGGAAGAGCGGAGAAGCACAGAATCCACGTTGCATGAGGTCCAGTGTAAAGTTTCCACCGTCAGTGATGGTGTGGGGTGCCATGTCATCTGCCGGTGTTGGCCCACTCTGTTTCCTGAGGTCCAGGGTCAATGCAGCCGTCTACCAGGAAGTTTTAGAGCACTTCATGCTTCCTGCTGCTGACCAACTTTATGGGGATGCAGACTTCACCTTTCAACAGGACTTGGCACCTGCACACAGTGCCAAAACCACCAGCACCTGGTTCAAGGACCATGGTATCCCTGTCCTTGATTGGCCAGCAAACTCGCCTGACCTTAACCCCATAGAAAATCTATGGGGTATTGTGAAGCGGAGGATGCAATACGCTAGACCCAACAATGCAGAGGAGCTGAAGACGACTATCAGAGCAACCTGGGCTCTCATAACACCTGAGCAGTGCCACAGACTGATCGAGTCCATGCCACGCCGCATTACTGCAGTTATTGAGGCAAAAGGAGCCCCGACTAAGTATTGAGTGCTATACATGCACATTCTTTTCATGTTCATTCTTTTCAGTTGGCCAACATTAGAGAAACAAACATTTTTTCATTGGCCTTTAGAATATTCTAATTTTCTGAGATACCAGATTTGATGTTTTCATTGGTTGTCACCTATAAATATCAAAATTAAACGTAATAAACATTGGAAATACATTGGTCTGTGTGCATTGCATGAATATAATGTACAAGTTTCACGTTTTGAATGGAATTACTGAAATATTTTCAACCTTTTGATGATATTCTAATTTACTGGCCAGCACCTGTATCTCTCACCTAATGTATCCTCTGTAATCTCCAACCTTGGAGTAAAAATGGACCAGGCTCTGAAGATGGATGCCCAGGTCAATAACACAGTTAAATCATGTTTTTACCAACTAAGACGCATCTCAAAACTAAAGCACATCTTGAGTGTCCGTCTTTTGAAATCGGTGGTCCACACTTTTATCACTTCAAGGCTGGATTACTCCAACTCCTGCTTATACGGCATCAGTAAAGCAGCTCTTTCTAGACTTCAGCTGGTCCAGAATTCAGCAGCTAGGTTGCTGACTGGAGCTGACAGAAGACAACACATTTCTCCAATTCTGAAATCTCTCCACTGGTTGCCCGTGCAGTTCAGGATAAATTTCAAAATGATGCTTCTCACTTACAAATCCTTGAACCATCAAGCTCCTCCATATCTGTGTGAACTTGTCCATTACTACAACCCGCCGCGTGCTCTCAGGTCTGAAGATAAGCTCCTCCTAGCTGTTCCGAATGCTCGTTTAAAAAGCCGTGGAGAAAGGGCTTTCTCTGTCTGTGCACCGAAGCTGTGGAACACATTACCACTGCTAGTGAGGCAAGCACCAACAGCTAGCATTTTTAAATCACGCCTAAAAACTCACTTCTTCAACCTAGCTTATACAACATAATTATGGACCTCACTTACATCTGCACTGTTTAAAAATGGACTCCACAATTATCGACTTCCGTACTATTGAGGTTCTTTTTAAAATGTTTTTTCTAATTTTTATTCACCCTGTGTCTTATTGATTTTTAGCTGTTATTTTTGGGAATTTTGTTGTATTTCCTTTTATCTTTTATCTGTGTTCGACATGTTTGTATAACGCCGGTTTAATTAACCAACATTTTTAGTGTACAGCGCCTTGTTTGGTTGTAATGCCTCGTGAATGCGCTTTATAAATAAAATTGGATTGGATTGGATTGGAACATTGTGATCAACTGTGTCAAAGGCAGCACTGAGATCTAATAAGAGTAGAACAGACACAAGATTCTTATCTGAGGCCATGAGAATATCATTTGTAACTCTCACTAATGCAGTTTCAGTGCTGTGATACTCTCTAAAACCAGACTGAAATTCCTCAAACAGAGCATTAGTGTTTAAATGCTCACATACTTGGATGGCCACTATTTTCTCCAGGACTTTGGGTAAAAATGGAAGGTTAGATATTGGTCTATAATTCATTGGGTCATCTGGATCCATAGAAGACTTAAGTGAAGGTTTGATTGCAGCAACCTTAAAATCCTGTGGTATATATCCATTCACTAAGGATAGATTGATTATATCTAGAATGGGGGCAGTTACTAAAGGAAATGCTTCTTTAAAGAATTTGGTTGGGATTGGATCCAAAATGCAAGTTGAAGGTTTAGATGAAGCTAATATTTTTGATAACTCTGAAAGCTCAACTAGATCAAAACGGTTCAAGCACAGATGAGGTTCTACAGTCACCTCTGATGCTGCCTCACTTACTGAGGAAGAAGAAATTGCGTTAGGGAGGATGCTAAAGATTTTGTTTCTAATAGAATTAATTTTACTTGTAAAAAAGCCCATGAAGTCATTGCTGCTGAGGGCTAAGGGAATAGATGGCTCAGAGCTATGATTCTGTGTAAGTTTAGCAACTGTACTGATAAGAAATTTAGGATTATGCTTATTCTTCTCAATTAATGCTGAGAAATAAGCAGTTGTAGTTTGTAGAAGCTTATTTTTATAAAGCACAAGACTATTTTTCCAGGATAGGTAGGCCTCCTCATGGTGCGTAGAGCGCATGTTCTCTCCAATTTCCTAGAGTTTTGTTTTAAGATTCGTAAATGAGAATTAAACCAGGGAGCCAACTTCCTGTCCCTAATTACCTTCTTTTTTAAAGGGGCAACATCATCTAATGCCACACGTAAAGAGGAATTAACATGATGAACTAACGCATCAATTTGTGAGGGGCTAGAACAGAAAATATTGCCCTCTGCTACACGCCTCTGAAATGCTGAGGACAGTAAAGATGGAACAGTTCATTTAAAAGATGCAACTGCGTTGTCAGATAGAGACCGACTATAATGAAATCTACTTTCATGTCTCGAGAACTCAGTTATAAAAAACTCAAAGGTTATCAGAAAGTTGTCCGAGAGGACTGGATTATGTGGAAAGATCGTTATTTCCTCACACTCAATGCCATAAGTCAGCACAAGGTCTAATGTATGATGGCAGGAGTGGGTGGAGCTATGTATTCTTTGAGTAAAACCAACTGAGTCTAAGATATTACTAAAGGCTACATTGAGGCAATCATTTTCAATGTCCACATGAATATTAAAATCCCCCACTACAATGACCTTGTCAGTATTTAGCACCAAATCTTATAAAAAATCAGAGATCTGATCCAAAAACTCAGAGTAAGGGCCTGGTGGACGATAAAAAACTACAAACAAGAGTGGTTTTACAGTTTTGCAATCTGGATTAGGAAAACTAAGAATAAGATGTTCGAACGAACTGTAGCTATTAATTGGTAAGGGACTGATTAATAAGTCCGAATGAAAAATGGTTGCTACTCCTCCTCCTCAACCTGTACTTCGAGCAATATGATAATTTAAATAATTTGAAGGAGTCGACTCGTTTAAGCTAACATAGTCCTCTTGCTGCAGCCAGGATTCTGTGAGAGAGAGAGAGCAAAGAGATTTGATTATCACAAATCAAGTCATTAACTAACAAAGTCTTAGAAAAAATGGATCTAATGTTCAACAACCCACATTTAATTTGTCTGGTTCTGCTCAGTTGATTTTGTTCTAATATTTATGAGATTTCCATGATTTGCTTTATTAAGCCTGATATTTCTACACCTCTAACTCTGCGTCCCAAATCACTACTGGTTGTCCCCTCCCCCAACAGGTGCAGATTGGTGTCAGTAACCATGGAAACCAAAATGGTGATGCTGCGAGAACAGGAGCAGCAGTCGTCCCAGATGTCTCACAGCATGCAGCTGTCGTCTCAGAAAAAGAGGTGGACCTTCACTTCCAGGTGCAACAATTTACTGACAAACAGAAGGGTGGGGGTCATCAACATTGGTTTAGTTCCTCGTGAGAATTTTGTCATTTAAAAGATTCAATGTGATGACTTTGTGCATTCACACAATATAAAAATATTAAAATACAGTATATGTATATAAACTTTCAAATAGTCCAACATAGTAAAAACGTTATTGTAAGATGCACTGGGCTCAGTTTATTCAATTCTCCAATAATGCCATTAACTGTGCGGTTGTTTTACATCATGCTTCATTCAAAAGTTTATTCATGACACAAAAGTAGTAAAGATGCTTCATAGTACTAGCCTAAAAATCTAGACAAACCAGCAATAGCAGAGATCTTGCTGTGCAGGTCAGTCTGGCCATGTTCCATTGTTGCCTCAGCAGGTTTACCATTAGCTATCCAATCACAGCGTTTTATGTTTGCAAAGAGACGCTGGGCAGGCTTATCACCAGAGCTGTAACGGACAAAAACTGCAAAGATGGCGTCAGCTCAGAACGCTCGTTAGAAATGGAATTGGCATCAACTTTAGACAATTTAGACTTTGGTTTTTCTTTCAGACAAGAGCAGACAGAGGTAAGTCATTTATTTAGAAAAAGGATGCATATTTTGCTTTTGCTTCAACGGTGAATGGCGGACTGCCCAACTGACTGACGTTTGTTGCTCTGATTGGTCCAATTGCATATTGAAATAGTCTGAAAGACAACCATTGATTCCAGTGGAGCATCTACTCAGAAAAAAACATTCAATAAAGTGTTTCCACCTCATAACTGACCAAAACCTGACTTATTTTATTTGTTTGATTTTAATAAATTTTATTATCTCGGCCAGCCGTGTTCACCCCTTCTGAACACACCCAGCCAATCTCTTAGTCTGAAATGCTTTAGGATAACATTCATCACTCCCACACACACACCAACACCTTAAAGTATCCACTTAGCAGTGGCTGAAGACAGCAAACACTCTGAACCCATGACTCTACTGAGATCCAACATAAATCAGTACTTCTCTCGCCACAGGATCCTCAAGTTAAATTTGCCTTCCTTTACTCAGCCCCCTCAGCTGTCAGTTATTAAATTAGGCTAACCTGTGGGTCAACAATCTCCAAAAAGAGAATAAAGGGATCTGGACCCATCTTTGTCCTCGGGGATGATGGAAATAAGCAATTAGTCCATCAAGCTCAGTGCTGCTTGAACTTGGGTGGCATGCCTATTTCTGGGTAAAAGAATAATAGAAGAGCAGGAGAAAAATGGCAATTATGTGGTAGTTATTTGGAGTTCTCACAGCTTTATCTTCATGTTAAAATTTCAATATGCCCTCTTGACCTGTTTAGATAAAAAACAGTCAACACCTGCAATGACTAATGCAATGGGTTTCAGTTTGCCAGGCAAACATGAATATCAATCACCACAACTCAGATTTTCCTCTTTTTTTGTGTTTCCTCCTGTTTTATCTTCCTGTTAATATTTTGAGGAAGACACAGAACAAGCCACGCGTTAAACGTTTATGTGTCTCGTCCTGTGTGTACATAACTTTGGCTGTGCTTATGCAACACTGCCCAGGCACGGGCAATGCATTATTCAACAATGGAGGCCTCCGAGTTTGCACTCCGAGGAAACCCTAAACAAAGAAAGGAGAAAAAGCAGAAGTGGTTCTCTCAGCACGGTGAAATGGGGAAACCTGGCTGCTTGCAAACAAGAGAAAACGAGAAGTCACGTCAATTTGCATCGCAATTTCTACGAGGGCTTGTTGAAAGCAGTGCCTGGGGCTAGACGCTCATGCAACGGTAGTTGTGTCAGACACACAAACGCACACACACACCTGAGTAAACATACAGTGCTGGAACATAAAGCTGTTATTGTTTTTTTCACTTCAGTACAAGATGGCCGTCCTGTATTGTGTTTACTTCCACTTAATGCAGAATAGACTTTAAAAACAGACCAAAATGTTCCAAAAAGCAGTAAAACATCCTGGTACCTTGTTGTTGCTCTTGTGAAAAGAGTAACGCTCAACAAGCAGGGAGCTGAAAAGTTCGCTGCTCCTGTAACAAAAATGTCTTTCAATCTTCAACAAGTGTGAGTCCTGAAAAGGGGTGGCACGGGAAAAGGTCAGTGCAGTTTTTTGGAGGTGCTCATCACACACGTGCGCACACACACACACACTTTTGTGTTAACACAAATGTAAGTGTATATGTGCTTGACTGAATGTGCTGCTTGTTCCCATGGTAACTAATGAAAGAGATAGCAAAAGCTTACCTCTAATTAATGATTATTTTTGTTAATTACTTAAATGGCCATTGTATTTTTAACATGTTTAGTTTGTGTTCATAAACAACATAATTACACTGTTATCCTGGGAAAATATGAAATTTTTACCTTTTAACACTTGTCTGCTCTAATTAAAGCTGGGTATAACCATCCGTCCGTCCATCTTCCTCCGTTTATCTGGGGTCGGGTCTTGAGGGCAGCAGCAGAAGCAGAAAGACCCAGACTTCCTTCTTCCCAGCCACTAAGGCTTGGAAATCCCTAAACAGAGTCCTTCCAGTGTGTCCAGGGTCTTCATTTACACTAGGTCTCCTCCTAGTTGGACGTGCCCGGAAAACCTCATCAGGGAGGTGTCTAGGATACATCCTAACATCCTCGTCAGCTCAGTAGCCCAGAGGGAGTGTCCCCCTGGGACTGGGAGATCAGAGTTCACATCCCGGTCAGGTCATACCAAAAACTTAATAAAAATGGTACCCATTTCCTCTCTGCTCGACACTCAGCTTTAAGGGGCTGGATTGGGGGTTAAACCACCATATAGTTCCCGAGCGCAGGCGTGTCTGCAGCTCACTGCTCCCCACAGGGATGGGTCAAATGCAGAGGACAATTTAACCACACCACACCAGTGTTTGTGACAACAATGGGACTTTAATCTTTTTTGTTAGCCAGATGCCCAAGCCACTACAACTTGCTGTTCTTGATGTGCAGGAGCAGCGGATCTACACCGAACCCCTCCCAGATGACCGAGCTTCTCATCCTATCTCTAAGGGAGATTCCAGACAACCTCTGGAGAAAACTTATTTTGGCCGCTTTTATCCACAATCTAATTCTTTTGGTCTCTACCGAAAGCTCATGACCAAAGGGCTGGAATGTAGATCGGCGCTTTACCTTTCGACTCAGCTTCCATCACCAAGTCAGACCGGTACAAATTGTAGTGTTAGCAGCGGTGTGCTACCATCATGGTCAGTGCTGGATTTCAGCCGGTTTTAGATGTTTCCATGCTACTGCTAATTCAATTAAAATCAGAGATTGGAAGCTCTTGCAGAACCTGATGATGGTTGAGGAAATAATTCAGCAGTTAGAATCAGGCATGTCTGAGCAGGAACATAACAAAAACTAGGGATGAGCCGGATACTCGTCTGAAACGAGTATCCGGTACGGATAAAGCCTTTTTGATGAGTATGAGCATGAAACGAGAAAAACTCGTAAATATCTGTAATTGTGCTGAAGGAAAATCCTCATTGGGTAACTGACTGTCTTCCTGCTCTGTAATTGGCCAGTCAAGTAGAGCACCCACCCCTCCCTCCACACAAAACTCTGCACCGGGAGCTCTGTCCGCGTCCGGTCCATCCATGCACACACACAGACAGTAACAGATCTCTCTGTCCTTGCTTCACTGCTCACGTTTCTTCAGTACTCCCTATGTTTTCTTCAGTTTGCTTCATTTTAAAGTTACTTTAAAGTTATTTAAAGTAACTTTTTTCGTAACGTACGTGGTGCATTTGACAAGACAGAGCAGAAAATGGCTCGTGCTGCGTCAGTCAATGCCTCCGCTCCGGTCGGGTTTTTTTTCTCTCTCTCTCTCCTCTTCCTCAGGATCCATTCCCTCTTTCCTATTCACTCTCTCTCTCTTTCTTTACATTTTTTAATCAGAATTGTCTATTTTTTGCTCATTTAAAATATATTTAATTATTTTCTAAATTCTTTTTTCTATTTTACATGGTTTGTTTTTGTGAAGCGCCTTGTGATTTTTATCTTGAGATGCGCTACAGAAAATATCTTTTCCTCTCTCTCTCTCTCTTAATTCATGCACTTAAATATTAATGTTCTGATTTTATTGAAAAACTTGTTCTGTAATAGTTCCTTTACTATTGTGATCAAAAACATTCAACATTTACTTTGAGGCTGCTCTGTAAATAGTTTTCAAATAAACAATACATATAGCAACTTCTGATCAGACTTAAAATAATGTATTGATGTAAACCACACCCACTTCTGGTTAAACTACACCCACTTCTGGGTTAGGCCACGCCCGCTCCGAGTACAGATACAGATCATTTAGATGGTTGAACTGATACAGATACAGATAGTGGTGTACTCGCTCATCCCTAACAAAAAAGGTTGCTTGTCCATTAGCACTATAAGACCATTTGTGCATGTGCAGGATGATCTCCAAAAACTGACAATTTCAAAAAATGGATGAAAATTCATCCATTACACAATTGGCTGGTTAAACATTACCAACACAGCTGATCTACATAAAAACCATGAAAACGATGATAATGGTGAACTGTGTTTCATTTTAAAAAGTTTATGGAAACGTGTTTGTATGAAGCTATCAGCTTAGGGTTGATTTTATTAATTTATTTTTGCTTATTTTAATGATAGTAAACCAGTTTGCAGCGGGTTTCAGTTTGACCAACTTTCAGCTCATCAGTTGGGTAGGAACCAATCCCTGCTTCTGTAAATAGAGGCTGTTAAAAAGGCCACCATCAACAGAAGACTTTTCTGCAGAAACCCACTTCAAAAGATCAGAACAATCACTTTAAGAGTTGACACATTTCCACTTCCAGACATGAAGGTTAGGATGACAAAAACAATCAGTGTTGCCCTGAGGAAAATAAAAAAATAAAACAGACATTTTGGCTTTTAACCCATATGTTACCATCTTCATAAGCTCCCAAGTTCCTCCTGATTGCACAGACTCCCTAACGCTTGGTCGGCCACCTTCCGCGTCAAACCCCTGATGCCAAAAGTGCCCTTTTTCGTCACTTATGTACGAAAAGGGGTTTTTCCCTTTTCTGACTGCATATCCCAATGCAGCGTAAAACTGACGCGATGGGATGTCCGCAGCCAGGGCACCAAACAAGCTCGTCGTACCTCACCTTAACCTTATCCTCTTATTTAACCTTCTCCTCACCCCTATCCTAACCTTAACCATCTTGCTAGCCAACACGTTAGTCATGTGTCAGTCGCTCTAAAAGCCGACTCTATGAAGTGAACGGCGGGAGCCGCCTCGTCATTGGTCGGGTTTGGACCGAGGCAACGCGAGGGGGAGGTTTCAACTACCAAGGAGGACGTTAAAAGTAGAGGGTATTTGTAACCTCCCCCTTGCCAGATGGTAAGTTCTAACGTTCCCCTTGGGCGGCAAATACGAAAATGTACTGTCAGAATGCAGTGAGAGTAACGTTTTAGGTAGCAAGAGGGTTAAGGTTACGATGAGGGTGAGGGGAAGGTTATAAATAAGAGGCAAGAAACTCCTGAAGACCCTGCTCTTCAGAGAGCATCTTCTTAACTAGCACCTTGTCTGCACCCGTCCCTCCTCTCTACTGTCCACTCCTTGTTCCCTCCTGTCCATGACTGATGTCAATTTGTTGTTGTTACTATTGTTGTTAGCCTCAAGGGCAAAATGCCAATTATCACTTGTAAGTCGCTTTGGACAAAAGCGTCTGCTAAATACATAAACATAAACATAAACATAAATAGCAAAACGTCAAGGTTTAGGTGCGGTTAAATGAGCTGGTTCAGTGCTGCATCAGCTGACAACCCATTGCGTCAGTTTTACGCTGCATTGGGATGTGCAGTCAGAAAAAGGAAAAAAAACCCTTTTCGCCCATAAGTGACGAAAAGGGCACTTTTGGCGTCAGGGGTTTGACGTGGAGGGTGGCCGACCAAGCGTTAGTTTTTGACGCGCTGGGAGTGAGAATGTGTTGAGACAATAGTTTGTTTGTTTACTGCTGAGGAAAAGAGGAACAGTGACAGAACTGAAACAGCTGATTATGGTTTTGACATTTCACACACGAGTAGAAATAGGTCAAACCGCCTGCTGCGCTACTTGAGTAACTAATTTAGACTTTGCAGATAAGATGCACCCACTGAATTGATCCTTTAAAAAAGGTTACAGTTCACAAACAAGCTCATACCGTCATACGGCATAGAGGGCATTAGTTCTAAAGCTGTTTATGGACACTGCCAGTCTTATTTAATTCAACTCAGTTCCTAGACCTGAGATTTTTGTAAGGACTATTTTTATGCCACATGTTAAAAATGTATCTTTAAAAAAATAAATACATTTTTCAGCTTGGCAAATTTAAATTAAACAGAAAAATTGGACTCAAGCTTCACAATTCATTTGAAATGTTATGAGGAACCAGAACACAGTCACAAACGCTCAAAGGTGGGTTGTTTTTATGTTCAAAACATACAAAACAATTACAATTGGAAAAGTCATAAATATAGATTTATTTTTGCACAAACAACCTTATTTAGACATGGAAGGAAGAGCTTCTGAATATTCAGAGGGAAGACAAAAACAGTGGCACACCAACAGCCTCTGAAGGTCATTCGCTTAAAATATTCTGCTAACTGCTTGTTTAAAATTATTTGGTAGAAAATTTACCATTTTATGCCTTTCAAATTATTATCGAGATACACACACACAAAAAAAGATTTAAAAAGTAAAGTAAAAGGCTTTTTAAATTGGGGAGGCCCATGTGGGGCACTTGTTAATGCATGGGAACTATTTTATTTCATGTGTTTATTATATGAATCATCCTTTCTCTGCATTTTAGTGAATTTCTCTAGTTCCCCATTGTGCCACTACCATTTTTATCTAAATACAGAAATGTTCTGTTGGCTTGGGCTCGCATGCTGCCACTCCAAGCCTCTTGTGGAGAATGTAAAATCAATTTAAACTGAACTCAGTGGAGTGGAACCTGAAATTGCCAATCAGATTCCAAGAGTGGCATCGCTACCCCTGGCCACTCCCTGGACACTTCCCTGGTGCTGAATGGATGCAAAACCAACCGAGTTTCCACTGTGGGAGTTCCAGGACATTTCTAGGAGTGGGGAGGGGGAATATGGTTGCTCAGGGTTCAAGCGAGAAATGGCAGAAAAAGCATTCCTGTCAAGATATGCTCCACCTGAGTCCTGGAGGCCAATCTCAATACTCTCACTGCGCCCTTCGGTCTTCAGCATAGTGCACTTGGAGAAAGTGTGCTGTACGACGTCGAGTGTGTGTGGTACACAAGTGTGCAACAACTGCCAAATTGAGACAGGGAGCATTGCGTTATCGACCGCAACGCATGCCGGAATACTTTTAAAAAAAAACCTGTATTAACAACTTTCAGACAAACAACCAAATTTACATTAATTGCTGCTTTGCCTAAAAGTTTCAGAGCATCAACTAAACCTAAAATGAACTACTTTCATTAGAAAATACATTTTTTCAGAAACGGCACTTGAGCCTTTTCCTCCACAGCAATGGATTGTGGGTAATACCCTTCACCCAAGTCCGCATCGATGTGGACTTAAATGAAGTGTGGCTCAGGAGTGCACATGGGTGTGATCAGCTTCTGCACTTGAGAATAGGGACACCCTACGCACTCGCATCCCTGGTTGGGATCGCACAATTGAAGGGCGCAAGTGTGGAAGTGCGAGTATTGGGATTGGGCCTTGGTTTTATTCTCCCCTCATTACTTGTTTATTGGGCTGACCTGCCTCTTGTTAACCTACCCATGCGTACCTGATTATCCTTGTGTATTTACCTGTTTTATACTTGTCCTTTGTTAGATCAGTGTAGTGTCTTCACTATGATACATTGCTCTCGTTTGTGCCATCCTACCTGCCATTATTCATTAAAGTCATTTTTTACCTGATCTGCCGTTTCCGCCTCCCAGTGCAGCTCCGCCACCAAGTCCACTGCATCGCGACAGTTCCACGCAGCAGATCCGGTAAGGTCAGGAAATCACGGGAGAATTGCAACGCCTTGCGTGATTTTGGCAATTCAGGCAATTACAAGCAAGGAGAAAGATGGCGGCATGTTTGCAAAAAGTTCTGTGGCTTACATAAGTAAAGTGTCCCTGCGTTTCTGGGACTCATCCGGTGGAAAGGCCCAGTCGGTCGTTTTGTCTCCATGCAAATTTAAGTTAAGAAACAGCGATTTTAAAGCAAGATTGAAAGCTGCTTATTTTCTTTTCCTTCCATTCTGCTTCACCAGCAACTTTTCCAACATTACAAACGCTGGTTGCTTCGGGACGTCCGCCAATATAATTTCAAACCAGTCAACATGATTTTACCACAAGTCCCGCCCATCGACACTTCCTGACTATTTCTGAGTTCATACTCCAGTTCAGGTACCAAGTCAGTCCCTGAAATTGCTCTGACAATAGTGCTTTTAGGCGACCTGGTGAAATGGGGACATTCGCCTGCTGCAAAGGTCCAGTAAAATTACTCAAATGCTCTTGTAGTTGAAACCGGCTTATTAATGGGCAGCTAAAATATTTTGCACATACATTTAAAATGTACTTTGCATGAACATCTGCAGAGCCTAAATTTCCTGATCCATGAAGAGCATTCCATCCAAGCCCGCAGAAGTTCCCACCCACCAGAGACAAAACCACCTGGAACTCGGTGAAACACTTTGGGGCTCAGCACACAGCGGCAGCCAGACAAAGAGAATCAGTGTGACAAACAACGGCAATATCATTTTTCAAAGATGGCTTTGTCTCTCATGGATTTTCAGGTCAATAGCGCCTGTTTTGTTTTGCTTGTGTCTTTGTTTATCTTGCTAGTTTTTCACAACAGGAAGAAGAGACAGAAATTATTCTTTAAAGCCCTGTCCTTTATGGGGACTAGCTGGATGTTTGGATGCCGAATCCCCAAAGCTACCAGCTTCATGAATCCTCGTGTTCGTTACATTTGTCCACATTAGGCAGAGCTCATTTTGATGTATGCCCTGGTCCTTCTGCTCAGCCTGGGAATAATAGAGTAGGTGCTGCTTTCTAGTGGCAGAGGAGAACAATGATCTTGTGAATGGATGACATAATGTTCCATAACAGGCAAGCCAATACGCACTCAAAATGTTAAACGAAACACAGCAAAGCTCCTTTCTATTTTATATTTTGCTTGTCATTTTACTGATGTGCAAGATTAATGATAAGATTTTGCCTTCTCTCTTTTCTAACATGCTCGGGACATTGTAGCGACGAGGAAGCCTCCTACACTGGTTTACTTCCCATTATTCCTGCTGATGTCATGTCTGTCAAAGAGACCCTTGGCATGAACAACCTGCCCCCCCACAGGACATGGTGAGACTCTTTTTTTACAGATAATTTCCTGGGCCATTCTGACATCATTAAATCAGAGAAAAATATGTAATTTAATATGTTCAATGGGTTTTGATGTAGTTCTTTTTCTTTTTTTATAGTGGCATAACCACCGATTGTTGAATGTCTTCAGCCTTGCATGAAAAAAGAGACAAACATGATTGAAACAACAAAATACACAAAATGCCTGCATAGCAGCATAATATCTCCATAAACAAGATTCCAACCTCCAGCTGCAGCTCTTTACTCTGGGAAAATTATTTCAGTTTCTCATCTTGGAGGAATCTTTTGTACACGTGAAACTGCTAAATCTGCATGAGTCTCCTCAAACTAAATTGGACTGTATAAGCAAGCTTGCCATTTTTCTCCTGAGGACTTCCTTCCTAGATCTGTGCATGTCATAATGCTCTGCCTCTCCATCAAAAGTGACTACTATGAAACTTCCTTCACACACACACACACACACACACACACACACACACACACACACACACACACACACACACACACATTTAATTTGACATGAGTGGGTCATGCTCCACTGACGCAGGGATCAGTAAATCAGCTGAGAACAAGAGTATTTAAAGTCCTAATAAACAATGGAAATCAGGGATTTTTCTGCACCTCCTTTATCTGTGTGTGAGGGCATCTGGAGCTCTTCGTCTACCATCGTAAGAATGCCACGACACGAACAGGACATCATTTTCCCACTGAGTCATACAGCAGAAGATTTGTATTTGTTGTTTTAGTTTCGTTTAGACAGAGGGGGAAAAATTGGCAATTATAAGTTCCTATCATTTCTATCTTTTTCAAAATCCAGCGATTACTTTTTTCTTTTTAATTTTTATTCACTTATTTAATACTTATTTCTATTTTTCTTCCATTTGAATCATGATATTTTTTATTCATTATTTATTGTGTTTATTATGTTTAGTGTTCTTGTGAAACACCTCGTGATTTTTATCTTGAGAGGCGTTATATCAAAATTATTTCTTGTTCAACTGGGCGACGGTGGCACAGGAGTTAAGTGCTCGCCCCGTAATCAGAAAGTTCTAGGTTTGAGCCCCGCTCAGTCTGTCACTGTTGTTGTGTCCTTTGGCAAGACACTTAACCCACCTTGCCTGCTGCTGGTGGTCGGAGGGACCGGTGGCACCTGTGCGAGACGACGCAGGTGCTGGAATGTTCAATGCTAACGGCTAATGTTGAGTGGTGCTCAATTCAAATTAAGCAAGAAAACCTATACAATCACAAAGAGTTTGGTTAAACTTTACAGACTCCTCAAGGAAAAGAGTGCCTGCAGCTAAAATGCTTCTTTGATGACTCATTTCATAAAAGCTCTAGTGTGTAGGATGTAGTGACATTTGCCAGCAAACATTAAACTAAATGAACTCCTAAATCCTCACAAAGGTGGCCGCAAAAGATTAACAAAGAAAAGAAAAAAAGAAAACCTCGACATCCTTACTTTAGCCAGAGTTCTCATCTGAGCTGCTGTACAAACGTGTGTGTGTGTGTGTGTGTGTGTGTGTGTGTGTGTGTGTGTGTGTGCGTGTGTGTGTGTGTGTGTGTGTGTGTGTGTGTGCGTGTGTGTGTGGCTTTCAATCAAGAGACGGAGGAACCGATGCCTTAATTTAAAAAGGTGAAAAAGAAAATTCTCATCTGAAGTTAAAAATCTAGGCTTCGTCAGACTGAACTCATTTGAATAAACAAGTGATAACATCACAGCTATTTATAATTTTCTTTGTTCCCAGTTACCTCTGCTCTTGGCTGGAGATTCTATAACATTTTCAAACAGGGAAGAACTAAACCAGCAGGCTGGTGGAAATTTAAGGATTCTGACTTTAATATTTAAAATGTAATCACAGAAGCAACATGATCATTAGTGATTGCATCAGAGTTCATATTTTAACAGAAATGACTATAAAGATAATTAAAATTTTAATTAAACTTTACCAGAAATAATTTACCATCCTTTAATGCACCTAAAACAACGTTATGGCTGGCACGTACTGCAGGAGCCTTCCTTTATGGCTCCACCCCACAAGTGTCTTACAATCATGTTGCCAGGACAGGATTACCGCTCAGCTGTCAGAAAGTGGATGTCATATCTAAAAATAAGTCTTAGAATAGAGGTTTAGGTCGCACGAGAACAGAAGCTGGGGGATTAATGTCTCTAGTGACTTGATTTGCTTTGCCAAAATCCCTCTTTTGCCACAAAGGCACCTTGTCCTGTCTGGGTCACATGGAGATTTAATAGCACTTTCACACCAGGAGGCTTAGCAGCAGCTGCTTCTTTCCTGTTCAACAATACAACCTAGGTGTTTAAAAAATAGAAATAAAACAGATTTGACATATTTTGTGGCTTAACTAGAAGGTCTGTGTGAAAAATAACACTAGAAATGACAGTGGTGGACCTAGATAAAGGGTGGCGCATGAGGTTCTGGGGGGGGGGGGCGGGGGGGGGGCGGAGTTTATCATGACAGAAAAAGTTTATTTCAGACGTCATTTCATGCCTTCAAGGTATTTGTGTATGCATCTAAGTAATGTTACCTGAATGCTTTGTTAGCTGTATTTGTACTATTAGTTGTTGTTTTCTTAAACAATTCAAATAAACTTGAATTGAATTGAATTAAATTGAATTGAATTACTGCAGAGGGGATGAAGGACGTGTGGTAGTGTTCTGTTTTACATCTAAAACGTCTCGGTCTGCCTCTGAAGGAGCTGCCCATGGTCTCTACAGTGGAACGCAATGGGTGGGAGGGATTTTTAAGATGAGGGTCATCTTCACCACCAAACTCCATTCAAAAATTTCCTCAACTGAATCCAGAAGGCAGCCCAGAACCGAGCTAGCTTTGTTAGCTAGCTTGTTCAGTCTCTTCCTGTCTCGGTCGGAGTTGCCTGCACCCCAACAGACCACAGCAGAGTAGATCGCAGAGCCAGAGTGATAAAATGATTTCAGCAGATGGGAATAAATATGCAATAGAAAAACTTGCAAGTAATCTTCAATAAGCTTACTTATTTGAAAAATTGAAAAATTAAATAACTTGAATTTGGTTTGCAGTCATCGATAACGGACTGTTGGGGTTATCTGGGTAGCGAACAATTAGTAAGCTTTAACTTACTTTTGGATTCTTCATTAAATTCTGTAAATATGAGAATATTTACTGATTTATTAATTAATTAAGATATTCTTAGACATCTCCGGGGCACCACCCCGTTCTACCAGGGAAAAATTGAATCCAAAACTCTTATCAGTCTTTCTTGAAGTTCGTAGAATCCTTGGAGCAGAGACTTCTCTTCGACACAACAAAGCTACTGGACACAAAAATTTGAATTTCATGACATTTAATAAAAACAATCTGTTAAATGAATAAACAATGAAATAAATAAATGATAACCATGTGATATAACAAGATGGATGTGTTTGCGTGTGATGGAGGATGTATGAATGGGTCCTTTGTTCTCACAAAGGAGTAGAGTGTGTGTGTGTGTGTGTGTGTGTGTGTGTGTGTGTGTGTGCGTGTGTATGGATTCAAAATGGAGTCTTGAATACAAGATGGCTGACCCCTTTGTCTGGCTAATGTGTGGGTGGCAACTTGCACTTTAACTTCCAAGGCACTTAGAATCAGAAGTAACTTAACCTTAAAATCACTCAAAACATTTCAAAGGATCATGAAACAACACAAAAGATTAATCACAAATTAATATCTTTTAGTTTCACCACTTGGCCATAGTAGAAAACATTTAAAGATATTCAAACAATGATAAATAAGCAGTTTATTCTTTCAAAATGACCCGACGGACGTATTTGGGAGCGAAAGAGAAACTCGTCTGGTAATTTGAATCAATAGCGCGGTTTTATTGCTTATTCTGGACTATAGAGGAGACGGGAGAAGAAGGAGAGAGAGAAAGAGATGAGTTTCTGATCACCAGAAGAGCGAGGCGTCCCTCACTCTTTGAGTTGACGGTTCTCCGTGTTTCTCCGCAGTTTGGCGTCGTCCGTCGGTTTGATGCTTTCTCCGTTGTTTGGCGTTCTCCGTGAGTTTGACGGAGTTGCGGATTTCCCTTCACGGTTCTGTGTGTTCTTCCTTTCAGCAGCTAGAGCAGCGAGCGGTTGAACAGACCTGATGGCTTGTAGTTTAGCTTCCAGCGGTTCCGTGAGTTTGACTTGGGCACTTAGAGCTTCCGCGTGCTCAAGGGAGTCAGAGCGTTCGACAAGCGTGTCCTTACCGCCACGTATCCTGGGCAAAAGAACGGAGTTTCTTTGTCTTTGTTGATGATTTATAGCCTGAGTTCGCGGGAAAGCATCCATGAGCTCCCGCCTCCCGCAGAACGTGTTTCTGGTATTAGGCGGTGACATCATCCCAATGCTTCCGTGTGCAAAGCATCATGGGAAATGAAGTTTCTTGGTGCTGATGCGATTATTTGCTTTTCAGAGCAATTTAAGCACAGTCATTTTGGAGAAAATCACTGCATAGTAATTTCCTCATGAGGTCAGACCCTCAACACGGACACATTCAAACCTTCAACACGGACACATTCAAACCTTTCAAGATGAGGCCAAAATTGTCAACTTAAAGGAAGACGAGGCAGTTTTGGCTTACTTTTAGCACCCCCTAGTGTTCCATTTAGTGAAGCCAACAGTGAAACTTATCTCCTTGCTGTGCGTTTGTCTAATTAACATCTTAATCTAACTGCAACTTAATCTAACTGCAAAATGTCTCCTCAGGCTTCATTAGTTTTTACAGGAGTGATTCATCACTAAATCAAATAAATCAGCTGTGTTCATGATCTAAAGCATGCAGCAGGGGCCGGACCAGCGACTCTGAAGTTGCAAGAGCGATATTCTGGCCACAAAGGGCAGTAGGGTTTGAGTGACATTTCAATAACCCTGTAAAGGGTCATTTTAGCGCATACTGGCTCAAGAATATTATTTTGACATATGAAAAGATGCATATCCCTTCAAAAGTCCTTGCAGGCACGAAAAAAACTTTAAAATTATTACATCATTTATTTAAAACATGCAAAAATTAATTTGCGTCCTTTTCTTTTATGCTCAAAAACAGGCCTTGAGTAGGCAGATTATCTGGGGACCAGAAAAAAGACCCCCAGCCCCCATTTTGGGCACACCTGAAATTAACATTTTTCCAATTATATACTTGATGTTTTGTTTTTCTTTAAGCAATTACAGCACTTGTAGTTTCTTATACTTTAATTGTAAAGGTGAATTATGGGAATTTTGAAAGCAAAATAAAAAAGCCATATAAGCACAGAGCCCTCCATAGACGACAGGTGGAAGCTAGCCTTTGGCAATAATCCAACATGTTCAATAACATGTGCTGTCCCAATCAAATAAACATTAAACAGTGGATAAAACACACCTTTATGGTCTCTTTAATGTGAAACTGTCATTGACTTTCAACATTGTCTATAAATGGGGTCAGATTAATTATCAGACATATCAGCGGTACCCTAATGATAAACCAACCCTCCAAAAGACAGCAGCAGAGACGTGGCCCTGCAAGAGCAGCATCTTTAATCATTTCGCTAGTGTCTTCACTCCCAGGCCACCGCCATGACCCTCAATCCTTTCACCCAACAACCCTTTCCTCTCTTTTCTCACCTTCAGATGTATCCACCCACTAAACATTTCAGGCTCTTGATTCATTCCATTTGAAGCCTGGATAAGTACATACAGGATGATTAATTCATGGAGGATGAAAGCAGAAGGTCTGAAACGTGAAAACTGGTGCACCATTATTTTTACTTGTAGATCTGTTTGTTTTGTCTTGAAAAGAATGGAACGTTTCCTCTTGCTCTGGCAAATCTAGCTCCAACCACACACATCTAACAATTCTGCCACCATCTTGCCAACATGCTTTGGGAAAAGATTTAAATTCAGTCGCGGCCATTTTTAAAACATTTCCATTTGGAGCAATAATTAAGCTACGAACCCCGCTCACACTCACCGACTTAATAAGGATTGCAGTAGCTCATCCCTTCAAGGCTGAACATTTCTGAGCCAAAAGAGATTAAAAACACTGACACATACTAAATTAGCCAGTAGCACCACGAGTCTAAAACCGTGTTTCATGCACCTGGGTAAGCATCTACACAAGTGGATTTATTTGCATATTTATTCATCTAGTTGATGCATTTTACTAAATAATTACAACCGTTTGGGGGTCCATTTATGCCCCGGAAGTTGAGGCAAAGAATACTGAAGATTGTGTCTCTTTCTTGTGGCGCTGTGTGTTTACTTGTTTGTGAAGCATGTTCTGGAATAATTAAGCCCCAGGGACTGTCAATCGGAAGATTATCCCGTACGTACGTACGTACGTGTATGCCTTGGAATGAGAGAATACTATTTAAATTGAGCATTTAGAGCCCGTGACCGTGTGTCTTTGAGCATGTTCTAGTCCATGCATATGCATGAATGCACACAGGAGGTGCTTGATTCCATATAATGTGAACAGTGTTTACAACCAGAAATGTGTCACATGACATCTTTGCATTTCCTGCTTCTGTTTTTAAAATCATACTTCTGTGCGCTGAACGAGAAAATAGTCTACGACCCCTATCTTCTGCATTAGCTGCTGAAAGGAAATATGACAGGGAAGCACTCATGACGTGGTATTTGTATAGTGCCTTCTTAGAGTGATACAACCCCCCAAGGTGCTTTACAACACAACCAGTCATCCACCCATGCACACACTGATGAGGATCAATCAAATCAATCAAATCAAAGATACTTTATTGATCCCAGAGGGAAATTAGAGTTTCAGTACACACAATTCAGAGATCAGACATACATGGGCAAGACACATGACAAGAATTGGTGACTGTGGTCATTCACAACCCTGAGTCGCGCTACCTTAATAGAGATAAGAGGGGTTTACATGAGGGTTTGTTCAGGTGGAGGGAATATATATATATATATATATATATATATATATATATATATATATATATATATATATATATATATATATATATAAGATGATGAGCTGCGATGTAGCCACAGCTGCTCTGGGGTGCACTGACAGATGCATGGCCTGCTGTGTACAGGCGCCACAGGTCCCTCTGACCACCACCAGCAGACAAGTGTCTTGTCCAAGGAAACAACAGCCAGGATGGCACCTGCAACCTTCTGATTGCTGGACAACCCGCTCTACTTCCTGAGCTACTGCTGTCCCAGTATTCATGGCGTTCATGGCCTCACCCATCCTGGCTCGCGCCCGCCTACAGGACGGCTTTTAAGAAAAATGTTTGCAGCGAGTAGACAGCGGAGAGTGTCTTGGTGATAGTGACTTTGCAACATGGCTGAATGCGTTCTGTAAGCCAATCAGAAGCGAGGTGTGTGCATATCAATGAGTAATCCTGCTGTTTCCAGCCCACCTCTGCACCAGCAAACGTCTGCATCTCAGAACAAGAACATCATAGCTTTTTTAAAAGAAGGACTTATATGGAGTTGCTTCATACCAGAGAAAACTGCAAATGTATTGAATAAACGAGTAAACCACACCTTTTTACAAGTCAATTCATTTATTCAAGCATACACAATTATGTTGTTGACTTCAAGCCCGTAACTTACTGAGCTATTCGTTTTGATGGTTGACTGACACTTTTCTCTATGTTCAAATTGCAAGTAAATTGCAATATGCAAGCATATTTTTCTTCTTGCAATTTAGTTGCAAAAATGTTTCCTTGTTTTTGCAAATTAATTGCACTCTGAATTCAAATCCACTTTGTTTTTGTTTGCTTTCAGTCACAACTTCATTTCCTACGCCACCACCCCAAAGGGGTCTTACATTCCTGGTTTGTGGAAACTTGGATGGGTGTTAGATGAAGCCAGTATGACTACTTTTGCTCTAAATTCCAGTAACAACACAATATTAGGAAACTTAAGTAGGCATGCATCAGAAACCTGAGGACTGTAGCGTCACGAAATGGCCTGATTTTAAGACTCACAGGTCAGATCCACAGCCTGGGTCACCTTGCCCTGGCTACTACTCCAATCTCCGATAGTCCTTCACAGGAGACTTAAAGTCTACTACCACTCCTTCATCTGCAGCGGTCTGCTTACCTGACTGCTATTTCATCCACAGCAAGATGGGACCAAGTTGCAAACATTTTCAAAAAGCCAAAACTCGACAATTCCAGAAAAAAAAATCAGCAAAAAAATGAGCATTGGCTGCAGGGATCTTATCAAGAATCACCTCTTTTTAATTCACGTTCTTCTCAATGAACTCGTACGCACTGAGGTAGATTCACTATGGAGCTTAGCAACCCAGACACAAAAATGAACTAATGAAAAGCACGCTTTGAATCTCGTTTCTAAACTGTATCATAATATAAGTTGTTAATTATGACATTTTTAAGTAAACGGCACTGATCCATGAGTGTAGAACAAGGTCAGTAAATGAGAGTTGAACAGACACATGTAGAGCAAAGGATGCATCTCATTAGGACTTTGGTATTTTAGCTTTAAAATGTTTAGTTAATTAGTTTTAGTTTAAAATCAGAATAAAGATTATCCATACTTCAGTTGCCATTCATGATTTATTGTAAAATGCAATAAAATGTTTTGACTATTGGAGATAAGCATGTAAATAAATAGATCCAATATCACATTGCTCTCTGCACCATAATCAAGAGCAGAATACATTTCTTCTGACTGAAAGAAATGCCTAAACAAGTTGAAATCTCCATGGCAACAGTGCTGACTGCACCACATTTCTCTGAACTGTCCTCGCAGAAAGCATTCCTGGAGAGCTGAACATTATTGCAAGTGACTTTTGGATAACCACATCACTTCACATTCATGTGAATCTGGACTGAAAGGAGGTTTGATTTTATTCTTGTAAGAGAATAACTCGGGTATTTTGAACACGAGTGAGAATGGAGCTCAAACCAAGAGAGAGAAATGGATAAATTTGCTTTTTATCAATTAAAATGTCAAAAACGATAATCAAAGTTATACTTATCTGCAAATGGATTAGGACCGTATTACATTTCTTTTGTATAATAAGGAACTTTATGATTTGTTGCAAAAAACTGGCTCTAACATTTGCATTGCTCTGCATGTATCACTTGATATTAAAGTCTATATGATGTCTGCTATGTTCGTTTTTATCCACAAATTTTTGTTGATGGACAATCTGCAGTGAAAGCAAAATGAATTGTTTCATTTTTGTCAGGGAAATCATGCAGGAAACGTTGGATGCTGACGCGGACTACCGCAGAGAGAAGTGGACACGGTTTGGAAACGAGGCTGAGAAGTTCGAGCTGGATGTGATCAGGAACCAACGTGTGCTACGCACCCACATCGACAGAAAGGCGCTTCGTGAAGAGGTACGTTTCTCAACTTTTTGTCCTTTTTCATGTACGTCATAGTTTGAACATGACAGTAATTATTTAAATAATTCTCGCCTCTGCCACTTATGAGAAATACTCATCATTCTTTCTTTATTATCCATTTCTACTTGTGGCTCTTTGTTGATCTCTGCTTTAGGCAGAAAGGAAGAAGTCTGCCCACATCCAGTACTTGGAGAAACTGAGTCAGAAGGCTCCAGACTTTGCCATCCCTCTGAGGGCTCACACCGTCTGGGAGGGAATGACGGTGAAACTCTCCTGCAAAGTGCAAGGTCATCCACCCCCAGTGATTACATGGTACACGAACAGCTGACCTTCCTGCCATCTTTTCCTAAGGCTCCTCAAAAAGCTTTGACTAAATTAATACAGTAAGGAGATCTTGGATTGGATAATGGTGCTAATCAAAGCATTGGTTTTGATCACAATGGTAACACTGGTCTTTACGGGTTACCTACTAGTGATGGTTTTATATAAACTGGGCCCAACTGTTGATGAACTGCCTTCTTCAGCAGTGTTCATTTTGACAAGAAACTTTAATTTAGTTTTGGCCTGTTGAATACAATTCTTTCAAATTTTAGTCACTATTTGTTTTAACTTTAGTTTTATTTTAGTCGACTAAAGCATATGTACTGGGTTAGGGCTAGAATAACTTTCTGGTGTGTAACTCCTGCAGTAATTAACAAATATCGACTGGAGATCAGTGAAGAGCATTCATAAGCAACGGTTGCTGTTGCAGATGATAATAAGACACCATGCATTGATGTGAATGACTCTCATTTTTATGTTGTCTGTAGTCTGCAAAACAATAAAGTAATACAAAAACCGGCAAGCAACTCCGTTTCAGCAGATATAATCTTAAATATTTAATATCTGGTTTGGGCAAAGCAGAAACAAATCTTTGTCCAACTGCATTGAAGTACATTTGTGTGAGAAACACATGCTCATGATTATTAGTCTATGATAGCTACCAAAAGAGAAGTCATGACACGTTGCTTCTGACCCTTGAGTAGAATGCTGTACTCTGTATTAATATGAAATAACCTGCATGAATTCAAGCGGCGTGCCAAACTGTTGACCTTGACACTCGAGTTGCTGTGAGACTAGCTGATGAAAGGCCCGAGTGTGCTCAGTATTCATTCAATTCAATTCAAAAATACTTTATTAATCCCAGAGGGTAATTGATTGCTGTAGTAGCTCAGAATAATAATAATAATCAAGTCATCAAAGAGTTATTGTATATTACAATGGCTGTTGGCAGGAAGGATCTCCGGTAGCGGTCAGTGTTGCAGCAAAACTGAAGAAACCTCTGACTGAAGACACTCTTCCGTTGTCGGACAGTCTTGTGAAGAGAATGCTCAGGGTTGTCCATCATTTTCTTGATTCTCTGGAGAATCCTTCTTTGCATTATCTCCTCCAGTGGTTCCACAGTCGTCCCCAGAACAGAACCAGCCTTTTTTATTAGGCAGTTGAGCCTTTTCAGGTCCCTGCTTCTGATGCTGCTACCCCAACATATGATGGCTGAAGAGATTACACTCTCAATAACAGACTTGTAGAAGATCTGCAGCATCTTGCTACAGACATTGAAGGACCTAAGCGTCCTCAAGAAGTGCAGTCTGCTGTGTCCCTTCTTGTAAACGGCTTCGCTGTTCTTTCTCCAGTCCAGTCTGTTGTCCAGGTGAACTCCAAGGTATTTGTATTCCTCAACCACCTCCACTTCTTCTCCCATGATGGAAACAGTGTTTGACTCCACCCTGTTTCTTCTGAGGTCTAAAATCATCTCCTTTGTTTTGTTCACATTCAAGGTCAGATGATTGTTTCCACACCATGCCACAAAGCGCTCCACCAGCTCTCTGTACTCAGCTTCCTGTCCATCTCTGATACACCCGACAACTGCAGAGTCATCTGAGTATTTCTGTAGATGACAGGTCTCTGTACTTTGTACTGGAAGTCTGAGGTGTACAGGGTGAAAAGGAACGGTGAGAGTACAATCCCCTGGGGTGCTCCATTGTTACTGATCGCCTGGTTTGATGTGCAGTTCTTCAGTCTCACAAACTGTGGTCTGTTTGTCAGGTAGTCTTTAATCCAGGCGATAGTTGAGGCCCCCACCTGTGTCTTCTGGAGTTTCTGGCAAAGTACATCAGGCTGAATTGTGTTAAATGCACTGGGGAAATCAAAGAACATGACCCTCACAGTGCTGCCTGCTTTGTCCAGATGACAGTGGATTGGTTGAAGCAGCTGGATGATGGCATCTTCAACTCAAACTCCATGGCGATAAGCAAACTGCAGCGGGTCCTGATATGTCCTTGTTTACTTATTCAGGTGGACCAACAGGAGTCTCTCCAGGACCTTAATGATGTGGGATGTCAGGGCAACTGGTCTGTTGTCGTCATTGACTGATGGGCGAGTTTTCTTTGGAACTGGAACAAGGCAGGATGTCTTCCACAGGACTGGAACCTTCTCCTGGGCCAGGCTGGGGTTGAAGAGGTGCTGCAGAATCCCACAGAGCTGCTCTGCACAGGCCTTCAGTAGCCTGGGGCTGACACTATCTGGACCTGCAGCCTTGTTCCTGTTCAGTCTCTCCAGCTGCCTCTTCACCTGACTTCTAGAGACAGATAGTAGTGGTGGTGGTGGATGGAGGGGGGGGGGGGGGGGGGGGGTAAATGGGGCAGCAGCATCTCTACTTGGTTGAAGACAGATTTATAGAACCAGAAGTGTCCATGACTGCGTTAGAGGACAAAAGAGCTGGCATGTGACAGGAACATTTTGGATCAGAGGAGGATGGGATGTCTGATTGGCTGGGGACAGGCGAGGAGGATACTGGGTTTGTTCCTGAACTGAACCTATTGAAGAACTTGTTCGGATCATTGGCTGTGTCCAGGCTGCCATCTGTGCAATCCTTCCTCTGCTTGAAGCCTGTGATCTTCTTCATCCCTGACCAGACATCTCTGATATTGTTCCTCTGTAGTTTGTTCTCCAGCTTCTTCCTGTATGCCTCCTTGTTTTCTCTGATCTTGATCTTCAGTTGCTTCTGTTTACTCCTCAATAAGTCCCTGTCTCCCTCCTTGAAGGCTCTTTTTTTCTCATTTAGCAGATTCTTCAGTTCACTGGTGATCCAGGTATTATTAGCGAAGCATCTCACTGTCCTGGTGGGTATGATGTGGTCCACACAGAAGGTTATATAGTCAGTGACACATCCAGTCATGGCATTGATGTTCTCTTCATATCCTTGGTAGAGAGTCATCCAATCTGTGGTCTCAAAACAACCCTGCAGGGCTTCTTCAGCATCCTGTGACCATTTTCTCACAGTTCTTCCTGTCACAGGTTGCCTCTGAACAAGTGGTTTTTATTCTGAGCAGAGAAAAACACAATTGTGATCTGATTATCCCAGAGAAGGTCTTGTTTTGGACATGTATGCATTCTTTACATTTGCATAACACAAATCCAATGTCTTGTTTTCTCTGGTGGAGCAGCTGACAGACTGTTGAAATGTTGGAAGTGTAGCAGAGAGCGAGGCATGATTAAATTCACCAGATATAGCCACAAATGCATTGGGGTGCTGGGTTTGTAGCTTAGCGACAACAGAACTGATGGCATCACTTGCACTTTCAGCAATGGCTGAAGGTGGAATTTAAACAGTTGCCAAGATAACACTGGTGAACTCTCTTGGCAAATAAAATGGGTGACAACTTACTGCCAAGAGTTCAACATCTGGAATGCAGAGACAACATTTCACTGAAACATGACCTGGAAGGCACCATCTATTGTTGACAAGCACTGCCACTCCACGTCCTTTTCTTTTCCTGCTCCTCTTCAGATCTCTGTCTGCTCGTACAGTCAGGAATTCTGGCAGAGAGATAGTGGAATAGGGGATATGGTCCTGCAGCCACGTCTCAGTGAAACACATAGCACTGCACTGCCGAAACTCTGGCTGAGTCCTTGATGGGGCTTGAAGTTCATCCATCGTGTTGGCTAGTGATCTCACATTGCCCATTATGATCGATGGAAGAGATGGTTTGAATTTCCTCTTTCTCTGTCTCCATTTTGCTCCCGTTCTGCACCCACACTTCTTGCGTTTTAGCTCATTTGGGATTTGTGGCTTCAGTTGAGGTATTATTTCAGCATTTCCAATGTTAATCAGCTGCTCCCAATTGTCAACCAGCTTGTTGCTGTGGTTACACATCATAACAAATGCTCAAAAAGTGAAAAAAGTGAAACAATTGCAGTAAAAATCCTCCAAGCTTCACAGTACCAGAAACTGAAAAGTAAAATGTCCAAAAAAATACAGTTTTTCTTGAGAAACTAGAAGAAAAAATGTCCAAGAAAAGGCAAAACTTGCATATAGTCAACAGAGCTACTCCAACATGCAGCCACCCAGAGCAGCGCAGTTCCGAAATGACAGCTGAGATCCAGATAACCTGTGGCTTGCGGGTTTGACCAACCCATATGGGGCCCATCGGGGCCAATGAGCTGCAACAATACTCAGCACAAGACAGAATAGGCGATCAAAGGCCCCCTTCTGGCTTAAGGATCCATCCAAACTATCCAGTGATTTAGAAAGCTGGCTCTAGTTTTCAGGTGCATGCAGCTTTATGCTTATTTTTGTTCAAACACGTGATTTTAATAGATGTCATTTGCTCATTGCTCAGGTATAAGGATGATGAACCACTGGTAATGACCTCCCAACCTTGGAATTACAATCTGAAACAAAACTTTGGTCTCAGCTTGTTGGAGATCAGAAGGTAAGCCACTAGAATAAAAACTTTATTCAAATTGGAATCTCACAGATTTAATCATGTATTGGATAAATGCTGTACATGGATTTCAAACTAAGAAACAACTAATTCAAGGGCTAACTTTTTAATATACAATCTATCCTCTGCACAGGTGCTGTCCTGGTGATGCTGGCGTGTATAAAGCAGTAGCCAAGAGCCCCCTGGGTGACGCTATGACGTTTGGAACATTAGTGGTTAAATGTGAGTTGTTTTTTTTAACAAATTTCATTTTGCTTCCAAACTGTTAGAAATAGTTATACTATGTTTAAATCAGATCATTTGCATTGAGGTTCTGTGGAAAGATTATTTATCATTTTACCTCTTGTAGACAGCTCAGTTTGGAGATTAGTTCTGACTGGACAGTTGAGCTGCTTGTTATGTCGTAGGCCCAATACCAACACTTGCACTCCAGCCTGCGAACCTCAGCAAGGTGCACTTGGAGGAAATGTGCAAGTAAAACTTTGAGTATGTGGCCTTAGTGCACAAGTGTGCAAAAAATTGCTGAATTGGGAGATGGAGCATTGCACCATCGACCGCAACACATGCAGGGATGCTGTTGAATGTGTTTACTTCATTAACAACGTTCAAACAAACAATTATTTGAGATAAATTCACATGAATCGCTGCTTTGTCTAAAACAGTGTTTCTCAACCCTGGTCCTCAGCGCCCCCTGTCCATTTCCAACAGCATTGTTGCTCTGCTGCCTGGCTTACACTCACCTGACCTAAACGAATGAGTGATTAACAGGCTTCTGCAGCACTTGTGTTGCAGCAGAGACATGGAAAACATGCAGGACAGGGGGGAGCTGAGGACCAGGGTTGAGAAACACTGGTCTAAAACATTCAGAGCATAGGTTAACCGTCCTAAATTGAGCAACTTTCCTTTGAAAATACATATTTTCAGAACAGGCACTTGAGCCTTTTCTCCCACAGCAATGGATTGTGGGTAATACCCTTGAAAGTGCGGATCAAGGGTGCAAAAGGGGCGTGATCAACTTCCGCACTTGAGAATTGGGACACCCTACACCAGGGGTATTCAAATCCGGCCCTTGAGGGCCGGTATTCAGCATGTTTTAGTTTTAACCTACTTCAACACACCAGATTTCAATCAGCAGGTGATTAACAGGTTTCTGCAGAGCCTGATGAGCTGCTGCACAGGTGATTCAACCACGGAATCAAGTGTGTTTGAGCAGAGAAACCACTAAAACATGCTGGATACTCCAGGCCCTCCAGGACCGCAGTTCAATGCCCCGGCCCTACACACTTGCACCTCTGGCCGGGATGTGGAAGTGCGAGTATTGAAATTGGGCCCAAGTCTGCATGGATGCGGATTTCCAGCAAGGGTATTACCCACAATCCATTGCGGCATGGGATTTCTGAGAAGAAGGCGGAGCAATGGCCTTTTCTGAAAATACGTATTTTCAAATGAAAGAGGGTAGGATTTAATGCTGGCAGCAATGAATGTAAAATTAGCCAAATATTTGTTTGAAAGTTGTTAAAAAACAATAAATAAACGTAGCACAAACAGCAAACCAGCATGCATCACAGTCGATGGTCCAATGCTCCCTGTCCCAATTCAGTACACTTGGGTCCTACGCCTGAAAGACTTACTGCACACCTCCTCTAAGTGCACTTCACAGAAGGCCATAGGGCACAGTGTGAGTTTCTCCCTGCTTCAGTCGCACCTGCCTCTCGTCTCATCATTAACTCACCTGGTCTGCTCCCAGTAATCAGCTTGTACATCTAGCCTCTGCTTTCTCAGCTCACAGCCAGGTCCTCTACTCTGATTTCCTGTTTCTGTTCTGCCAAGCACAGTTCTGCTGTGATTTGAGTCTCAAGGTATTTTGTACCCACGTCCATAAGATTCATCAGAACTATTTTCCTCCAAACTGTGGATTGTCAGGAACACCTGAATAGATTCAGGTTTTGCACCAATAATGAGACACTAACACAAGGATGCAAAAACATCAGCGAAGAAAATCATCAGGTTGTAGGTTCTACAGACAAAGGTGGAGCACATGCTCTAATAAAACCTTAAGCATAACCAGCAGGTCAACCATATGATAAAAAAAATAAATAAAATAAAATAAAACTAAACAAAAAAAAATGGGGATCCTTGATTAAATTCATTTCGTTGTCCCAAAAAATTAAAAATGTGCAAAAGAAAGAACATTATAGCTATTTACTTAATTTTAAAGTTAAAGTGTTAAGATCTGGGTTATGAAATGTTCTCCAAAATAAACGTAATGCTTTCAGTGACCATCCATTGATGACACTGCCTCCTAGTGGCTAAAAGTTAATAAATTATCCACAATATTTATCTAAAATTAATTCCACCTGTGAAATGTAAAATAATGTTTTTCTTAAAGATAATTTTGATCAGTAAAGATCTCAGAATTACAATTTCAAGCAACATTCTTAAATATTTATTGGGAACAGACTGTAAACACACCTTTTAGTTATCTAAAAGCTGATGAAGCTCTTAGTTTAAGTGTAATGTGGTTGTAAAACAACAGGAAGCTTTAGTGAGCTTAGGTAAGAAGGCTAGTGCAGATGTTTAAGGCTCTTACTTTGAAACTCACAGGGGTCAGAATTACAAACTTTCTTATGCAAATCTTTGTAAACAAACAAGACTTGAGGGTTATTTTACCATTAGATTCTTAAAAAGCTGTTAAAATGCATTTCAAACAGCAGAAACAACCATATGTGGAAAAAATAACTAGAAAAAAAGGAACAACAGCTTCCAAATCTGATGTAGAGTTACTAAAAGAGACTCAATAAGTGGAAAACCATCAGCTACAAGCAGACAGCTCCACATGCGTGAGATAAAGACAACAGCACCAGCACCAGCAGTAAAACATTCCTGCCATGTTTGATTGCTCTGCCATCTTTCTGTCTCTTTCTCATTTTCTTTCACAACATTACGACTCCGTCTCTGGCCCTGACTTCCTTTCTCACGTTGGTCCTGCTCTGCTACTCTACAATTCAGCATACCAAGGAGCCGTGGCTGGTTCAGAGACTGCCGGTGAGTTTCGAACCAGCGCCCTAATAAGAAATGTCTTCTTTCATTTTCTCTGCCACTCTTTGAAGTCTCCCCCTCCCACCTGTAAGGGAGAGAGACCTGGATAGCTTTGAAGACTGTGACACAACTCGGTTGCGCCTCCTAATGAAAGAAACGGGCGGATTGAAGGGGAGAAGTATTTATGGTGTTTGTTTATCTTGGGATTTCTGTTTCTGCGGATGTAAGGGGGTTAATAAGATGTGCGCCTGTCGCTGTGGGGATAAAATGACTTGCTTCCATTAGAGCAGAAATGACAGTCATGTATATTTCATTTCTGTGACAGCAGGTGATTTATCACATTTTGCTCCAGGCTGTGGCTGTGATACTCTTTGGCCCATTTAGCCTCGTCCATGTGTTGGGATCAGCACTTTTTTAGCTAAAATTAGCATATTTCTGATCAGGCTGTGTGCCAGTGCAGCAAAATAATCCACTTTTTTTTTTGACAAAGACAAAACTAGTTAATTGTTCGTCAGATATAAACCGTTTACAAGTGAAAAATAGTGGCAGAAGAAAATGGTCCTAATGTACGGGAACACTGATACATGTCTTACAATTAAAGTAACACTAAAGAGTTTTTAAACTTTAAGCTAGGCCTTTAACATTGATCTCAGTGGTTGTTGGGTTAGAAACTTGACCAGTTTCATAGTTGACACCTCTCTGCAGCCCTCTGCTGGTCAGATACTGCAGTTTAAAGTTTTGTGGAGCGGGTAGGAGTAGTAGGAGGTGGTCTTTATATATGCATTATGGCTGTTAGCGTTCTGTGCAATTGGCTTTTCGGTTTGAGGATCGTCAATAAAACACACAAGAAGAAGAAAAGGAAGAATTTAGCTTTTCTGTTGGCATCATGGCAAAGCCTGGAAGTAAAAGTAAGAGAGTAATGCTAACAGCCGTAATGCTTGTATAAGAGAGCCCCTACATTCCACATGTGATATTTTAAATCCTGTTCTGTAGGAAGCAATGTTCCGCGGTTTGGATCCATGGCCAAGTGTTTTGAAAGTTTTGCTGCCTCCGTTTTTATGATGGCAGTTTGCACAAACTTATCAAAAACTTACCATCTTCACCTCCGGAACAGTTTGGTGATGAACAATGCCTTTAACGAACCACCAGACTGAATAAAATCAGGACAAAATGTCGGCGAACAAAATATTTTGGTTCAACGGTCAGGATAAAAAACTTGTAGTCAATGCACAAGGGAAGAGGTGAGCTAATAAAGAAAATCCTCCAAATTCTGTCAATCTCTGAGCAGGGATTATGTAAGAATGGCCTGCTAAAAATCATGATTTGGACCAGAAGTTTACTGACAGCTTCCCTGCAAGGCACACTGATGTGAGCGAGTGACTATCCAGTCCCTCCGACCACCGCCAGCTAGCAGGAAGGGGGACATGTCTTCCCCGAAGACACAACAGCAGAGTTCTCTACAGGAAGACAGGATCAATCCTACAACCCGTCGATTACTGGACAACCCGCTTTAGCTCCTGAGCTGCTCATGTCCTTTTATAGTCAATACAAAATATATTTATGATGTTCTTTGCACAAAAGTCTCTCACATAAAGTTATTTCAGCAGCTTTATTCTTGACATTTTCAATACTTTCCAGAATGAGCCGTTTCAAGGCTCTGTCACTTTAAGAGAATAAGCTAGAGGTGGCCACGCCCACTCCTTCCCCACTCAGGCTGCTGTTAGCTGAGAATGGTGGCCTGTATTTGTGTAGCACACGCTGGTGGGGATGAGCTACGATGTAGCTACAGCTGCCCTGGAGCACACTGACAGAGGCAAGGCTTGCCGAGCTCTGGCGCCACCGTTCCCTTCGACCACCACCAGCAGGCAAGGCGGGTTAAGTGTCTTGCCCAAGGACACAACAGCAGCATTCTCTGCTCAAAACCGGGACCAAACCTCCAACCTTCTGATCACTGGACAACTTGCCCTACCTCCTGAGCTTCTGCTGTTCCAAAGAAGCTTCAGTGTTCGGAGAGGGGCTCCAAACTAGTAGCAAATGTGAAAGCATGTAATCAAAATCAGAAGAATTACCTTTTAAATGTACAAATTTAGAGCAATGGCGGTGTGATCTGGTTTTTAAAGAAAACCAAATAAAAACTGATCATTCAATAGAAAAAAACATCAGTGGATCATGCTACCTGATACTGTAGAAGAAGAAGAAACAGTTTTTATGTAGCGCCTATCAAGATTAAAATCAAAAGGAGCTTCGCAAGGACAGAGAATAAAAACATTCTTATATATATATATTTATCTTTTTTTTAAATATCATAAAAAGGGGAAATTTGAAAAATGTAAACAGATAAATAAGGAGGAAAATACAGGATTCTTATGTACACCGTTAGCATAGAAGCCATCTCTACAAATAATAATTAGCATTCCTCAAACTTAGAAATTAAGTGGCAATCATTGTGAATGAAAGCTTATCAGCTTGTAATGGTGTCAGGGGATTCTCGCTGTGAAATGTGCACAAGAATTGCTTGCAGTCATTTATATCTAACTGACACTTGATTATCTCATTAGAAGATAATTTTTCAACACAAATCAGTCAATAAACGAAAGCACAACTGTGGCTAGGCTGTTGCCTTGCAGCAAGAAGGTCCTGGGTTCGCTTCCCGGCCTGGGATCTTCCTGCATGGAGTTTGCATGTTCTCCCTGTGCATGCGTGGGTTCTCTCCGGCTTCCTCCCACAGTCCAAAAACATGACTGTTAGGTTGATTGGTCTGTCTAAATTATCCTTAGGTGTGAGTGTGTGTGTGTGTGTGTGTGTGTGTGTGTGTGTGTGTGTGTGTGTGTGTGTGTGCATGATTGTTTGTCCTGTGTGTCTCTGTGTTGCCCTGCGATGGACTGGCTCTCTGTCCAGGGTGTACCCCGCCTGGTTGTCCACTGACCGCTAGAGATAGGCACCAGCCCCCCCGCGACACTACGTGGACAAAGCGGGTTCAGACAATGGATGGATGGACAACTGTGGCTAATTTATCTTCATCACTCTGAGGGAAGAAGAGGGTTTGGAAGATGACAGGTGAAGGTCCAAAGCAGAGCAGTTTAATAATGCTACACACGCCGGCGTGCTAACCTGGACTGCTAAGCAGAACTTGTCTCTTTGCATGATTCAGCCCTGACAACAAGGATTTGACAAGACGTCATCACACACATAGTTTCAGAATGCAGCATGTGTGTGCTCAGACAAGTTAGAGAAAGAATGATGGCTGGAGGTGGCTTATCAGGAATCACCCACTTCATGATATGTTGCTTTGGTTGTCATGTTGGCAGTGAGCTTCTGGATGAAAGGAGCTTTTTTTTTTTTATTAGTGAGTGGATCAGTTAAAGGTGGCCTTTTTGTTGAGTGTGTTTGTTCCTCTGAAAGGAACTGAGTGCGTATGCATCAGGTTGTGGAGACATTCTGGTGACAGAATGGTGGAGTCTTTGTGTTTTTTCAGCAGGCATCACTACATCATTTCATGATAGTGCAAAAATATGTTTTGAAGCTGGGATGTACAACTCCCAACATGCTCACATCTGATAGACAGTAGCCTATCTTTTAGGGACGCACCGATACTGATATTGGTATCGGCATCATTTACGTGAGCCTAGAGCATTGATCAACAGATTTGTGTAAGCGTGAGCTGTCCGCCTACCAGCCTAGCTTGAATGCTAACCCAACCTTCATTGAATTAATGTCAGCTTGTAAACTTCTTACTGACTGTGGAAAAGGAGGGAGGGGAATGAACTGGGATTTATTCTTTATGTTGGAGCAAAGTCATTTGTGTAGCATTAGCTGGGACGTGCTAGCATCATGAATGCCAGATTCTTGTGGGTTTTAAATGTTTCCCTGCTTCAATACTACAGATTTGATTAAAGGCATACTGTGCAACTTTTTAACACTAAAATCATTTTCTTGAGCCAGTATGTGCTAAGATGACCCTCTACATGGTTAATGAAAGTTCATTCAGACCCCACTGCCCTCTGTGGCCAGAAAACCACACTTGCAACATCAGAGTGCCGGTCCGGTCCCTGTTGAACTTAGTAAAGTGAAGCTGACATGCCTGGTGTTGGAGTCTGCTTCCAGCATGTTTCCTGCACGTTTTAGTTCATGAACACGGCTGATTTGTTTAATTTGGTGATGAATCACTGCTGTAGACACTAATGAAGGCTGGGGAGACATTTCAGCTGTTGGATTAAGGTGTTAAAAAGGCGAACGCGCAGCGGGAAGAGTTTCACTTTTGCTTTCACTGTCAAAACATTAGGGGGTGCTAAAAGCAAGCCAAAACTGCCCTTTAAAAGCAGCTCCTGGTTGATGATAATTCAACATCATCAAAAACATGACTTGTCCGTTAGCGCTTCAAGGATATTTGGGTTCACGTGCGTGGTATGAGGCGTGGTTTTCAGCTCCCTCCTGAAGAGGTGCACAGGGATGACACTTCAGATTTCTAAATCTTCTACCCCTCTCCTTGATGATGTCATGCTACGGACTCCAGCTTTAAAGTGCACATTACTACTCTGTCACAATATTTGTTCATTTTTGTATACCCAGTAGGTTTTAAAACATATGCAAATGGTTAATTTGCATTATTGTACTTTGACTTTTGGCAACAACATGATGAGGGAAATTCACCAAAAACTGAGAGAAATTTCCTTGTGAATACATAATGAGACTTTAGCCAACCCGGTTCAGCTAGACATCACAGAAAATGTTTAAGTATCTCACAGAAAAAAGACCAAATGAATATTTTGATATCCTTTCATAAGGTTTTCCAGAATGTTCAGCTGTGCCACACCAACTTTTGAATCATTTAAGATTTTTTTTTTAATCTTTCGAAGCACATTTGACTTACTCCCTGCCCTTTTTAGCACAAATACCAATAATACATCAAAATGTGGGTTTTCATTCATCTCTTAGTCCCACTTACTGCTTTAGAAATGTATTTTCAAGTTCCCTAAAGGGCAGACGAAACAAATTCAAAATTTTACAGATTCCAGCTGTTCTAGCTCAAAATATTTCAAACTGGAAGTCTTTTTAACTTTTCCTCATACAGAAAACAAAGTGTAAACAGATCATTTTAACAGTGTACCCTTTTGAGCCTTCTGTCCTTTTTTCTTTACAAGTTGTAGTGTTTTTGTTCAGTAAGATATGCAGATGTGGTTGCCATGGTGACCTTAATTAAGCATCTATAGTTAGCATGTTGACCCTAATGAGCTTTTGCAAGCAAACTAGGGATTTTCTCATAAATTAGATTATTAAAAGTTGTTAGCATATGAAGGAGTAGCTAGCTACCGTTAAAGGGGACATATTAGGCAAAACTCACCTTTTGCTTTCTTATGTGCTGCCATGTGGGTCTCCACTGCCTCTATAAACATTCAAAATATGGAAAAATAAATAAAACGGTCCATCTGTTTTCTGTCAGTGTTTGGATTTTGGAATCATGTGCCTAAAGCAACGTCCGTGTTTGTGATGTCACAAATGGGGAAATTAAATTAGAATCACTTCTCACGTGCAAGAGAAAGCTGCAGCTGGAGGAGCAGCAGCTCTACTCCAAGCTCCTCCCGGATATCAGAGCTTCTCAGCTTATAGCAGCCTGGGCATGGGAGGGATGGGTGTGGCCAGCTCCAGCTTGTTTTCTTAAAGCGACAGATCACTAAAAAGGCTCATTGTGGAAGGCACTGAAAATGTCAAGAGCAAAACTGCTGGTATCGCTTTACGTGTGATGGATTTAGTACAAAAAAGTTAATGAATATGTTATAAATAGACTGAAGAATTATTATAACTTCAGAACAAAGAGAATATGTTTGATTTAAATTTATACATTAAAATGTCTCCTAATTCTGTTAATTTCTCTTTCAGATTGCATTTTTTCTTCAAATTCCATCTGTTTGATCACATCACTTGACTTTGTCCTCCTCCCTCTCATTCAGCCTTGCAGCTGGAAAAGGAAGCTCTGTTTGATGTCTCCTTCCCGCCAACCTGGGTGAAGGAGGGCAACAGCTTCACCCTGCTGTGCACCTTCACATCAGCTCTGCTACCCTTCCAGCAGGATGTCAGCTGGTTCAGGGATGGTAATTACCCGAGAGCAGGCATCACATAAGACACGCTTTCCCCGAGTGCATGCTGTAGTCCTGTCTGCGTGTTTGCTGTCATTCTGCAGGCGTCCAACTGCACCCGTCCAACAATGTGGACATCAAAACACTGGACGACAAGGCCACAGTCACTTTAAGAGCTGCACATAAGGAGCATGAAGGTGTGTACACAGCCAGACTCAAGACCAGGGACGGGATTCAGGAGCGTGAGGCTTTTGTTTACATCAAAGGTGAGAATTATAATGTACAAAAAGTATTTTTCCCAGCATGTTGCTCTTCAGTACGGATGGCTGCTTATACTGAGCCAGGATCCTCTGGAGGTTTCTTCCTGTTAAAAGGGAGGTTTCCTCTTCACTGTCGCTGCATGCTTGCTTAGTGCGGGGCGACGGTGGCACAGGAGTTAAGTGCTCGCCCCGTAATCGGAAGTCTGCAGGTTCAAGCCCCGCTCAGTCTGTCGCTGTCGTTGTGTCCTTGGGCAAGACACTTAACCCACGTTGCCTGCTGGTGGTGGTCAGAGGGACCGGTGGCGCCAGCGCTCGGCAGCCTCGCCTCTGTCTGTGCACCCCAGGGCAGCTGTGGCTACATTGTAGCTCATCCCCACCAGTGTGTTCACTAGTCAGTGACTCGATGCAATTTACTGGGTTCCTTTTATAGGAAACTTTTTGTTCAGATTGGCTTAATGAACTGACCTGTGTTGGATTGTTTATTATGTGAAGCGCCTTGAGACGACGCTTGTCGTGATTTGGCGCTATGTAAATAAACTTGAATTGAATCGAACTGATACCTATTAGTTATTTATTTTTACTTTTTATATTGCTAATACCGATGCTGATGTGGAGAGTTCAGGTTAGCTGACGGCCAATATGTACTGCATGTTTCCATGGCCGACAACTAGACAATGAGCCTGACTTTAAATTGACTTTACTAAGGAGGTACATCGATCAATGCTGGTATATAAAAAGTGGTAAATATATCTGTTAAGGTCGGCCGTTGTATCAGAAAGTAGCACAAATAGACAAGAATTCCTTTTCGAAGCTTTATTCCAGCCTGCGTCACATGAAGCAGAATCAGGCATCCATCTCAACTCCCTGACTTCTTCTTCTCCTACGTACTCTCTTCTCGTATACTGCCCCCTAGTGGTAGACACAACAATATCCATGTAGCTCGATATATCCGCCAACCAATATACCGTCCTGCTGATACATCGATCTACCCCTAGTAAATACTGCTTCTCCAGATGTCAAACTACTACAAACTATTTTCTGGTCACATAAGAAATATAAATGATCTTAGCAGCTGTCCTGTTTGTCAGTTAAATGTTCAAATAGTTTGAACCTTGCTTGCTTCTGTCCAAAGGTCTCTGAAACGTCCCTTTTGCACAGCAACTCAGTTTATTAAAACCAGGAAATATTGTTTGTTTAGTTTATGCAAAAATAAAATAAAAAAACTGAGAAAAACAACATGCAGAAGGTTTTACAGGTGCATTTCAAATCCTTCTCTGGTTTTCAAGGAGTTTGCGTCCATGAAAAAACATAAATCTGGGGCAATTTCATGTTTCCTGACAACTTTTCTTATTTGTTTATTTTTTTGAGTTTTCTTTAATCTGTCAATTGTGGGGTTTGTTGGGACTCATTTATGCTTTTGAGAGTAAAACCATCATTTGTTTTTCCTCACGATGGATAAATAGTGTTCTAAGTCAAACATTTTATCCACTCAAGCAATATTTGTGTTCACCAGATTCTGGTTCTGCTTTCATTTCCTCTCAACAAACTCCAGTGACTCATATGCTGAAACTGCACCATCGATCAAGCTGCTCTGCAGTCGAGAGCTTGTTACCTTTATTCTGTGAAAGTACATATTCTTCATTTACTGCTGTTTTCCTTGATAAATGAATGACCCACACTTGTATAGCACCTCTCAGAGTAAGGACTCCAAAGCGCTTTACACTACAGTGTATAATTCATCCATTCACACACTCATTCACACACTGATGGTGATGAGCTACGATGTAGCCACAGCTGCCCTGGGGCGCACTGACAGAGGCGAGACTGCCGAGCACAGGCGCCACCGGTCCCTCCGACCACCATCAGCAGGCAAGGTGGGTTAAGTGTCTTGCCTAAGGACACAACAGCAGAATTCTCTGTCCGGAGCCGGGATCGAACCTGCAACCTTCCGATTACTGGACAACCCGCTCAACCTGTTGAGCTACTGCTGCCCCAACAGCAGTACAGAAGGTGTACAGAAACCAGAGAAAAACTCACACCTGACTCAGGAAATGTTGGGAAAGTGAGCAGCTCTGTGAGGAGTCCTGGCATGTGGTCTCTACGCAGTTTTCTTATTTTTCACCTGTTCGTGCCACAGAAGCACAATAATGTGCTGTGAAACATTCATGAGCTTCATCCTGCAAAGCTTCTCTTAAAATCTCGGCTCAGATTTTTCTCACTCACATACGGAGCGGGATCTTCATCAGAGCTAGAGGCACTAATTAGCTAATCTGGAAACATCCCTGCATGTGTGCATCCCCCCTTTTTCCTGTTGTTTTATTTAGAGTGCAAACGTGCATGAAGAGAGGAAACTCTCAGAGTTAATGCTGGATTTCATATTTTGTTAAAAACGATCAGGTTTGGGAATACATCACTTCCTATACATGTTATCCTTTTTAGCTAAATTCTCTTTTCCATATTGCAAAAGTAGAGTAATGCATGTGTGGACGCTGAATTTTGTGGTTCATTTTGATTAAAAACCAGAGATTAGGTTCATTTAAAGTGGACTGTGCTTTTAAATTCTTTTTTTTTTTTTTTTTTTGGAATTTACAAACAACGTAATGTCATGTAATGGATAAAAAAAATACAATAGAGAACTGAGAAAACTGAACAAATTAATAAACAGTATATTATATAATCTCTACAGCACCTGAAATGAATAATTTCTGATTTTTTGTACATCTAAAGACTCAAAAAGCACAACATACTGTGTTTAAGGGCTAAAAAAGTGGAGTTTGCTTCTTACGTCTACTTCAAAACTTTACGTCAGAATGTGTCTTGTTTCAGAGTTGGTTTGATGTCTCCCCCCCTGTCTCCCCTATCACAGCTTCTTTTCTGTCTGCCCTTCCTCAGATGCATCTGCCTCGGTGCGTGGAGGACCTGCATCTCCTCTGGAAGTGGAGGTATCTGATGTCAACAAGGACTACGTCTTCCTCACCTGGCAGCCGCCCAGTGCTGATGGAGCTTCGCCTGTGGAGGGTTACTATGTGGAAAGGTGGAAATCAGCCTGGTTTACCCCTAGGACTTTAGATTTTCATCAAACTACTTAAAACTATTTAGAATAAAAATCTAATTGTAGTTGTGGTAAAGCAACTAGAGGCTTTATGGTCAAGACAACAGGTTTTGTTTCATTAGGTCTTTCAAGTCAGGTAATTATGCCTTCTTTTTTTTCCAAGTAGTCAATGTCAGCATATCCTGTTCACGCAAGGAAAGACAACCTCTAACCCTTGTTACAATCTCAGGCACCAATAAAAACATCTGGCTTTTATTTTATTTTTTTGACAATAAGGCACGTGAAGCTTTCACTCCCAGAACCATTTTGCATCATTCATTGAATTTTTTTTTTTAATAAATTAAACAAAAAAGAAAAAAAAATATATATATAACCTTTTAAATATAATTCTTTGAAGTAAACTGAAATTAGCCAAATTTTGGTACCTGGTGCAAAAAGATCACAGTATCAGACCTGGAAAACAAAAAAATGTACATTCCTAAACCTGTTTAGCTTTCAAACAACAAATATTGAATTAGAAACCATTTTACACTTCATGCATTCCTTCTGGGGCTTTAAAACAACTCCCAGTGGCTTGCTGGCTCTAGGTTTGAGAGGTCCCTGCTCCCCCATCACAAGATCCTGAGCATTGTTGAAAATGTTCTCACTTCTGGTTGCTCTGTTATTTTCTGCACCACTCACCCTCTCTCACAGCTTGCCTTCCGGAAACCATCATCACAGAGGGTGTCAGACACTCTAGGAACTCCCAGCGGGCAGCTTGATGACACGGACAACCGAATGGACCAATGGTTGGTTTCGGTCTGAGCCGAGTGGTTGGCGGAGGATTTTAGACAAATGCAAAAGAACCACTAAATATTTTCTTTCTATTTTATTTAAATGTCCACGATATGTTTATAACTTTACTATGGTATGTTGTTAAGATACATAAAAAGGCATCAAAGCATAAAAATGTTTTAAGCTAGCTTGTTTTGCAGATTTGCTATTGTAGATTTAATATAATTAATGAAAATGCAAAATCCCAGGGAGCAAAATTCAGTTTTGATACAAATGTTTGAGTATTTGATCAGTTTATGAAAACTATCATGTTACATTGTTATGGAGAAATTTATGTTTATTAATTCTTGATTATGGACTCAATCAACTGAATGTAATGCATGGTTCTATGCCTCTCTGCATGCTCACTTATTCAGGCACACCCACACAACACACACACACACACACACACACACACACCACCCACATTCTTGACATCCCACACACAGACACAATCTCTCTCCACTCCCATCTCTCTATAAATAGTCTATGAACAGATGTTCTACTGGGATTTTGCATTTTCATTAATTATATTAAATCTACAATAGCAAATCTGCAAAACAAGCTAGCTTAAAACATTTTTATGCTTTGATGCATTTTTATGCATCTTAACAACATACCATAGAAAAGTTATAAACATATTGTGGACATTTAAACAAAATTTAAAAAAGAACATTTAGTGGTTCTTTTGCATTTGTCCAAAATCCTCCGCCAACCACTCGGCTCTGACCGAAACCAACCATTGGTCCATTCGGTTGTCCGTGTCATCGAGCTGCCATACTTCCCTGGGTCTTCCACTCATTCCACACTCACGTATTTACCACTGAACACCACTGGCTCAGTAATATCAATAATATCAGGGAAGGAGAAACAGCCGGCTGCTACCTCTTCACCTTTAGGACAAGCTTCCAGAGTTCCAAAAACAAAAACACCATTTGAAGTCACAGACAACAAAAGACATTTGGACCTACAAAAATGCGAATGGTGTTTAGTGCTCTCTCGTTTACTGTGGTAATGCGTGTTCCCATGTCAGAGAGGCGTGGCCTATGGATGATAGCCGATGTGAGGGGTATGAGTTTTGTGACCATGTTTGTGCTTAAAAGCTCGTTTTGCAGATTTGTCATTGCAGCTTTAAAGTCGTATTCTCTGAGATATAGTTTAGTTAGAGTTGTGTAAACCTTCCGAGACGAGAGGCCAAAACCATCAAGTTAAGTCTATGTGAGCCACAAAAATGTGTGTTTTTTTTAAGTGAAAACAATGCAAAAATAATTTTAATTGTCTTTTTTATTTATACTCTTCAAAACAGGTAAAAAAAAATAGTCATATTAGTACAAATCTGAACATGTTAGTTTACTTAAGAGATAAAATGCATCATTCTACAAATGCAAGTGGGAGCCAGACAACATCACTCAGAGGGGCCACAAATGGCCCCTGGGCTGCACTTCTGATGTGCCTACTTTAGGTGATGGCACATTAAATATATGTTTAACATGTGCATTGTTTTCTGTAATTTTACACATTGAGAAAGATGTGTGTCGTTTTTTCGAAGGAATGTTTCTAACTAATCTTTTAACCTTTAATTAGCTCCATAAACTTTACAAAACCCAGAAATGATAAAAAATAATTAACTCGAATTCAGACAATCAACTTTCAAACGTGACTTTCACAATTGTCTGAATAGTTATTTAGGTGATTTAAAAAAAACACATTCATTTTATTTAAGGTGTCTATTTTTCTTATTTAAGTAATCCGGTTAGGTTTAACATTAAGCACGGCACACGTGCACATTAGGGTAAATAACTATTTATGCTTCAAAAGCAAACTGACATTGATTGTGTTTGACTTTAGACCAGTTTTCCTGTCAATTTCAGTGTTTTCTTCTATCCCTCTATGTGCTGATGGTGAGATAATTGGATTTCTATTGGAAATTGTGAGATCCACTTGGCAAAGTTCAAACGAGATAGCTGATATACATCCTAATTATAAGACCTCAGCTCTGCATTAACAGCAGAGCCACAGACTCTCAGCAGAGACTAGGTGTTGCCCTTAACAACGACCCAGATCAATCAGGATCTTGCCCTTTACGCGCCGTGGGCTTGTGTGTGTTTCAATAAGTGTGTGTGTGTGTGTGTGTGTGTGTGTGTGTGTGTGTGTGTGTGTGTGTGTGTGTGTGTGTGTGTGTGTGTGTGTGTGTGTGTGTGTGTGTGTGTGTGTGTGTGTGTGTGTGTGTGTGTGTAAGAAAATGTACATGGTATCTATTTTGCCTTTACTCTTAAATACATACCATTGTCATGGTGGAAGGTGTATTTTGTGAGGACATGTGAGATACCTCCCTTTATTTTCTACGTTGACTTTGAGATTTCAAGAATAATTTTATCTTTGTGGTTTGAAGCAAATTCATTTCTCAAGTTGATTTCTTATAGTAATCAACCCTGACAGTGTATGTGCTGACTTGCTTAGCTGTTGTGTGGGTTGAAATGTTTTACAGCTGTTTTTATAAGAACATCTCTCTGCAGAATGCTCTAACCTTCGTATACTGCGGTTTTGTTTACCCCCAGATTCAAACAGTACATAAACGTTTCTGCACCATTAATTTCTCTCTGTGTCTCTCAGATGTGACCTCAGTCAGGGCGAGTGGGTGCGCTGCAATGTAAACATTCAGAAAACGTGCCACTTCCCAGTTTTTGGCCTGAAGGAAGGAACTCTGTACCAGTTCAGGGTTTGTGCCGTGAACCAAGCTGGACCAGGACGTCCCTCCAAACCCACAGAGCCTGTCCTCACCACAGATCCACTGGAACACACCAGAACCATGGGTACGGCATTGAACCAATTGAAAATGCCAAATTACGCATTTAAGAAAACACACTTTTTGTCTGCTTGCTTAGCCTAATTTGAGATATTCCAGTTTGCTTAAAACACATCAAATTGTGCATGTGCTGAGAAAGTAGCGTCAACAAAGAGAGCTAAAACAATTTAGTGTAAGATAAGTACTTTTGTATTAATTTATTTAAGTACTTTTTCGTTCCTCTCCCTCCTTTTCCACAGCTAGCTTGAAGTTTACAGACTGACATTAATTCAATGCAGGTCATGTTAGCATTCAAGCTAGCACCATATTAGCCTACGATAAAGGCAGTGTCCAAAAATTACCTACACTATTGTTTAATTTTAATAAAATCTCAGTTACAATTCTCTAAAATACAATAAATAACTGAGTAAGTACCCATCCAAAAGAAACTTCATCAGTTCTGATGAAGAACATCGTGGAAGATCATGGAGTTCCCTCCATATTTTAAAGGTATCTCCATTGTTTCTGCTCTACTGTTATAAATGTCTCACGGTGAGTTTTACAGAATGGCTTTTACACAGTTTCATTTGTCTTTGAAAAGTAGAACGCAGTCCAGGAATTGGTAACTTTGGTACTTGTTGTGGTTGCTCCATTTTTCTTCTGGCGTCACACTGTAGTGCATGCTGGTAACTGGATAGCATTCTCACTGACTGACAGCTCCCTTTTGTGAATACACACTTCTATTGGTCAATGCTCCAGACTTGTATAAATGATTTGTTTTGCCGTAATGGCCAAGGGAGGGACTTAGGGGAAGTATAACTTATGAAAGAATACGTATTTTATATCATAGAACACGGTCAGATATAAAAATAGTTTTATACCCTTATTTCCTGCAATACTGGCCAATAGAAAATAAACTTGTAAATGCTTGGATTAGATAATTGCACTTCATATTGTCAAATTAGCATTCATGGATGATTGACTCAATTGTCTTGAATGTCACAGGGAAGGCTGTTGTTGATTTAGCATTCAGGAGAGAGCAGAGCGCGTATCAACTAGTAGAAGCTAACCGTTAGCATTTGCAACTTCACATCAAAGCAGAACGCTTTCAGGTTTGTGTTGTGGAGACTCAAAATCAGCATTGCAAAGCAAACAGAGTCAGTGGTAGAGTCGCGTTGCTGTTTGCCAATCAGAGTTGAGCTGTTCAAATATCAGGAAATAATTAAGACCCCAAAACATGCCACCTTCTGCTCACCTCACCTCTAGCTCACTTCTAACTCCCAAAAAAGGTGCATCGTAGTTTATTTTCCCCACAGATCAACTCACACAACTCAAGACATTCATTTATACCAGAGACCACTTCAAATGTGTTAAACAAGAGTGTACTTGGTCTTTAAAAACTGTAAACTACTTACTGCAGTTTCAACTATCTGTAGAATTTTTGCTACTTATTCAGCAAAAACATAAATGAGCATTTTTTAAATGTTTTATTATATGTGTAGTGGATGCAAATGTATTATTTATTTGTTATTCAGTATAAATATACAATATTACATTGCTTGATCTTTATTGTAAATATCAGAAGATTATAGGGCTTAATCAGAAGATTCGAGGATATTTGCTTTATTAATTATACACACTGCGTTTTTATTCAGAAAAGAGTCAGGGTTATAACAGTAAGAAATGATTTTATTACAATTATAACACGGCAAGTGAACTAAGCATTTACTGTGAGTGGATGAAGCTAAAGGTGATGTAGGCTATGTGTCAATGAGGCGTTGGTCAGAACTTCCGAATCTCGGAAAGCGGCGTCTCCGGATGAAGAAGAATTTGGATTGCTCTAAACTATGATGTTATCTTCAGAAGCACATCAGACGCAATCTCTCTGTGTTCTACCTCACCCTTTTCATGACCCTCGTCACGGATCCGGAGGTCAGAGAGGTCGGATGACCTCGGGGCACCCAGGTCCAGTAGATTGACCGCAAGCACCGACTTCTCCAGTCCAGAGTCGTCACCAGGCAGCACAGGTTGGAATCAGCTTGCGTCTCAGGAATAACTCTTAAGGAGTTGAACAATATCAGCTTGTTTCTGCAGGAACTATTTTGCTGTCTCAGCTTTGCAGGTGCAAAAAGGTTTTGACGACGTGTCAAAATCTTTGATGGTTAAAGAGGTTTGGCTACAGATGGCCGGTCTGAAACTTTCTCTAGAACTGGCAAATTACTAAAAGTAATCTAGTTTTAAGGAATTGATATTTGGATTGTCACAGCCAATCAGAGGCTGACAAGTTTGGAGAAGTTTTACCAAGAATCTCAGAAACACACCCTCTTTGAAATGGAGGCTCTGATCTGGGTAAAAAGTTAGCTATGTGTCATGGATTTAACTTAATCATACTTGTTATTGTGTGGATCAGGTGTGAGAACCTTGTCGTCAAAACATGTTGAACTCATCGCAGGTTCAGTAGATAACATAATATCACATCCATTCAGTGTGCACATATTAATGAAGCATTTCATTATACTATGATTATGATAAATAGTAATAAACAAATGTTTATTTAATGATTAACTAGATTATAGGTCATCAAAGAAGTTCATATTGATTTTTATTAAATCATTCTTGAATTTAGCAACTGATTGGAGCTGGATCTTCTTGCTTCTGGAGGCAGACAGATGACCTTGGGGAAAGAAAGTTATTGTTTATCCTTCAGACTAGCAGAGTCTGAATCCCAGCTTATGTGAAGCCTGCTCATTTGAGGGGAACACAATAAATGTTGTGTCTCCTTCCTGACCAGGTGTTGAATAGATGGTGAAAGGTCAAACAGTGCCTAAACCGACCATTGCTGGACGCTACATATAAAACAATGAGAGAAATAACAACATATACTGTAATACAATAAGATGTATCATACAATACATTCTGATGCAGTGCAAGAGGATATGATGGCCTACATTGCAACACCTTACAATGTTATCAGATATATAAAAATACAACGCTATGCAATATGATACAATATGTTATAACATGATATGGTAATGTGAAATAATATGAAAATATATAAATCTATACATATATTACATACTTTGAATGAAGTATGTTCTATTTTTGCCTTTTTGTCCAAAATGTGAATCGTTTCAAAATAATGCAGCAAAATTTTCCTCCGCAGCATTTTTCTGAAAGATCACAGAAAAAGATTTAAGTGCATCATGCCCTGCCGTCTCGTTTCTCTTGTTTTTTTAGCACTAGTATCAGAAGCACGTTCAACAATATACCCCATCACTTTCATCTTTAAACGTCTTGCTGGTATTGTTGGAGCACTTTTCGTGTTTTACCTTCCTCCACTTATTTATTCAGGCTTTTCCTTTGTCACTCATCGGCATCTGCAGTGTGCTGCAAGGGAGCATCAGCAATGTGTTCACTGCTCGCCCCTGTTGTTTATTCACCTCATCTGCCTCAGCTGCCCCTTTACACCTGCAAAGGCGTCAGCGCTGCCAAAGAAAACAGACGTAGGCGTGCAGATTTAGATCTCATTTCACGCAGCCACGGGGTTTTACTGTTCTCACTGCGACGTCTTCTTAATGACATCATTGAGTGTAACACTTTGTTTCTTATGACTATGTTTAAAGCCTTTCTGTGTTGGTAAACACTTGGAGTAGTGGAGGTGTGAGAATGATGAATGAGATGTGTGTAGCAGCAAGGACAGATGGACTGTGGTCCGATGCCGAGGATCATTAAACACAGATGAAGGACAGACACAAGGGTGGCTCGCCTCTGGCCTTCTCTCCATCCTTCCATGTCACTCTCACTCACCTCTTTGTGTCTGGTTGCTTCTCTAACATTTGCAAACAAAGAATGTTTTGGTAGAACTTCATTACACTGATGTCTCCTTTCTCTACATGTCTTCTCTCAGCGGTCAAAGTGGACCAAGAAAGGACCATTACCATTACAAAAGATGAACTAGAAGGTGAGAATGCTTTACTTGTATCCCACTGTTCAACCTTTTCACACATTTTACCAGGGGTGGTTCTAGAGGGGGGTCGAGGGTGGGCCAGTGCCACTCTAACAGAAAGAACTCCATTCTGTTCTTTTACTCTATTCTCTAATGTGACATGTGGAACCAAAGCATGTAAATACATTTATCTGAAAATAGAAAGAGGTGTTTATGCCAATATTTTCATGTTGTCACTGAGATAACTCATGTAACATGTTTTACAACACATTTTGAAACTAGCTGAAAAGCTGTTGTATCTAACTGTCGTAACTGGATTGCTGTAAATATATTGTTGCATTTACTGAAATTTAAATGCTTAAAGGTGCAAGAATAAAGTAGGAATGACATTTTGTAGTCAAATTTGGATACTGCAGTCACTCTCTCACTTTTTTTTCATTTATTGACATAAAATTAAAAATACAGAACTAAATTGCGACAAGCCAAAATGAAAAAGGGGACAGAAAGAAGAAAAACTTATGTTATCTGCCCCTTTTAACTAAAATAACATTAATACAAATGAAACAATCATATGATTCTTAAAAAATTTGAACAATTTAGTTTCTGGACTGGTTGGCCGACACAATCTCAACCAATGAATTGAAAAAAAAGAAAGAAAACAAGTTACACAGAAAAAAGCATAAAGTTATAGACCTATATACATACATATATACACATATGCATACATAGACTTTTTTTCATCCCCCCAACCCCCCTCCCCTCACGCATTTATGTAACGGATCTATCTAAGTTAATCATTTCATTTTTTATCTCTTTTTTGAAAAATATCTCATTCCGTTCAGTTATGGACCAACACCAGAAGATTCTAGATGACAAGCAAAGATGAGTTAAGCACAATAAGTTTAAAAATAGATGCATACATTGTTATATCTGGTGTTAGAATTCTTGGGTGTTTTATGGCAGTGAGCACTTAATACACTTATTATGGTAGTGTGTCTCCGGCATTAGAGGAGTTTGCCGTCTTGCTGTTATAGTTGTGAACGGCTCATTAGAGGAAGTAAAATGCCACCATTGACTCATTTTTCATTTCACACATACATTTCACTGATATCGAGTTGTTTTTAGTTTAAAAAGTAGCTTGCGATGTTTTTAGAGCCGACTATTTGTATGGAGGTACATTTGTTGCAATAGCATTTGTGTTTTGTCCCTGGGAACTTGAAAGCATGGATAGTTGCTTCTACTTCACTGTTAGCATTAGCTCAACATTAGCCTCTAGCCTGCTTCGCCCGATAGAGTAAAACAAAAGATGCCGTGGCTTCTTAGGGGTACAAGAAGTAACTTCTGGGTTGCTCCTGTTTATGGACTTCAGTTCTTTAAACAGCTCTGGAGCTTTTTACCTGAGGGTGCAGAATTACAAATGCAAGCGCTATAGCGTCTTGGTGCATACTTGGCGACAGAATCGGTTAAAAGTGAATGCGTCCCTCGTTAGATTTTTTGAATGGAGAAAGACTAACAATCCCCCAGCCAGCTGAAAAGGAAATTCGTTTCAATGTAACGTTCCGTCCATCGTGAATGAGATGTTTTGTGATCATTTTTTAAATAAAACTCTTAAATATTGCGCCTTTAAAAGCCCATTTGTACTGTTTTCTTATATACCTACTTCTCTAACAGAGCAGCTGGTCCCAAACTGGCCTCCTTCTAATGTCAGTCTAGAACATTCCTTGCACTTTACTGAAACACAGGAGTCCTTCTCCTCCTCGTCGAGTTTGAGTTGCTGCAGGCTTGTGACTTTAATGCGTCTTCATAACATGTTTAACAATGAGCTGCAGTAATTGTATAGCTAAAGCTACGGGCAGTAGCTCCATTTGCAGCAATGAAAAAAAAAAGTCCCTGGTGGTGTCCTGGTGAAGGCGCATAATGGCCTCAGGTAAAGTAAATGACTATGAGGAGAGCTGATAACCTTGACAATGTAACTCACAACAAGATAGGTGCAGGCTGAAGGAGGAGGAGGATGGCGTGTCCGTGGGAGTCATCAGAAAATAAATGTAGCCTGGAGAGTGCAATCTATTTTTTTTTTTTTTACTTATTCCACTATGGTGGTACAAATTAGAAGTAGGTAGACATTTTATTTTTGTATTATCTTTAATAACAAACAATATCTTTAGGAGCAAGGCTCCTAACTGGAGCAAACAGAAGAGCTCACATCACTCCTATTCTAATGTCTCTGCACTGGTTACCCGTTAACTTTAGAGTTCATTTCAGAATCCTGATTATAACTTTCATTGCTCTACATGGTCAGGCTCCTCCCTATATTACTGAACTGTTGCCTTATGCTCTAACCCGAGCCCTCATGTCCACCCACCAGAACCTTCTAGACGTTCCAAAGACCAGATATAAAAGTCGAGGTGATCGCTCCTTCCAGACTGTTGCACCCTGACTTTGGAATGATCTTCCTTTATCCTTACGCAGCATTGACAGTCTGGACACTTTTAAAAAACAGCCGAAAACCCTTTTATTTAAAGATGCTTTTACCTAAGCATTTTATTTTTCTTCTTTTTAACTCAAAATTTTAATCTTTCATCTGTTTAAGAAATTTTATAGTTTTATGACTATTTTTCTGATGTTAATCTATTTCTGTTTTGAGACCATTATGATTTTATGAATTTGTTTTATTTTGTTTTGATCTATGTGAAGCACTTTGTGGCAAATAATTAATAATAAAATGGATGCTAAGAGACATGAGTCTTGTCTAAAACACCCACAGTGGTCCATCATGTCATCAGAAAAAGATAAAATGCATTAAATGCTATTAAACCTCATTATGTGGGATGTCCAAAAAGGAAAATGAGCCTTAATAACAGAGTAGACATTGAGCTTTTTTTTTTGTCAGATCATTTCTCTGTTTTCCTGAAGACTCACTGTCCAGGTCATAAAAATCTTTCTTTACATCTAGCAAATTTGCAAATTTAGAGAAATGTCCTTTAACTAATGTAGCTAGTTGTTGTAGTAAATGAATTTCCACTCACTGGTTATCGTGACTAATAGAGGAACAGCCTGGCTTAATATGAGCTTTAGAAACAAAACAAAGAAAAGCTGCATAGTTGGTAGTCAAGGGTCTTCTCAATTGGTTTAAAAGAAGCCCTTATAAAAACTAAAGTTCAAAAACTTGGGAACAAAACAAATCCTGCCATGGGACTTCTAGGATAACCAACTTGTTGGGGCAAACTCTGACAGGAAGAGGTCTGGCAGACCCAAAGCCACAACTGCATCAGAGGACAAGTTTCTGAGAGTTAACAACTTGCACGTGATAGGCGGCTCACAGGACAACAGCTTCAAGCACAGCTTAACAGTGGTCGCAGTAAGCAAGTCTCTGTTTCAACTGTGAAGAGAAGACTTCCAGCTGCAGGTTTGACAGGACGAGTTGCAGCAAGAAAGCCACCGCTAACACATCAGAATAAGAGAAAGAGGCTTGCCTGGGCCATGAAACACCACCATTGGACTACTGAAGACTGGACTATGGACTGATGAATCCAAATTTGATATCTTTGGTTCATCACGCAGGATCTTTGTACGCCGTCGAGTAGGTGAAAGGATGGTTCCACAGTGTGTGGCATCAACTGTCAAACACGGAGGAGGAAGTATGATGGCCTGGGGCTGTTTTGCTGGATCCAAGGTTGGTGACTTGTACAAAGTAAGAGGCACCCTGAACCAAAACTGCTACCTCAGCATTCTCCAGCGCCCTCTGGTATGCACCTAGTTGGTCAGGGGTTCATCCTACAGCAAGATAATGACCCAGAACATAAGTTCAATGCCAGAACTACCTCAGGAAAAAGAACAAGATGGTAAACTTGTAGGCATGGAGTGGCCAGCACAGTCTCCAGACTTAAACCCCATCAAGCTGGTTTGGGAAGAACTGGACAGAAGCGTGAAAGCAAAGCAACCTACAAGTGCCACACATTCATGGGAACTCCTGCAACAGATGTGGGAAGAACTTTCTGAAGAATATTTGATTTCTATTGTAGGAAGAATGCCACGAGTGTGTTCAGCTGTTATATCTGCCAAAGGTGGCTACTTGGATGAGTCAAAAGTTTAGAATACATTTTGGTCTATAAATTGATTCCACAATTTATTTTTGTTTTAAACTCCAATTGCTTATTTGTACTATGCTTTCATTTCAGAGTGCAATGTGACATTAAACTGCATGATTTCCAATGAAAAAATGGAACAATTGGGGTGTTCTAAAACTTTTGACCTAATCATTGGTAGAGCCGTGTTGCTGTCAGCCAGAGATGTTCGAATATAAGTAAACTTTATCTTTAAAGATTAGGTGGGGGTTTTCATGATTCACAAAACAATAAATGACAGCTTTTAATGGATTACAGATCTTCTCATGGCTGTCACTTCACAGGTCACACAAGATGCGCTGCAGTCCAGAAATGCTCCCGAGACCAAATGTTAGTATTCAATCCAGAGTTCTTGCAGATAATTTGCACCCAATCCCACGCTGAAATGTCTGCAGGAGACAATATGGTGGCAGACGAAGCAGCAAATGTTTTCCTGCCTGAGATTGAAAATGTGAGCACTGATAGCTGCTGTTGTTTCGTCCTCTTATCTGCTGACACCAGTGTCGTTTTCATCTAGCTCCTCTTGTCAAAATGTTCAGAGACATGTGGTAAATATATCAAAAGTATTTATCTAGAATCCCCAAACATCATTGTCAAACTGCTGTAAACAACATTCATCAATGACCTCGTCACTCCTCTTGTAAAGCATCTCTTTTGTCCTTCAGAGAAACAGACTTCTTTGTAGTTTGCATGTTGCAACAAGTTTTTAACCAACCAAAAATAAAATATAACATTTAAAATATTCTTTTCTATGGGGTTTGTTGCTAAAGTCATTAAAGACAGAATATTTTGTGCTCTTTCTACACTTTTTCAGGAAATTGTTTTATAGATATGGGCCTATAATGGAAACAAAAACCTAATATTATTAATATTATTACATTGGAACCCTGTTTGCTTTGCATAAATGATGTAAAGAAGAAACATAAATTACTAAATTATACCTTTAGTAGTTAACAGCTTCTTTTACTGTTTTGTTTCATTTTATTTTATTTTTCTTTGTCAATGTCAATGGAGACATTAAGTGTATATTAAACATGCACTGAGTCTTGCTGATTCTAATATTCATTGTGCACATGCACGTACACACACACACACACACACACACACACACACACACACACAAGCTTGCTGGGTCTACCAGATAAACTATTTTTTCATCACAGCCCCTTATTTCAGGTGAACTTCTTCTCTGATCCACTCTGCAGTTCTGATAATCCTTTAGGGACACAAACAAAAAAAAGCAAAAGCGAAACGACATAAAGGAACTTTTTTTTTTCTTTTTGGTAAATCTGACGACCTGCATTGTCCTTCAACTGCAGAGTCAGTGAGCTGATTCGGGCTGTTTGATGTTACAGAGAGTTCTTGGCATCAAAAGAATGGAGGTTAAATTGGGGCAGGAAGGTTCTGAGTCCCCCCCTGTGAGCTTGTATTAGATCCAGCAGTCACAGCATGAACAGTGTAATGAAAGGACAAGTATCTCAGCCAGCATGATTTTAGATTTCATTCTCATTTACCTTGTTTTCTCATTGTCTTCATCGTCATCCTCCTCTTCTCGTGTTTCTCCAGGTCAGGTCAAGGCGCCTTTTCCTCCCACAAGCGTCCGCGCCTGCGAGGTGAGCGACAGCTACGTGGTGTTGAGCTGGACTGAGCCTGAACCCAGAGGCAGGGAGCCGTTGACCTTTTATGTGGAGCAGGTCGGTCTTCACGCCTACACACTCACCGCTAGACATACTTTACAGCTCTGAAAACAATGAGTTATTTCAATTAGCATCAAATCTTTCGACAAACCGCAACCTATTTCATGCAGTTGGGTTCATAGCTGAAAATCACGTCACTGACGAGCAATTTTAATTATGATCAAACAGTAAAAATCTGCTGTAAAGTGATTTAAAGCCACCTGTTATTGACTTGTGATCAAGGAGGCAGCAGATATTAAACTATAAGGCAGCTTGGGGTGTCTAATGTAGCACACCAAAAACGTCAGTCGTGTCTGACCTGCTTTTTTATTTAAATTAGTCACGTTGAAAAGGCGAGGAAGAAACGGTTAGTTCTGAGGAGAGGTGGCCTAACACATTAAATGACAAAATGCACCTACTGACATTTTCATGTCCCAACCCAGTTCAGTGTAAGCAATATATAAATGCTGGTCACGGTAATGCGGTACTGTAGGTTTCAGTAAAAATGTTCAATTCAAAGGCGTTAAGGAGACGGTTGTTTGAAAAAAGTGTAATTTTTCTGCTATGTTAAAAGGCATCAAGTGTCAAGACAAAGGATTTTAGCCAAAAGGGCATCAGAAAAGTGTCAGGCATCAGGAAACAGGTAACATACAAAAACATCATCAGGTCTCAGGAAAGATGCTAGGTTGTGAGATATCAGTTATCAAGGAGGCAGTTGTTTGGTTAAAAAAAAAGTGTCTAGACTATTTTCATGTTCAGCCTGCATGAAAACCTCAAAGTGATTGATTATAATCAGAAATAATAATAAAAATGATTTTCAGTCAAGTGCCACTTCAATGGCAAAATACAGATCTATTACACTCATTTATGCAGTTTATCAGCAAATCAAAGTTGATTAAGGCGTGACTCGCTCTTTAAGCCTGACTTTTTTGTTGTTAATTCTGATCCCTGATGATTTTTTATTTAAATTTTGAAAACTGAAGCCATTTTGTCTAATGTCTGATTATGTTTTCTTCTGACCTGATGATGTCCCAAAATACACTGTAGTGAAAAATAATTATTTTACACGTCTGTGTTCATGATTTAACACAAATTGATAATCTGCATAAATTTGTTTGTTTTTACCTTAAAATTTAAATTTAATTAAATTTAAATTAAATTCTTGGGCTGCAAAAAATATAAAGGTAACATTTAAAATTTTTAAGATTCAAATCTACAAGTCGGTAACACTATTTACTAAGAAAGACAATAAGAGGAAGCACGGTTTAAAAGGTTAGGACTACATTATAAACACTGGCTTTGTGAGGTTTAGGTATATTGCAATTTTTTACTGGCTTAAATTAAAATAATTCAAAAATGCACTAGAAATACATCTTTTGGGTTTTGTCAAGCATGGGATTTAAACTTTCAAATGGTGTAGAAGTATGTCACAAGTTTAGGTCTGACCTGTTCTTTCCAACAACGAAGGGTTCAAGCTCTCCATTATTAACCCTGATGCTCAAGCACTCCTCAATAATAAGAAAACTGCCACAGGAAATAGATTTTTATTGAGGCTTTATACATTACTGAGGTAATAAAACTGTCAAATTGGTCAAAGGCACCTGGAATTACTGAAGGCTGCTGCCTTACTTCCGTTTGTATAATGATGAGAACATTCAAATATCCTTTTTGCCCTCAAACAAGCACTTTATAATCACCGGTCCCGTTGGCGTGCTCCGTTCAATTGTTTGGACTGGGACCTGGAAATGAAGGAAGACGTAGAAAAAAACCAATGGTGAATGCAGCAAATAGAAAAACAAGAAAGTCAATTTACTCAGAAGTATAACATCTTTTCAAGTTCACAAACATTAAAGGTGCAATGTGTAAAGCAGTGAAATAATCCCAAAACTGTCTAATGTCTCAATCATGTTGGAAAGACATTTGTACTCAAACATATTTCATTCTCAGCCAGCTGCAGGGGTTGTTAGATTTTCTCCTTTCAAAATAAAGGAAGGACGGATGTAGCTACTGAGTGTGGGGCTGCTGTGTCTCCTGCAAGCTAACTCTTCAGCACAAGCATATGTAATTTGATACCAGCAGGCAAAAAGCTCCAGAGTTGTTTGAAGAAGCTCATAAACAGGAGTGACCTAGAAGTTATTTTTTGTACCCCGGAAAAGCCACGGCATCTTTTTGTTTTACTCCATAATTGAGTGAAGCAGGCTAGGGGCTAACATGAAGCTAACAATGCTGACAGTAAATTAGAAGCAAGCAATCAGCTCTAAAAATATCTCAAGCTACTTTTTCAATTAACTCGATATTACTATGAAATGTGTGTGACTGAATAATGAGTCGATCGTGGTGTTTTACTTCCTTTAATTAGAGCTATATATAGCAAGCTAACATCAAAACTACACTTCCTCTAATGCCGGAGGCAAATTACTGTAATAAGTGTAGTAAGTGCTCCCTTCCACAAAATATCCAAGAGTGCTAGCACCAGCTACGACTATGTAAAAATCTACTTATCAACTCACTGTGTATGACTAGTCTTTGCTTCTTCTAGTGCTGATCCTTGACTGTCAACAGCTATGAAACTTGCGGAACAGGATTGAGAGAGTGATTGCAGTAACCATATTTGACCACAGGATGTCACTATTACTCCATTTTTACACACTGCACCTTTAAAATGATTTCTGTAGTGTAATTTTGTTTTTTATCAGTTAACTGATGAATAAGTCAACTTTAATCATGAGACTTTGCTGTGAGAATGTCTTCAGACTTTAGAGCCTTGTGTTTACTGACACTTTCCTGGGATCAGTCCTTGGCCGACAGAAACAGCTGGGGACTGGCCAGTTTGGACACGCTGGTGAACTCTCCCAGGTTCCCAGTGTTTGATCTGGTCAAGGAGAAACAGTACCGCTTCAGAGTGCGCTCCATCAACAAGTACGGCGTCAGTGACCTCTCGGAGCCAAGCGAACCCATCGGCCTTGGAAAGCCACAAGGTAACACAAAATGCATTATGGGCTGGAAACCATTTATTACTCTGCCTTTTGCAAAGGTCAGGTACCTTATTAAGAACAAGTCGCTCGATCAGCATTTACCTGCTGTGCAATGCTGTACCTGCGGTGCACGTACCACAGACCTTCTGGTTTTTATCCATAAGTCATTCTGGTTTTTTAAATGACTCCAAACAAGCAGCTTGAAGAAAATAGAGCACAGACCCTAAATCGGTTTTGTTGTGGAAAGTTTTCTAAACTAAAAAGTTTTGAAAAATAAAGTTTTTTTTTTTTCATTTAAATAAAACACAATCCCTGACTATGAAATAAGTGTTTGTCAATGTCCTTGTGTGCTCATTACTCTACTAAAATGTGTCCAAACTCTGACAGGACACCAACCGACATGGACTTCCTGTTATTCTGAGACAAAATTTCAATTCTTTCTGAATTTGTCCATCCAGCTTGTCAACACTCCTAACCTGTCACATACTGGAGCTCTTTGTATATCTATAATGTTTTTGATAGACAGTGAATTCTACTGCTGGTGACCCAGAAGGCACTGCTGTTCAAAATGTGCTCTCTTTGTTTTGGTTTTTTACATCTAACTTGAATATTCTCATGTAACATAGGCACTAAAGTGAAAATGTTATGAAGAATTTTGTGGAATTTTGTAGGAAAATAGTAAAATAAACAAAATATAAAAATAAAAAGAATAAACCAGATTTTTACCCAGGTTTCTATTTTGATTTCTATTTTCTCTTGGAAGAGTTACAAATATAATATAATGGATTATTGTTAAATTTACTTGGTCAAATTCTCCTTTGCAAGCGTGCTCCAGTTTTGTTATTTCTTTCAAATACGTGTGGTGTTTTTAAGTCAGCACAAGTTCAAAATGCAGGATGAGGGTAAAACACATTGGTGGTGTATGACCTGCATCAAAAACACACATTCATTATTATCCATGTCGCACATTCATTGATATTTTTTCTATATGTTTTCTCCAAGCATCAGCTCTCCTACACATAAAAAAATGCATTGTTTCACGTACTGGTTTCCTGTTTGGACATCCAAGCTTCTATAGTATTTTGGCCAATTCCCAGTACTCGCACTTCCACCCTTGTGCCCTTTGCAAAAGTTGACCGTGCCCCCTTTACCCCCTTTTCCCCCTTTATCCGCACTTCGCCCAAGTCTGCATCGATGCAGACTTCGGGTAAGAGTATTTACCCACAATTCATTGCTGCGTGAGAGTTTTGAGAAGAAAGCGGAGCAATATCCTCGTCAAAAAGATGTATTTTCAACTAAAAGAAGTTAATTTTAGGATAATATTTATCCATTCTCTGAAAGTTTTAGACTTAAGAGTTAATGTGTACGGCAATGAATGTAAATTTTGTCAAATAATTGCTTGTTTGTTGTTTGTTAATAACGTTTTTTTAAGTAGCACAGACAGCGATCAGCATCCCAGCATGCATCGTGGTCGATGACACAATATTCCCTGTCTCGGTTATTTTAGAATGTGAACTCTGCATATTTTAGATGTTTTAAAAGCTGAAAAATTCTGCAAAAAATTTTTTGCACTGCAACATTTTATTCCTGATTTTAATAAAAGCTTTAATAATGGAAAACTTTGGTAAAGTGATCATATTACAACGTCTAATACGTCCTTCAGAATGACGCTCTTTGATTTTATTATGGCGAGTCACACCTCAGCAATCCTAACATGTTTTGTCTGATAAGGAGAAACAAATACCGTGTGTTTCCAGACTGAATTTGTGATTTTAATACTGATAAAAAATAATTATGATTAACAAACTGATGACCCCAATTTTAGTCTTGACATTTTTTCCTAACTTCCGTCAGCTGTGCCGAATCCTCCTCCCTCTGTCCTGGCCATCAGAGACACAGACACCTCAGTGCTGCTGCTGTGGCAAGAACCCAAGGACAAAGACGGCATCCTGGGGTACTACCTGTACTACAGCGAGGTTGGCAAGCAAGACTGGAAAACTGTAAACAACAAGCCTGTCACCAAAAGCAGGTACTCAAGTGTAATGTCCTCATGTCTAATTTGGGCGATGGTTAAATACATTTCTAAAAAAAAAACTCCTTATGACCGTTGTGAGTGTGATGTGAACATCGCTTCTCCTCAGGTTTACGGTCCACGGCCTGAAGACTTGGACTGAATATGTGTTCAGGGTGAAATCTGTGAGCCGAGCAGGAAACAGCAGATATTCAGATGAGTCGCAACCCATCGCAGTCAAATCAGCGATTAGTAAGTTCAAGCAGGGAGTCGAGCTCTGGGCGGTGAGGAACGAATGCAAAACGTTGAGCTGGTTTATTATGCTTAAAGAATACAAAAGCTCACACAAGTAAACACTAGAAATGTCCATAAATCCATAATATTTTCAACAAATAACTTAGCAAACAGGTTGAACTGACCCTTCTTATATCCTCTGGCTCCTGTCAGCCTTCAGCTCGGGACCAAGACGGCTCAGTCAATCTGACATTTCCTGGAATTTAATTATGCTAAATCCTTCAGATTTCTTCACTCGGGACTAATTCAGTTTGATGTTTTAGGGGCCATGATGGTGTTTCGTTTTCTTTTCTGTTTGTCCAGATGTTCCATCCTGTCCCTCCGCCATCGCTCTGCTGTTGTGTACTGGATCAGATATGGTCCTGGGCTGGAAGGCTCCTTCATCTAATGGAGGGAATCCAGTATGTGGCTACTACCTGGACCAAAGGGAGAAGGGGGAGGAATTATGGAGAGAGGTCAATGTTAAATCCACCAAGGAGAGGAAGTATAAGGTTTGTAATGCTTCAATTCTTTAAAGAGCAAGTTCACAGAGAAACAGTTTTTTATTTGGTACTTTTTAAAATATGATCGGTCACGTGAAAATAGTCTTCTACCCATACGTACTGCATTAGCTGCTGATAGAAAATAGATGGAGAAACACTCCCTTTAGAAAAGCCAGTCAGATCGACGTCACATTGAAGATCATGGTTTCACCCATCTTGGTTCCCGATGGGGAAGGCTGTTTGTTTGGCGTCCAGGAGAGAGTAGAGCACGTCTCGGCTAGTTGAAGCTAACCGTTAGCATTAGCTACTCCACAACACAGTAGAACTCAGTAGAATTCTACAACACAGTAGAATTTGTGGAAATCAAACATCAACGTCGCAAAGTAAACCGAGTCATTGGTAGAGTCATGTTGCTGTCAGCCAATCAGAAGCGAGGAAATAAGTGACAGACTGGTCGGCTGGGGTCGGGAGCTGAGCTTGTTGAGAGCGTGGTTTCACAGATGCGGAAATGAGAGCGCCGGTGAAACGCCGGCTCGCGATTTAATCTAGGAATCCCGAGCGTTCGAGCGTCAATGAAGCGACACGGAAGTGCTGGGTTTTCCAGAAGTAAGTAAGAACACTTGCTGTGAGCAGAGAGTTTGTGAGATGGATCGGTAGACTGGTAACTCTGATCATGGATACGAAGAAACGATGACTGAGTGGAAAGCTGGGGAGGCAACTTCCGTATATAGCCGCGGTTCGTGACGTACGTGCGACGTGGAGGGAACCCCCGCGAGGGGCATGCTGGGGGTTGTGGTCCATGGTGGAGGCCGGCAGCTGAGAGAGGCCGGTTTGGGGACTTGGGTTCTGACAATAAGACACCAAATCCTGCCGTCGTCAGCTCACCTCTCCTCTGGCTCTATTCTACTTCCTGAAACAGGAGCGCCAGAGCTTTTTCCCAACGGAGATCGACTCACAAGACATTAATTTATATTAGAGACCACTGCAAATGTGTAGGAAAAACAAGTGAACTTGGTCTTTGATACTTATGTACAATAAACAACTTTTGACTTCTTTTCACTGCCCAATCTCACGGTTTCATTACTGTTGTGTCATGATCAAGAAGGGTTAGGGTAGGGGTGTAACAAGATCATGAGGTAAAAGCGAAGCACCATCCCAACTTTTCATCCATGCTCAGTCCTTTGACGTAATGCTAAAAGCTCCAGGAGTCTTTATGAAAAACTTTTTTTTATTTCGTTGTAAATTTTATTTTCTTCTAAAATCAATATTAAAATCTTCATTTAGTTTTACCCAATATTATGCATTGCACATATCATTTCACATTTTTATTACTGTAGCTGCTTATTTCTTAACAATACTTGACTTTTTCATTAGACATTAGGTAAAAATCACATATTTAGATGCTAACTTCCCCCTCATTTGCATGGAAATAATCCAAAAAGGCTGCAGCACGTGGTGCACATGAACTTGCATTATTTATAGAGTAAGATTCAGGGAGCACACAGAAAAAATGCATGGTGACAGCGCCCGAGACTTTATAATAATGAAGTGTTTCTGTTCTTTTTTTGAAAATAGATGTAATAATAGCCAATACTCACTCATTTATTATCTCAGCTGTGTCACTAAGCAACAAGCAGTGTCCATGGAGATCAGGAGGAAAGTAGAACATTCAACCTGTCTTACAAAGATTACAAGGGCCTCTATAATTAGATATTTTCCAAATGTGCAAATGTGGTTGTTTGTGTTTTATTTTTAATTCCAGGGGAAAAAATGGGAAAAGCCAATTAGAATGGAGAGGACCGAACAAGTAAAGACTAACCCCTAAATGCTGTAGAGAGTGCCGGAGGTATTTTTCTGCTCTGAACTCTCTGAACACACAGCGCCCCCTATTGAGCAAGGCAGGAATGTTAAACATCACATACTAAAGGATCTGATTCCAGTCTGTATTATTATTTTTATTCAGTTTATGACCTCCTGGAAGCAAATGGGAGTCACTGAAACATTGATAGTGCTGCTAGATTTACACTTTGTTTATTTGTTTGTTGGTTTTTCTGTCAGTTTCCTATTTTTCTCTGATTGGAGTCATTTAGACAATTTAAGGTAGAAAAAGTCTGTTGGACTTACGTAATTGAATCATGTACATTGGTTGCATGAAACTGTATTGGTTTTATAATTTTTTTGTGTAATGCCAATGTGATAGATACATATTTTTAGAACATGACCGTGTCATGTTGTTATTACATGTTGAATACAACATTGATCACTTCATGTTCTTACAACTCGAAATGGTCAAGTTTTATTAATGTGTATTTATCATATTGGCATTATGTAATGAAGTGATAAAACCAAAACATAATCTGTAAATCCAACAGACTTTTTCTTTCAGTGTAGAATATTTTTCTTTTCAGCAAATATAATAATTCTGCTTTCATTGGAAAAATGTAAAAAAAATTCTTAAAGGGACAATGTGTAGTTTTGATTGTTAATTTCTGGAAATATCCATAAAAATGTTGTTGAAAATGAATGAAATGATGCTCAGTTGTTGAAAAATATTGGCAGCTTCAATAAAAATCAGGTCTAAAATACATGGCAGTGGGTCTAAGTCTCTGGGTGATGCCATATTAAATGCCTTGTTTCCTTCTACGGGAGCCCTTGAGGACAAAACACATTTACTGATTTGTGACTAACGATTACAAAACTTTCACCATTCATAAACGTTGTTTTACACATTTACCTGTTCACTTGTTGCCAGTGATGAAAGAGTCTGATGTATTTGTCATTTTGCTGAAGTTTGCACTGCCCTGGTCGTTTTGACCCTGATGGGCACCCGTTGCATGGTCTTACTCCAACACAAAAGTAATGCTTGCTTGCAACTATTTAGGTATCAACTGCCCCCATTGCCAGGAAAAATACACACTGGCACTTTAAAGAAATGCAGATTTTTACCCCAAATCCACAAAAAATCATCTCAGTTTAAAAGTATAAAAAAGCAAAAATTTTATTCTGCAGAAAAATGGCTGCTCTGGGTCAAAAACGACTACTTAATATCAGTGTTGGAGTAATAATGGCGTTACTAACGGCATTCTTTTTTAGGTAACAGAATAATCTAATTAATTACTTTTCTCGCTGTTGCAACACCGTTACCATCACTGGGGATGGAAGGTTGCGCGTTTCTATGTACTTGTCGAACGTTGAGCAACAGTGTGAGGCTTTCTGACCGCCACACTTCAGCTGCAGCCAGGGAGAGAGAGGTGTCGGTAACGCGCTTACAAACACGATGATGATTGGCCGGGTGGGCGGAGACCCTCAGTGTTCTCACCATCACCGCATGCTGTTGACACAACAGAGCAGTGATGAGAATAACGCTGTTTAAAATAACCGCGTTAATAAAAAATATTTCTTTCTGTAACGAGCAAACTAATTAATTACTGTCTTAACAAAACCATCGTTTCTGTTACTGATAAGGAAATGCGTGTGTTGAAGCTGTCATCAGCTGATCAGGAGCTAAAGAGGTAGATGTCACCGGATTGAGTGAACGCTGGCGCGTTTGGCTGCTGCTGCTCACCGGTAAACTTTGATTTTATTTGATTTTATATGTTGGACTGACACTATCGGATTGTTGACTGGACTGTGGATATCTATATCAATCCTAACCTCTATTATGTGGACCAACGCTATTCACGTGTGGTCCGCACTCATCTGGATTTTATCATTCATCTTCCACCGACCTGCTGCTGGCTTCCTCCAGTACACTGCCGCTGAGCTCCTCAGGATTCGCCACCGCCCTGGATCTCCACCGGCTTCACTGCACCTCGACCCGGACATCTCTCATCTTCTCCGTTGGAGATATGTCCACCGCGGCTCACGCAGGAATTTCCACTACCACAACTCCGCTTCAATCAATTCTTTCTGGTCCACCACTCGCCGTCGTCCTCACAGGAACTCATACCGCCGAACAGCTGATCACTCCTCGTTAGCCAGCCTCGCCAGGACAGCTAACGCTCAAGGATGTGACAGCACCACCGTCAACTTCGGCCTTCTCAACATCCGCTCTCTCACTGGGAAAGGTCATCTCATTCACGATCTCATCAAGGACCGTGGAATCGACTTCATGTGCCTTTGCGAAACTTGGCAGCAGCCAGCTGATTTCTCCCAGCTCAACGACGCTACCTCACCAAATCACGCGGTTCTCGCGGAGGAGGTCTCGCGATAATCTATCGTGAGAATTGGAAAGTTTTGCCAGTGTCTGTCTCTGATTTTTATTCCTTTGAGTATTTGGTTTTTAAACTTAATGGACCTACCCCAATATCATTGGATTAATCTACCGTCCCCCTAAACCTCACAAAGACTTTCTGTCAGAAGTCTCAGTACTGCTCACTCATTTATCTACACTCTCATCTAATGTAATAGTGCTTGGAGATTCTAACATACACATGGACAACAGCGATCTTCCCCTCACCAAAGACTTTTCATCCTGCCAGGACAGCCTTGGATTTAATCAGCACATCAACTTTCCAACTCACTCCAAAGGACACTGCCTGGATCTGCTGTGCTGCTCTGGTCTCACCCCTCTTAACTCTGCAGCTGATGATCTCCACATCACTGATCACTAATTTATTTCTTTCAATATTGTAACCCAGGTTTCTTTTACCGAACCAACCCGGCTCATTTCTTTTAGGAATATAAAGGACATCAATATCAACACTTGATCCTCCTATATTGATAATATTCAGCTACCGGGCAATCTCTCCTCTCCTGATGACCTGGCTGCTCTCTACAATGACCAGTTAGCTCACATTGTAAACTCCCTTGCTCCAGTTAAATCCCGTTCTGTTACTTTCTGTCAGTCTGCTCTCTGGTTTTCCCCTCAACTCCGGATGCTGAAAACCAAATCCAGGCAGCTTGAACGCCTCTACAGAAAAACTGGTCTCACCATTCACAAAGAACTATATAAAAATCATATGACTCAGTATCAGGACTTAATTATACTAACCAAACAACAGTATTACTCCTGTCTAATCAACTCCAATCGAGGCAACACTAAGTCACTGTACTCCATTATTAATAAAATTCACCGGCCATCCGATACTCTGCCCCCACACATGTGCTCTACTGCTACCTGTAATGCCCTTCTTCTGTTCTTCAACGAAAAAACAATAAACATGCACCGTGCAATCAACCAAAGCATCCCCCCTACCTCCCCATATGATCCTCCCGAACCAACACAGTTATTTTCCAACTTCCCAGTGATTCTGAGATATCAGATATTATCCACAAGTCAAAGCCTTCTACCTGCCTTCTCGACCCCCTTCCCACGGCCTTGGCTAAATCCTGCCTCCCCTCCCTGCTCCCTCTCGTCTCCGCTCTCATACACACATCCCTTTCCTCCGGTATTGTTCCCTCTATCTTCAAAACTGCTGCAGTTACTCCAATACTTAAAAAACCTGGTTCGGATCCTAATATTTTTACTAATCTCCGCCCCATCTCCAACCTACCCTTTGTCTCCAAAGTTTTAGAAAAAATAGTCGCTACCCAGCTCCACACCCATCTGACACTAAACTTCTTCTATGAACCATTCCAGTCCGGTTTCCGCCCACTTCACAGCACAGAAACAGCCCTCCTCAAAATAACTAACGATCTCCTCATTGCTGCTGATTCCAGTCTACTATCCATCCTGGTCCTCCTTGATCTGAATGCAGCCTTTGACACAATATCTCATTCCATTCTCCTCCATAGGTTATCTTCCATCGGCATTGCTAACATCCCACTTTAGTGGTTTCAGTCCTACCTATCAGGTCGCACTCAGTTCATTACTATCAAATCCTCCCGCTCACAGCCCTCTTATGTCTCTTCTGGTGATTATTTATTTATTTAACCGTTACTAGATTATCAGCAACAGAAATGCTGCTAATAACAGACAATTAAGTGAAGCTGGAAAAATTAAAATGCTGTGCAAAATTACATTCGTTTATGTAATTTAACTAGACTGAGAGACCATTTAAAGGCTCGGGAACCTTTACAGGTGTTTCTATTTGCAATTTTAAATTTTAGCTAATTGGGGTCTTGTTAAATATCACACAGTGACCTTTTAATAGTCTAGATAAGTGTAATGCTCCTGTTAGTAGTTCCTCCTGTTAAGTGCTTATTTATTTAAATTATTCAGGTTTATAAAAAACATTTTTACATACATTTTATTATGTTCCAGTCATTTATATTTCACTATTGTAGTAATTCTTGCATGCTTTAATGGAAAAAGTAACTAAGTAGTTATTTTTCTTGGTAATTAGTTACTTTTATAATCTTGTAACTCAGTTAGTAACTGAGTTAATTTTTTGACAGGGTAATCAGTAACTATAACTAATTACTTTGTTAAAGTAACGTTCCCAACACTGCTTAATTTATTAATGCATCAATGTTTGATAATCATTCATTTGTGGTATTTTGGGTTATTGTTTTTTCAGATCAATAATTGTAAAAGTTACTCAGGATAATGTTACAAGTATTTTAAAGACCATATCTGATGCTATTTTATTGTCTAAAATCTGCTTAAATTAAAATATTTAAAAAACCTTTGAAGCAGAATTTCTAACCAATCAAAAAAATCAGCTTGTTGCTAGCCAGGACACAGGTGAAGTGTGTGACTTAAAGCTTTAAGAATAATAATCGGGTGAATTAAGTGAAATATATTGTTTGGAAATGTAATCAATAGCTTAAACATATCCCCTAAGTCCCAGATTGTCCTCTAAATATTCTATTTGTGTTACTTTAACAGAGAAAGTATAGCTTTCCTCTGATAAATTGCTGTACAAAACATTTTTCCCAAAGGAAAACAAAGACAATTCTGTGTAATTAAGTGTAAACAGATTGCCACCTAGTGGAAGAACGATCCTTTTTATTGAAAACCTTCAGCCTCTCATGTCACATGTACATCAGACTGATGGGAAAGCTGCTGTTCAGTTTAAACGAATCGTGTAGGGATTTACATCTAATCAAGTGGATCCAGATAGCCATTGTTGTTATTATGAAAAAGCTGCCTCTGGTTTGGTCAATTAGTCGCTTGGAGATAGGAGAAAGCAGCAGAGATCTGCTCTCTGCTCACGGAGGCGATAAGGGTCTCAGAATCTAAGTGGCTGCAAATAGGAGGATCAATGAACGGATCAATACAGCTGATTCCCCTCTCCTCGTGGAGCGACGAATGTCTAGAGGGTTCAGGAAAATGTTGCTGCAGCAGCTGACTTAATACTTTATGAAACCTGGTCTTGAATCAGGAGTAGGAGTGTGATTGAACTTGTGTTCCTGCTGCGGCGTTTCATACACGTAAAATTCTGCTGTGCAAGGACTCGTTTTGACTCGAATGGGCAAAAGCTGTTTTACAGACTTGAGTACAAGGACAGAAATCTGTCAGAACCAGATAAATAACTGATCTGTTAAAGATAGCCGCAAAGATTCTGCTTCATTTTATCATGTCATTTTTAATTTGATGCTTGTAATATTTACACAAAATCAACTTGATTTTCCTGGGAAATCTCCCCGTACGGAAGCCGATTTCTGCCAACAAAAAGAAAAAAATGGGTCAGACGTTATCTTATGACTCCGTGTCATAATTAGGAGTCAAAATTTGTGTAAGATTTTTATGTGGTTAATAAGATTAAAGTAATAATAATGTGACTCAGTGTAATAGTAATAATTTTCGGTTTTAAAGTCATAATTTGAGTTTTTAAAGTAATTTTCAAGTTGACGATGTCTAGTTTTTACTATTAATCCTTGGAAATCCATCAAAATTTTTGAAAATGAATTAAATGATGCCCATTGGTTGAAAAGTATTGGTGGTTTCGTGACAAATAACCATAAAAATCGGGTCTAAAATACATAGGGGCAGGTCTCCTGGTGACACCTAATTAGACCCAATGTTTCCTTCTACGTGAGCCCGTGAGGACAAAATGCATTTATTGATTCATAACAATCGGTTACAAACGTTTGCCATTCATGAATGTTGTTTTACAACATGCTCGTTGCCAGTGATGAAAGGGAGTCCGGTGTGTTTGTCTTTTTGCTGGTTGACCAATCTGACAAAGTACTTGTTTGAAAATTGCCCTTCCAGGGATTTTTTGACCCTAATGGCCATCTGTTGGTAAGGTTTTATGGTTGTATTTTAACAATTAATGTCAATATTCTGAGTTTGAAATTCCTATTTATGTTTCTAAATTCATAAATATGAAAAGCAAAATAATCACCTTAATATTAATAATGTCACAACATTGTTGCATTGTATTATTTCTTCCCTATGTTACATTAGAGCAAAAATATTGCTTCATTCTTGATGTGGAAACCAAAAGGTTAAAGGTCATTATGGTGGCTAAATGGGACCATTTTGTTTTTCTTTAACGTGGTGGAATTTACTTTTTTTCCCGCCAAAAACAAAATCAAGTCATTAACTATGGCTAATTTTGAGGCAAATACCAATAAAAGCTAAATTTTAGAACAAATAATTTGGAGTAACATTAAATAAATCAATAACGACTGGCTGATACATTTAAAATATAAATATTTGAGTTATTATTATTATTATTTGGGTAACGCTTCATTTTACAGTCCCCTAATTACTAAGCACTTACATGGTAATTACATTGTAAGTTAAAGTATATTATTGTGTAATTAAAGTGTGTAATTGTAATGAAGTGTAATTATTGTGTGAAGCAGTATATACTGGGAATGATTAATAAAAATAAAAACTTAGAATTGAACCTGATTTACATGGTAATAACTGTTTAAGAACTCAGAAACAATATTACACTTTAATTTACTATGTAATTGCCATGTAAGTACTTAGTAATTAGGGGACTGTGAAAGCAAGTGTTATAATTATTTGTTTAAGATTTTATTGCAGAGTGAATTGTGTTCTGTTCTCCGACTGGCTCCTGGTTTTACAGAACAGGAGTCTAAAAACCTGAAGTCCCAGTCTCCCGTTGGACCCGGGTACTCTGTGAACCACAATTCGTCTGAGAGTAAAGAGATCTGATGGGATGATGAGGAACAATGAGTTCTTTTAGACAAGATGGGACTCATTCAGTTTAAATATCACGGAGCGAGCCGATGTAAAGCAGACCGGAGACGCAGGATCTTTCTTGCTGTGCTTATAGGAGCACTTTAGCTGCAGTTTTTCCATTAAGTCATGAAGCTTTGGGTTTTGTTAAACAGATGTTAAATTTTCCCATGTGCAGTAGAATTAATTACCTGCAATTTAGCACTGTTTTATTTGCTGCAGCTCTTTTTGTTTGACTCATTTCAACAGGTGTCTAACCTGACGAGCGGACATTTCTACCAGTTCCGTGTCACTGCCGCCAACGTGGTCGGTATCGGGAGGCCGTCTGATGCCAGCGAAGCTTTCCTGTGTGAGAAGTGGACAATGCCAGAACCAGGTTAACAAAACAAAAGAGAAAGCCTTTACATTTTGTAAAAAAAATCCATCGGTAGTTTATTGTTGTTTATTTACTGGGTGTTGTGAGCTGCAACAAAAATCCAAAAATAAGTTTAATACTTGATGGAAGCAGCATCATCTTCAGCATCCAAATGTCCTCCCATGCTTCGTTCTGCAAAAGCTCAAACATGCAAATTTGATAAAAGCAACTGCAACATAATTCCAAGCTGCAAACGAGACTTTAATTGTTATAATTCGCCATTACCGAGTGCTGCATTTGCTCAAGGGCTTTGAGAGTTTGAGGCTCCGTCGATACCTTCCTGGCTGCGTTTTCTACGATCTGTTTATTGACCCCGTCTGCAGCGAAGGAAGTGGGATAGAAATAAACACCATCCATCAACTGGAGGACCCATTTCCACATGCTGCCATTTTATTTTTATTTAACCCGCACCGCTGAGAGTGTGTGTGTCGTTATCTAACAGCAAAAACAAACAGGCCAGTATGAAACACCAGCCTTATAATAAGCTATTTGCTTGCTGTGTTGTTAAAGTACGCAGTAATGGCTGAGGTCAGCGGTTAAGTGAATAATAAAGTAGCTGAAATGGTATTTAAAATGCCAGCCTTGAGTCAGAATTAGCTTGTGGTATTTATTATGTCCTTTAACACCACCTCTGGATGGGGATTTATGAAGAAAAACACTATTTTGTAGCCAAAGTATATTATAATTTCTGTAAATAATCACTTGAAACTATAGAATTCATATGATCCCCAGGCCCTCCTTTTGTTAGCCGGTGCTCCCAGTTCATCCAGTCAGAGTCCAGGGTTTTCCCAGGCAAGCTGTGAGATATAAGGTGGGTTTCCATTGTTGGAATGGAGATACGAAGGCCCAGTCCCCTCAGCTATTATGTCTCCATACAGATTCAGCCCTTTCAGGACTTTCACAGACGTCAGCATATCGTGACTGCTTCAGCAGCGAGTGATCTCACTGATCAGCACTTTAAATCATCCACAGTAACAATAAACGTTTTATTCTGTCAAAGTCTGGCAATTTAATCCATTCGGAAGACCGGGAGAGTGGCTGTATGATGTAAAATGTGGCGTTCAGTGGCCAGAAGAAGCCCCATTTTTTACAGTGCTCAATGAGACGACTAAGCCTTGTGAATGACGTAGTTGTGGGAGAATTTTGCTGCGTTTTTTGATGTTCCTGACACTGGTCACAAATGGGAAAAATTTGCATCATTTGCATTGACCTCCTCTCACCTTTCCAGGGTGAAGGGCCAGCGGCTCTACACTGAGCCCCTCCCTATAGTAGACTGAGCTGTTGGTGGGTGGGCGTAGCCAGCTCCTGCTTGTTTTTCCCAAAGTGACAGAGTCCTGAAACAAATCATTGTGGAAGGTCCTAAAAATGTCAAATGTCGCTTCCTGTGAGAGTTATCTGGTGCAAATAACTTCAGAAACATCTTTATTTGTTGGGTAGCAGTAGCTCAGAAGGTAGAGCGGTTAATCAAAAAGTTGTAGGCTCGATGCCGGCTACCGCCAGAGAATGCTGCTGTTGTGTCCTTGGGCAAGACTCTAAACGCGCCTTGCCTGCTGGTGGTGGTCGGAGGGACCGGTTATTCTTTTATTTCAAATTCCAGAAAAATTAAGACTAAAGTGTAATCACAGTGTGTCAAATGGAGATGAGATTCCACATAAAAGTGGAAAAATGCCTCCTCCCAGATTAATTCCATGGTAAACAAGAAGCTCCACCTCACCATTTTAGTCACTTTAAACAGTGACCATGTCCGCTGGTTCATGGAAGCCTTTTCCTGTACGGTTCATCTCCAGCCTTGATCACATCAGCATTTTGTGACATTAATGATGAGAATGGAGACATTCTCAGTAAAATCTGTAACTTCAGAAGAGCAGCTCATTAATCTCTCAAATGGCTTTTCCTCTCTGCCGTTAATAATTTAAAAGTGACTAAAAATCGTTGCACAAATTGACTACCACGTTCTGCCTCTGGGTGAGTCTGGGTAGATTAACAAAAGTCTCTGCTCTTGCTGTGACTTCACGGTTATTTCTGACTTTCTCAGGCCACTATAAAATAACTTAAGATTGTATTGTTTATTAAATTCTGATTTTCAGGTTGCCCTCATGACCTGGAGTTCAGGGAGGTGAGAAACGGCTCCTTGGTGCTCCTGTGGGGGACTCCGCTGTATGAAGGTCAAAGCCCCGTCACTGGCTACTTCCTGGAAATCAGCCAGGGTGACCAGTCAGACCGCTGGACTGCCCTCAACGAAAATCCAATCACTGACACGCGCTACAAGGTGAGAGCAACAACAGAGCTGATTTTCTAAGGGAACGCTTTACAGTACAAAAGTCTTTATTCTAAAAGCCCACCTGGCAGAACCTTTTGATACCTGAGTGTGTCTGCTGCTTCAAATGTTTAAATCATAAACTGAATAATTTCAGTGCCTGGTAAATATTTGATGTGCTCGCTACGACATCCAGGTGTCAGATCTTCAGAGGGGTCAGACCTACCGTTTCCGTGTTTCAGCTGTTAATGAAGCTGGAGTGGGACCAGCTTCTCTGCCCTCAGAGCCAGTCGTAGCTAACACTCGGCCAGGTCAGTACACAAAACACATACTTTCTATACAATCAAACTGTACGTGGTTCAAACGTTGCATCATTCATTGTTTTTTTTTTAAAGAAATGCCAAGTTTAGTAAAATTATTAATTGAAGAACACTTAATTCAAAGTATTCGAATGAATACTTGGCAGACGGCTCCGACCCATTTGGACCAGAACCTCTCGCCACAAAAACAGTTTCTTCCCCTCTGCAGTTGGACTTTTGAATGAACATCCTAGGGCAGCCCACTCAAGTTGATTGGTCCCAGTCACGTGACGCGATGCTGTGCTTGAAACATTCAGCAAACACTCAGATTAGTACCTACACGGGGTAGATAGCTGCTTCTCTACTTCCTGCCACTTTTTGCATTAATAATTTTATCATGAGTGTTTTATTAGTACTTATATTTGCTTATCTCTTAAAAAATTTTTTTCTTTCTTACCTTCTGCACCAAAATACCGCAGCAATTTCCTAATGTTGTGACTTGGCACACATATGGCAATAAAAACTTCTGATTCTGATTCTGAAAATTATTAATTGAAGAACATTTAATTCAAAGTATTCGAAAGAAGGCAACAGGACTTCTTTGGTTTCTTGAAGACGTTTCGCTTCTAATCCAAGGAGCTTTGTGAATTCTGACTGGAATATGGGAGAGTCATGCCATTGTTACCGTCTTTTGTTTCTTAAAGAGCTGAAACTACCTATAAATGCCCCTATCTCCACCCTGCGACGATTTGTTGATGTCGATAAGACCGATTGTGTTTGAATGGTTGTTTTGATTAGATGCAGGAAGGCGTCACCTAGGCTGAAACTGTTTTGGAATTAGGCTTATGTTTATGTATTTAGCAGACGCTTTTGTCCAAAGCGACTCACAAGTGATAATCAAGCCAGCAGGTTGTCCTTGAGGCTAACAGTAAACACTATTCAGTCAAGCCTAGGTGGCAGTGAGGCAGGTTTAGAGTCGCGCTGTAGGTGCTTGCACGATTGTCTGCTCCATGATCACAACGTGCGACACACATGGATGTAAATCAACTTTCAAGCCACGATCTTCACTTTCAAGGTGCGCAAGCTCGTTCCCAAGCCCGCCCCATTAAAAAATGCAATTGCAAATGAGGCTTTAGTCGTCAATGGCAGTGAAAAAGGTCAACTTTTCCTTTAAATACAGACTTATTTAATGTTGATGAGATGCAGATATGGTCAGGGCAGATTTGACTTGTATAGCCCAGTTGTACATTATTGTTTACAACCAGGTAATAGCACACATGCATACAACGCCGAAGGGCAAAAGAGCCTCTGTAGCCACTATCCAGACACTATTTATGTGATTTATGCTAACAAAACAAAACTCAGAGATTTAGATATTTCTACATTAAGTTATTTAGCACATCTTTTTTGAAGATGATCAAAACGTTACAAAGCTTTCAGATCCATTGGATGTAGCTAATGAGCTGTCCGGCGACAGTCCTCAGAACTGACCGTGTGGACTTCACACAGCTGAAGCAATGAAGGTGTAACTGAGTCTCTTCCAAGTTGTGCAGGTTAACGTTGAAGGATCGCCATGACACCGTTGGTCTTTGGAGCTGAACAGATTCTCCGTTTATTCTGATGAGCAACGTAAACAGAAACAGGAAACAAACAACATTGGAGGCTGCCCGCTCCAATTACTCAACGCTTTTGTGCAATTACTGTAATAAGACCATTACTGCGGGTCACACAGAACTACACAGCACATCAGCGTTGTTAATTTCACACACATTTATTTCTCAGGACTGATCTGCAGCACAGTTTTCCTCCATGCTGCCGCCTCCACTCAGCCGGTGCTTCTCCCCCAGCTACTCGTACCCTGCAGCCGCGCATAATTGTATAAGAAAACATACAGGCCATTAAATGACAAGAACCTTTTCGCATTTGGACACGCGGGGGAAGATACTGTAATTTTTTTATTCTGTCATGAGATTTTGGCCCCCACAATGTGGATGAGATCATCTACTAGAGCGCTTCTTGGCTGTTAACCACCGCCTATACTGTAAAAATGTACGTTACTGTCCTTCTTTCATGCGTTTGTGAGGCCTGCTGTGCTGCATTTGTTAACCATGCTGATGGATTTTATTTCGCTGTGATTTAGCTCACTTTATTGACAACTGACAGATAATATCAACAGTGGTCAGCAGGGGAGGGCCCTCTTTTTGTGGTCTATAGTCCACAAAAATATGCTGAAAAAACAGCCAACAGGCAGAATGACAGCTTTAAATAACACCAATATCTATAAACCAGCATTTATTGGAATAATCAAGGAAAAATGGCTAACCCAAACGCAATAACATGTATACATTTACCAAGGAACATGACTAAAACTGGCAGTTGTGACACAAATAAACTCAAGATGAATGCATCTGTACATCACATGAGGGTAAAAATACATTGAGTTTAAATTTCCAAAATAAATGATGACATGTGATTGCCATTAAAAATGATTTAACTGAAAAGAAAAAGCATTCCAGTTTTGACATATATTTTGTGTTTTCGTCGTCAGGCACCAAAGACATTGAGATCGGTGTGGATGAGGACGGTTTTATATTTTTGGGTTACGAGGCTGTTGAAAAGAACGACGAGAGCAAATTCCTCTGGAGCAGGAACTACACAGAGCCCATCGATGCAAAGAGAACAAAAACAGAAAGCAAACAGAAGAGGTAAGGAGTTAGAGAAACTTTAGAGCTGTGGTCCGTAGCCCTTGTACATCGTGAAGCTCCCTCCATCTTTTAAAAGCGCCTCCGATGTGAATTCTACTCAACTGTCGTAAACGTCTCACAGACAGATTCACAGAAGGACTTTTGAAATATTAAAATTTTCCATTAAAGTTTTCCATGGCAATCGGTTACTTCTGCACTTGTTTTGGTCACTCCATTGCAAACAAGCCTAGCGTCACTTTGTGGTGCATGCTGGGAACTAGGATGCATTCTCGATGATTAGGCATGTTTTCATTGTCAGAACTTCCCGCCTGGTCCTCTCAGCCATTGTCTCCACACAAATTCAACCCTTTCAGGTCTTTGCACAGATGTTGGCGTGTCGCGACATCTTCGGCAGTGATTGATGTCACTGATCAGTGCCTAAAAGTGTCCATAGTGACATTAGAAGTTTTAATCTGTAGATACGCTAATCCAGGGGTGTCAAACATGCGGCCCGCGAGATGGTTGTGTAAACTTTATTTTCATACTTTACAATGTAGAGTGAAAATAAACTTATCTTTGTGAGCAAGTTTTCTCTGTAATGAGTATAAATAAAAACAAAGCTGCGCTCAAGGCTCACACAAGAACTTGAATCACATCCTGAAGTTGGCCGCCACTCAGGATGTGACTTCTGATATTGATGTGCTGGTGAAAGCTAAAAGATGTTAGGTAAAATTTGTCAAATATACTTTACATGCTGCATGAAACTGATCTAGCCATGTGACACTTCAGATGTTGTACTTGTACTATTTTGGATACACTGTCCTCAGGCTCCAGCCTTGTTTTATATTGATTGTATTAAAACAAAGAAAACAATCTGAAGTTTTTTTTTAATTTACCGGTCCGGCCCACTTGGGACTAGATTTCCCTCAATGTGGCCCCTGAGCTAAAATGAGTTTGACACCCCTGCGCTAATCCCTTCGGAGGACCGGGAGAGCTGCTTGCTTGGTGGAAAATGTGGCATTCAATGACCAGAAGAACTGCCATGTTTTATGGTGCTCCGTGAGAAGACAAAGCCTTGTGAATGACGTCGTTGCGGCGGGGGTTCCACTGCTTTTGGGACTTTTGGTAGCAGAATTTTTTTTTTGAACAAGGAATTTTTTAAACAGAACATTCAGCACTAATTAAAACCCCTAATTCCCACCCACCACACTACACTGGATCATCCATCCATCCATTGTCTATTGGCCCTTTGCACGTGACGACATGCCACTCATGTGACCGCCCCCTTCGCCATGAGGGATGACAAAAAGACCGTTTACACCCGTAGAAACTCCAGTGAAGGTAGTCAAAACAAGCCAGTTTGTAGTCTTTTATCGCTTTTATTTAGTACATTTGACAGTAAAATGGTTTTAGCTTGCAAAAGGACGTGAACTCAACTCGTTTTGTTTTTTTAATAACTTTGATGGAGACTGAGGACAGAGATGAACTGCAGCGATCAATAAATCAAGCGGACTAGCAGCCCTCAGATTAGCAGCGAACATGTTTTTACCGGGTAAGATTAACGTTAATTTATTTCACGAGGAAGACAGGGACAGGGATAAATGTGATGTGTTTATACAAGTTATTGATAATCCTGATGGATGGGTATTTCACCACGGAGGCTGCGCTCTGTCCACTGTAGTGTAAAGCGAGACAATTATTAACAATATTAAAGCTCCGATGTACGACTACGTGTGTTAAAATTACGTTATTTATTTATATGAGCGTCGGCGTTCAGAGATCTTCTCATTCCGGTGTGAGAGCAGCAGCTGAACCCGGTAACACCACCAGCAACAGAAGCTGGTAGGGATCCGGGCTTTTTAAAAATCATCTTTGGTGTAAAGTGAAACGCTGTTTACAACATAAAGTTATAAATCCAGAGGGGTGAATTTAGGCAAAGTCAGCAACATGTTTACATCGGTGAACAGCTGCAGAGAGAACGTAAGCTAACGTTGTTAAGCTAGTTAACATACCGCACTCTATGAGCCCCCGCTAGATGCGCTACTTCTTCTGATAACTGAACCGAGCATGAACTAGTTGAAGGAATGCTGGAGGAGTTTCGTTTTTGTTTTGATCACAAAAACAATTTCAGGCTCTACTTTACCCTTTGTTCAGTAATGTGTCGCTCACTGTTTACATGCTTTTGCCGTCCACCATGGTGGACCCACGTGATTAGGTGATGTCGGTGCAAAGGGTCAATATCCGCTTATCCACGCAGGGTCGTCGGGGGCTGGTGAATATCTCCAGCAGGCTCTGGGCAAGCAGGTGGGGTACACCCTGGACAGATTGTCAGTCCATCGCAGGGCAGCACAGAGACACACAGGACAAACAACCATGCACACTCACACCTAAGGACAAAATTTGAGAGACAAATCAACCTAACAGTCATGTTTTTGGACAGTGGGAAGAAGCCGGAGTAGCTGGAGAGAACCCACGCATGCACAGGAGAACACGCAAACTCCATGCAGAAAGACCCAAGGTTGGGATTTGAACCCAGGACCTTCTTTCTACAACAGTGTCACTGTGCAGCCCTACACTGGATCAATCACACGAAATCAAAACAAAAATAAGTACAGACCAGGTTTACCGTTGATGCTAAAACAAACCATAAATATAGACATAACAAGAAAGAAACTGCCACAGGAAATCTTCATCAGGTACAAATACGGCTATTTTAAAGCTGTGCGAATGGTGCTTATTTGCTATTTCTATTCTAATTTTACCAATGCCGGTTGTTTTGGATGGCGTCTGCTGATGTCATTTCCTGCTGAGTTATAACCAATCAGTGAGAGTTAAGCAAAAGTTCCACTTGGGCCTTTCCGAGTACCTACCCCTGTTCAGGTACTCTGTTGATTCCTGAAAACGGCCCGTTCAGCCGGCCCGGTGAAGCGGAGACGTGCCTATGATGCAAAGTTCCGGTAAAATTACCCTGAAGTTCTGATAGTGGAAACACGCCTAATGACAGCTCCGTCTTGTGAATAACGAACTCTATTGGTCAACGCTATCGGCTCACGTAAATAATTTGTTTTGCTGTAGAGGCCAGGGGGAGGGGCTTAGGGGAAACCAAAATTAAGAAAGACTATCCACTTTGAAGCAGAGAACAGGGTCAGATAGTCACGTTTTTTAAAGTGACTTTAAAAACCTCAAACGACGTACCACAGCTTTTATAAGAAATGTCCGTGCAAGTCGGCAACTTGTCAATATTTCCCAAATCTGTCCACTTCCTTTTGGTGAATAACTCAAAGCTGTGCACATACATCTGCCGCGCTCTAAACTGTTGTCTGTCAGGTCCGTTCTGACCTTCACAGACCCATCTGAGGAGGATCTGGGTCTGTATGCCGTAGAGATGAGCGACACCCCCTACCTTTCATCCAGTTACAATTTCACCGCTGAAGGTAAATTGTTGAAGCTTTGATCCTTATTTCAGCAAAGTTTACTCACAAATTAATCTGTTTCTCAGTTCCTGAAGGAGTTAAGTGTTTATTTTTTATAGGTTACTAAGCTTTTCTCTCCAGCAGCCTCTTCTACAAGATCACCTGTTCAGCTCAGCACATGTTTTTAATCTACTTTCCTGTTTGACTCGCTGGTAGTTTGACAACAAAACACTGCTGTACAAAAATTCATCAACCATCAGCTTATATTTCGTTTCACTGTTTTGCAGACCTTGAACGTCTGAAAGGGCTCAGCTGGCAAATCAGAAATCCCTGTATGTACCACCCTTATAATATAATCACTTCCATCTGATTCCTTTTATCTCCTTGATCTGCATAATTGCTCTAATCTCTGTTAATATGTGACCTTTTGTCTCCTAGTATCTTTGGTGTCTCTACACGAATCTTGTGATCTGACCTGATTTGTCTTTCATTTCCTCTTTGGAGTGATCGCTCTGAGGTCAGGCTGGCAGGTGGAGGTTTCTGAGAGATGCGACGTGCGTCTTTGGCTTCAGGCTGAGAGTTTGAGCGAGTCTGCTGAGTTTCGTCTCATCTTCAACGACCGGGAAATCTCCAGCTCTCCAGTAGGTCATCTTCTGTCTCTGTAGCTTAGGAAGAATACTCTCTGACATTGTAAAACAGCTGAGAGCTGCCTTTGTTTGAAAGGCAAAAAAAATAATAATTCCCCAAAAATCGGATTTGATTACTCACATGTGTAATGATTTAAATTACATGTCGTTTAATAAGCCATAAGATGTAGGATTCCATAGGAAATATGAAATCAACCTTATGGATCTGTTGGGTTATTTTAACCAGAAGATTGAAACTTTTTATTGCAGAGATTAGAAAACAGCTCCGTATTCACTCAGAGACAACAGAAGAGAGTCAAGTTTAAAAAGTTTGAAGATTTATTAAACAGATTAAAACTAGACTAACTTTAACACTAAATGTATGGTGTGACTAAGGTGAATGAGACGGAGAATGGTGTGATGTGGACTGTTGCTCAGAACCAGCAAATCCAAAGAAGCGATTAGTTCTGATGGGAGTGAAGGTGATGTTTTCACGTTAAGCTTTGGTTAGGAGATTCATAAACACATTCGACGCCATTCTTGTCGGCCTATATACCCTTAGCGGAAGTCCCCGTCTAGATCAGGAGATGTAAAGGTCCAGCTTGACCTTGTGGAGCCTGAGCCTGTAGAAGCAGCCGCGGCAGCCGACCACCAGTCTTGAGATACTCCCGGGTCACGACAATTTTGTTGGCATCTAGTGAGACCCAAACCTGGGCCGTGATGGCTCAGCTTTTATTCTGAAAGGAACCGTTGCAGCAGTTGGAACAGCAACATTTCATCCAGCTTGCCGTTTGTTATTTCGGCTGAAGAGGAAAGTTACGGATTAGCCACTCCGACAACTTCTCTAGAACGCTTTGAAATGGCGCTAAAGATGACGTGGGCACAGTTTTATAATCCGGATGTTTTGATTTACGGTCGAATAAAAAGATGACAGATTTACCAAGCATCACCAGAACCCCACCTCCGTCAGATCTGGCAGATTCTGACTGGATCAGTGAAAGCAATGTTTCATGTCTCTTAACGCTACGTGAGATCAGTCCTAGTGGAAACATTTTAAGTCATATTACTTATTATATTCTATAGGATTATAATAAAGTAATTAATATTTTGATTCACAGATTGGTCACATCTCATTTATTGACTAACACTTTGTTTGATTAGCTTTATTAAAATAGAGTTCTTTGATTTATTAAAAGGAGAGAGTCATTTCTTCATTCTTCTCTTGAGCTGGAAAGAAGCAGTTTATAACAAATGCATGAGACCTTGAGGCCATATCTCATGCAGACTAGTTCTGTGTCAGAGGAGAGGGGGAAAATGACTTTTGGTGGAAAACAGTCATTTCATACCGTTACACATGCAACCTAAATGTAGTTGCTGTACTAGGTAATTCAGATCTTTTGAAGTGGAGGGATGGTGGCAGAGGAGTTAAATGCCTCCTTATTTGGAGGGTTGCTGGTTTGTGCCCCGCTCATTCTGTCACAGTCGTGTCCTTGGGTAAGACACTTCACCCTCCCTGCCTGCTGTGGTGACTGGATGGGCCAGAGGCGCCAGTCCTCAGCAGCCTCGCCTCCATCAGTGCACCCCAAAAAAGCTGTGGCTACATTGTAGTTCATCACCATCAGGGTGGGAATGTGTGGGTGAATGACTGGTGGTGTTGTAAAGTGCCTTGGGGGTTGTCAAGGCACTTTATAAATACCGTGTGAGGTAGAACAAAACTTTAACTCACAATGGGGCCAGTTACAAGGTGCCATAAAGTTGCAACACACTCTTTATTTCAATAAATTTGCTAGGGCAGTGGTCCTGCAGGCTCCTCTCTGTGGACCCCGAACCCCCCAAGCTTTGCCGTTGACATCATCATAGAGCGCAACGTTCTGTGACTCTTAAAAAAACAGTGAAAACGCTGAAAGATGCTGGCAGCAAAGGGCTTTTCTGATCTGGAAATGGCTGGCAGTGAATGAGTTAATACTATTCTTGGCTTATTGGCTAATACCAACGCAACTCTTCCACTGCCTTCATTTGTTCTTCTTTCTCAGGTAAAAAAAATGCAACGTTTATGTTTTATCTCCACAATTATCACAAGCCCAAAGGTGTTCTGTCATGTTGTGGAGTTGCTAATGCTAACTGTAATGTTAATAAAGTGTATTGGGTTAAATAAATTGCTTAAGAGCTATTTATTATTATTAACACCACTTGAGACCAATAAGCTGTAATACTCTATTTAAATATAGAACACCACCTTGCCTGGTCTTTGTTTGTTTTAGTCAGAAGATTCTAGGATTCTTTTATTCATTAAGGGATCGTACACACTTCGCTTGATTCAAGAAACAGTCAGGTTTATAAACAAAATAAGAATTTATTTTACAAACAATTAAGACTTGACAAATTGTTTAAACTATTAGTTACTGTGAGTGGATGAGAACTGAAGGATGGTGTCTGGAACCTACGTGTGAATATAATGTAATGGAGTCAGAATCTCCGGTTCTCCGAGAGCTGATTTCTGGATATTAAAGAATTTGGTTTGCGTTAAGCTATAAGTTGTTATTATCAAAACCACATGCAGACTCTACCTGTGTGTCTACTTTACCCAGATTAAGGCCTAGTCCACACGTAGCCGGGGTTTTTAAAAATGAATATCCGCCTCTCCAAAAACTTGCATCCACACCACCGCGTTTTAAAAACAAACTCTGTCCACACGTACCCGGATAAATACGTTGTTAAGGACATGCCAGACCTGTAGGCGGCAGCACTTCCCCCGTTCTTAACCTCGTCCTTCGTCTGTGGTCTTCCGCAGGGAGCAGTAATTCCGCTTGCAAAAACAAACAAGCAGAAAGCGCTTGGACAATTGATGGATCGGGTAGTGACAGAGCGCAGCTCTGAAGGCTTCCGTGATGCCGGCTAGTGTAAACACAGGTCGCACACGTGATGTCAGCATTTTTTTGTCACGGAAAGTGACGTTGTGGACCTTAAAACTCCGGTTTTGTCCGTCCACACGCAGACACCCAAAACGGAGAAAACGCAGATCTTCACTTTGGCCGGAGTTTTTAAAAAGATCCGTTTTCGTGTGAAAAAACTCCGTTTTCGTGTGGATGACAGGCCAAAACGTAGGAAAATATCTACGTTTTGGCAGATCCCCGGCTACGTGTGGACAGGGCCTAAGAGACCCTCTTGGTGGATCTAAAAGTGAGAGGTCGGATGACCACTGGCACCGGAGGGCTGTAGAGTAGTACCGAGATACCGATTCTTTCAGACCAGAGCTGTCTCTCTCGGGCCACGACAGATGGATGAAGCCGAGCGTCTTAAAACAAACTCTGAAGAAGTTTGCGTCAGCTTTGTTCTGCAGGAAACTATCTTGTTGGTTCAGCTTTGCAGGTGCAAATAAGGTTAAAGGTTTTGACAACGTGTCAAAACGCTTCAGGTTAAAGAGGTTATGCTCAGATGGCCGGTCTGAAGCTCGCTCTAGAACCCTCGAACTGTTGACTGTTCGAATGGTTTTGAACTGAAGTTGAACTGAGGGAAAAACCAGAGTAAAAGTAGTTATAATGGATTGATGTTATGAATTAATCACCAACCAGTAGTTGGCACATTTGAGGATATTACTAAGAATCTCAGAGACACACCGTCTTTGATTCGTAGACTCTGAATCTAGGCAAAAGGTTAACTTATGTGTCATCCGTTAACTTAACTTTACTCTGTCCTTGTGTGAGTGCAGATGTTGATGACCTCATCCAGTAAACATGCTAACATATATCATTAAGCACAGATCAATGAACACTTCATTATTTATAATCAGCAATGACAAAAGTTCATTCAACGATTATTTTTAATTATAAAATCTTCTTCCTTCTTGGAATAAAGGAGTTCATTTAAAAGAGCTTCTCTGTGATGGATCTTGGAGGAGAATGTTATTGTTTATGCTTTATTATCCCTCAACGCTGCAGTCCAGCTGGTGTGAGGAAGCATGCTCTGATTAAAGGGACTACGTGTAGACTCCCAGACTCCTGTGAGGGGAAAAGATACTGTAGGATGTGTCATAGCCAGGGTAAGCTGACCTGGCTGTGCATTTGACCAGTGTGATCTCAAAATCAGGCCATTTCGTGACGTTAGATAATGTTTAGCTTAGTTTAGCTTACTAGCCTAGACAGGCTCTACTCTCCCCTGGCCACTAAATCAAGATGTGGGAGTCTTTGAATGCTAATTTTGCAGTGTGATGTAGATCTATGCGGTTTTGCCAAACCAAGAGTTTCATCGTCTATTTTCTTTCTGCAGCTAATACAAGAAATGGGGGTAGAAGACTATTTTCATGTTCAGCCTGTGTGTGAAACTCAGAGTGACCAATCATAATTGAAAAAGAGCATGCATTATACGTTTCTTAGTGAACTTGACTTTTAAAACAATTCCAGTCTCAAAAAAATGTTTGTTTCAGCAGAGGTCGTAGCCTAGAAATGGATGGTGCCACTTTATGCGCAGTCTCCTTTTTATTTCTAAATCATTACTTCTGAACTTAATCAGAACTCATTATTTTTCCAAAGTGAAGTCAATCAAAAAGCTATTTACAGTAAGTCAAATATAAAGCCACCATAATGTTTCTGCAAAAGCCCCTTTCTAAAGAAGAGTCTGCATAATAATCATCCAGCAGATTTGTTTTCTTCTCTTTTTTCTACAAATGGTAAATATGAACATCTTGCCACTCCTCCAGCTGTTTTGTAATCTGCTTGAAGTCAAGTTGTCCAGATGGGAAAGAGAAAAAGACTACATGCCGTTCTGTTAAACATTGTCCCTAAAGTCTTGACAGAATTTGGACATGACTGAAAACAAGAGTCATCAGCAAAGAAAGCTGTTTTATTCCAGTCCTCCACAAACTCCTTTTATGTATTTAGATCCCATACTACTGATGGTCTGCTTTGTTCAAATTTGCTTTTTTGTGTTTCAAATGTGGGAAAACCTGCACACATCCTGAATCTCTCTACTTCTGTATTAGAGTGAATGCATATGTCTTTGTGACAAGTCAGCGTGAATCCAAAACAGCAATTAGTGGTTTAATAAACATCCTGCAAGGCAGGAAATAGATGCTGTCAGCAGAGATGAAGAGCAGGTGTGTGAAGCAGCAGAGAGGACTGGAAGCTGAGTTAATGTGATGAAGTCTGGAGGACGGGAAGATCACCCGAGGTGAAGGCAAAGACGGAGCACACATCTGCTAAATGTGTCACGTTTCATTAGAGGCTGATGAAAGAAAGCAAATAAACAAACTCATTGAAAACCAACATTATTGCAATTACTTTATTTTGAAAATTATACAGATTGACAACCAATATGGTAATGACATAGTTTTTATTTATTTTTTTTGGATGAAAATATGAATCTTTTGAGTTGATCTGTGGTTTTCATACAGCAATTGTATTTATTAAGGGACAAAAGCTATCCAACCAACCTGACCCAAGAAGGTAACTATTCTCTCACCCTAATAACTTCTTTTTATGCCCCTAATAATTGCAACCAAACACCTTGTTTCAATTCAGAATGGTTTTTCATCAAGAGCTGTCTGTTTTATTCATGGTTCCGCCAATCATAGCAAGAGGTCCGCTCTTGCTCCTGCAGCCCCAGACCATCACACTACCTCCACCAAGTTGGATTGTTGGTGTGATATTCATTTTTCTAAATGGAAGAGTGAATCTTTCTCTTGATCCAACAGGACATGCACCTTCCGTAAAGTTCCACTTTTGTCTCGTCAGTTCACAGAATATTTTCTCTAAGATCATCGACCATAACTGTAACCAAATTCCTTGAGTGGATTTAAGACTGAATAGGTCATTGGAATCCAGACTATCCAGACTATCAGTGTGTTCATGTTTTAATTGAGTTCATGTGGAAATGTTTTTAAATGTGAATTTTGTATTTTGAATGTGTATTAATGTTGTAACTTGTGCTGCAGCTCTGTCTGTCTTGGCCAGGTCTCCCTTGCAAAAGAGATCTTGTATCATGGGACCAACCTGGTTAAATAAAGGCAAAATAAATAAATAAAATAAAATGAGGCCTGCAGAGTTTTATGGCTCTTTTCCACTAGTACCCACTCAGCGCAGCTGGACTCAGCTCAACATAGTCCCAAGGCATTTCTACTTGAAACAGGTACCAATTTTTCACCCCCTTTTTAGTACCGACTTCCATATGGTTCCAAGCGTACCGAGCCAGGACATTAACAAAACATTGTGGCTAGGAGATGGAGTCACTGATCGGTTAAGAGGTGGAGTTACTGATTGGTTGGGGGTGGAATCCATGATCAGCTAGGGGTTAAAGTCACTGGTTAGTTACAGGATTGAGTCACTGATCGGCTAGGGGTGGAGTCAATGATCGGCTGGGGGTGGAGTCAATGATCAGATGGGGGTGGAGTCAATGATCGGCTGGGGTGGAGTCAATGATCAGATGGGGGGTGGAGTCAATGATCGGCTGGGGTGGAGTCAATGATCAGATGGGGGGTGGAGTCAATGATCGGCTGGGGTGGAGTCAATGATCAGATGGGGGGTGGAGTCAATGATCGGCTGGGGTGGAGTCAATGATCAGATGGGGGGTGGAGTCAATGATCGGCTGGGGTGGAGTCGATGATCAGATAGGGGTGGAGTCGATGATTGGTTGGGGGTGAAGTCACCTTGCCGTCTGCAGCCTCTTCTGGGCCGTTTCTTTTTGGAGTCTTACAAAAATCCACAGACGGAGCAAAATGTTGCAGCCAGGTCCATCTGAAATGTTCAACATTACTACCATGTCCTCCAGTGTTGTGCTGTGTTGTGTCTGTGCTACTTTCCCTGTCTCTGAGGGCTGTCCCGCTGTGACGAGCTCGTCCACTACAGCTGTGAGTTAGTCAAGCCAAGCCAAGTCGAGCTGTGCTGGGTGGGTACTTGTGGAAAAGGGCCATAGATGTTGATGCGTTTCGGTAGAACTAGACATATCTTGTTGCTTTTGAGATCTTTTAGCCTACTTTGTATTGTCAGACATGTTTGTTTAAAGTGATTTCTTAATTCTACAGGTCTGATGTAGTCAGGTCTGAGTGTGGCTTGGGAAATTGAACCCAACTTTTCAAATAATACCATTAATCACTGTTAGTCATGGAGGCAGGCTGGTAAACAAAATCATCATTTAAAAACATTTTGTATTTAATCTGATTATGTTTGCCTCTGATTCAGTTTGGAAACATAACTGTAACAAAATAGAAGTAAAATCAAAAGAGAGCTGTACGTTTTTCTCACCACTGTGTGTTTAAAACAGCGTCAGAAGTGTGAAAAATGCGTACGTGGTTTCTCATAGGAGGCAGTGGCTGTAATAGTCAGACTTTGTGAAATTACTTTTCCCTGTTTTACTGCGGAAAAAACAAAATGATGTGACCCGGTATGTTAGAATGGGATTCAAACCTAAATGACCCCCACAAAGAGGTACATCATAACCATCCAGGAATGCAAACCGAACGTGAACAAACATATTTAGCATGAGTGTATGTTATGACAGCAGGCTGAACATAATCAGCACCGTCGTCTGGGTTATTGAAGCAGGCATCAAGGTGGCCACAGGGAAAACAATGAGTGCAACGCAGAATCTTTATTGCCATTTCACCACTTTGTCAGGCCTCACAGTGTGTGTGTGTGTGTGTGTAGATGCTTTATATTCAGCAGCTTCCAGTCGCGTTTCATTTTCATTTGTTCCATTATTTCCCAATATCGGCGCTGCATCTGAACAGTACTGATTATACATTATTTCTAAATGATCACAGCTGAGGTTTGCAAATTCAAACGCCATTAAACTGATTAGGGTCCTTGGGCTTGCCGTACTTCACAAATCACATCCACCGCTGGGGCCCATCAACATGCGAGGCATACGCTTCACTCGGTGAACATCAAAGCCATGAAAAGGAGCTGGAGGTCTGCTTCCTCTGCTTGTTTGTGTGTATTTGCATGTTTTGGAACGCAGAACTATTTTATCCACCCAGTGCAGATGTTGTTTAAGACTCTTTGCTCTCTGATTCGTGATGTGTTCTCTGTCAAATCTCCAGTGGGATCGTTTGTCTGCTGATGAGCTCTGCGCCGTAACATTTGTTTGCTCTCCTGCAGCACCATAAGATCAACTTCAACAAGGCCAAAGGTCTGGTGGAGATACTGTTTGATCAGCTCTCTGAGGACGATGAGGGCTCGTACACGGCTCAGCTGAAAGACGGCCGCGCCAAGAACCAGTGCACTTTGGTCTTCGTAGATCAAAGTATGTCATTTATTCACTCTAACACAAAGCTGCCTCATTGTCTTTCTTATGTATCAGAGGAAAAGCTCTCATTTATTCATTCATCCATCCTCTGAAACCACCTTCCTGTAAGCGCCACATGGAGCTGGTGCCTATCTCCAGCAGTTGCAGATCAAAAGCAAGGAAATATCACCCCTAATTGATTGGAACAATTAACAAACTAACAAACGGGGATTAGCAGCACAGAAAACCAGAGATGGTGGCATGCAGAGCGATTCAATCTTTGGAATTTATCGCATCTGTCATTCTACTTCATGCATATTTTTGTTCTTGCTCTTAACTTCTAGGACAACAGATTCAGATCTGATTTAGTCTGATAGTGTTGATGTTCTTTCAGAGTTTCGGGAGACTTTGGCCTTGGCTGATGCAAATCGACGAGATGTTCAAAGAAAAGCAGGTGAGAGATCCACAGACTTCAAAAACTCACATTAAATAAAAGAAAAATATAAATATTCACAAATGATTACTAATTGATGACAAAATGCTATTCCTACTAGGTACTGCTAGAGATAGTTTTCACATTTGGTCATTTTTAACAGCAAATTTTCCATTTCACTTAATCATTAAGAAACTTGAACATTAACCTATGAAACCTGAATTTGATTTTGGTGTGATTTAACAGAAAAAATTATTCTAGCCATTATAGATTAGCCGACTCTTATAAACGTGAACAGAAGGTTACTCAGATAAAAATTTGTTTAAATAAAAATGTTGACCATTTTCAGAAAAGAAGGAAAGAAAAAGTTACTTTTTTAAACAAAGTCAAAATCAAGTGTCTCTAAATGATATAAGTTAAATAAAATATAGTGCAAGAATCCAATGTCCTCATATGTGAATGCTGGGTCTTAGGAGGTTAAAGCTGGGGTCTGTAGTGGGATCACTTTTATGTTACTTTAAAATTTAAAGAGCAAGTCACCCCAAAATCAGCTTTTTTGCAGATAAATTATACAAACCAGTGTCTAATCATGCTGCAGTCACATGTAGTCAATAATTTGGGACTTTAGTGCATTTTAGATAAAATTGTAGTATTCTGCCTAAACTGCCAGTGTTGCACCTTCTTCAGGTAAAAACTCTGCACTGCATTTGAATTTAAATCTGCCATTGCTATTGGCTAAGAGTTACACTATGAAGTTAGATGGTACATTATGATGTCACAATTGTGTGTGTGTGTGTGTGTGTGTGTGTGTGTGTGTGTGTGTGTGTGTGTGCGTGTGCGTGTGCGTGTGCGTGTGCGTGTGTGTGTGTGTTAGCAGCTCCACCCTCTCGGTCTGCCAGGCAACAGCATTTGTTGCATTTTTCAAACAGGAAGTGGGAGTGGAGTAAGACTCTGGTAGATGATGACTTGCTCATTAAAGAGCTAGTCATCTCCTACAAGTTCTAACTCCACTCCCATTTTCTGTGTGGAAAATGCACCAAAAGGAGGCATGGCCTGGCAGACTGAGAGGGCTGAACCGCCAACAAACACACACACAGGATCATAGCCGCATTGTGACATCATAATGTACCAGCTAACATCATAGGGTACCCCATAGCCAATAGCGATGGCAGATTTAAATTCAATGCAGTGCAGAGTTTTTACCTGAAGAGGGCGCAACACTGGCAGTTTTGGCAGAATATTTAAATTTTAACTAAGATGCACTAAAGTGCCAAACAATGACTACATGTGTCTGCAGCATGATTAGACACTCATTTATATAGTAGTGATCTGTCGGTCGCGAACAAACCGGCTCTAAGAGCCGGCTCTTTGAAGTGAACGACGGGAGCCGGCTCGTCATTGGGAGCCGTCCCCTCCCCTCTTGCTTTGGTGAAAGCTACAGGCGACTGGTTAACATGTGTAACTGCATGTCCAGACTGTCCACACACAGAGCAGTAGGGACGGGGAAGAGGGAGGATCAGACTCAGACACACAGCAGAGCACATACGAGGGAGGGCGACGAGAGGGAATGAGGAAGTGGAAAAAGGCAAGCAAGAGAGAGGAGAGTGTGAAAAAGACGGTGAGAAAATGAGTGCCAGCAGTCGGAAGGTGGAGATTTCTTTAAGTGTTCAGTTATTAAATCCATAGAAATGATAAATATTTGATATATTGCATTTTTTTTACATTAGTAAATCATTTTACATATAGTTTTGCATTATTTTGGTTATAAATGTACTCTACGCAACAGAAAATCTGAGGAGCCACCTGGGAGCCGAGAGAGCCGGCTCTTTTTGGTGAGCTGAGACAAAAAGAGCCGGAATTCCCATCACTATTATATAGTTTATCAGAAAAAAAAAGTTGATTTGAGTGACTTGCTCCTTTAATGCAAGAAAATTTTAAAATATTCAATTCAATTCAAGTTTATTTATATAGCGCCAAATCACGACAAGAGTCGTCTCAAGGCACTTCACAAAATGAACATTCCAATTCAGGTCAGTTCTTTAAGCCAATCAGAAATAATGTTTCCTATATAAGGAACCCAGCAAATTGCATCAAGTCACTGACTAGTGTCAGTGACTTTACAGCAATCCTCATACTAAGCAAGCATTTAGCGACAGTGGAGAGGAAAACTCCATTTTAACAGGAAGAAACCTCCAGAGAATCCTGGCTCAGTATAAGCAGCCATCCTCCACGACTCACTGGGGATTGAGAAGACGGAGCAGACACACACACACACACACACACGCACACACACACACACACACACACACACACACACACACACACACACACACACACACACTCAGACAGACAAAGACAAAGTAATGTGTCTATAGTTATATTGTGATTTCTTAGTAAATATTCTATTTGGTGAGAGATAAACTTTATTGTATTTATCCTAGTGGATCTATAATTAAACGGATAAACTAGTAGTAGCACATCCAACGTCAAGGAAAGCAAAAAGTTATTATCAGGAGAGGGAGAATGTTTAAGTGGTTAGCAGCAGTGTGCTAGATGATAGCCCCCTCCATGAGGCCACCACAGCTCAGCAGAACATCGTTGTAGCTTCTTCTGGGGAGAAAAACACTTAGAGAGAAAATAAAGTTAACAGCTGAAATAGCAGGAAATAATACAGATAAAGAGCAGACTGTAGAAGAAAGCAGTCGAGTGTGAAAAGTGGTCAGTGTATCCTCCAGCAGTCTAAGCCTATAGCAGCATAACTACAGAGATAACTCTGGATAATCTATCCTATTTAGATGTAGGCATGTTGGAGGCAGGGCAAGGGAGAGCCGTCTTTACCGACAGTACATTCCACCTCCCTGTACTCCCCCACTTGTCCAGATTTAGGCTAACATCAGATTTTAACCATAGGCCCTATCAAAAAAATGTTTTAAGCCTATTCTTAAAAGTAGACAAGGTGTCTGCCTCACGGACTAAAGCTGGGAGCTGGTTCCACAGGAGAGGAGCCTGATAACTAAAAGATCTGCCTCCCATCCTAATTTTAGATATTCTGGGAACCACCAGTAGACCTGCAGTCTGAGAGCGAAGTGCCCAAATATGATGTGCTTCCATGTTTTGATTACATGTATGGGCAAATGTCCTGGAGTGCACTTGACCGAGTGGAGTGTCCAACTCCAGGTTTACCATTTACAGTCCATGTGGCACTCCAAGTACAAAGACTACATGTTGGTTCAGAAAATGTAAAAAAGCTTCATAAAAAGATTCTAAATAGAAAATGTAAGGACACAATCCCCTCCAAAGTCATGTTCTATTAGTTTCATTGTCTTTATTCAACCTGACAGTTACATTAATAAACATATTATTTATGTTATCTTTGTTTCTGTTGCTCAGTACAGATTTTTAATATTTTTTCTGTATTTCAGGGCCATATTTCCAAGAATATTTAACATGGTCTGTGAATGAGGACTGTGAATTACTAATAAAGTGCAAGGTAATATTTTACACGTGCATTTTCTTGATGATAATAACACAATAAAGCTTTTTTTATCAGTAAAATCTTTACTAATATTTATGAGCCAAGTGCTTGATTGGTCTAATTAGTTAGTAAATCACAATAGGAAAAATAGGAATCACCTAAAATGTTTATTTAAAGATGCATGTTAAAAGTAATCTTCCACTATTTTTGATTGATCATTATTTCATCCATCTATCTCCTTCTGCTAATTACAGTTTGGGTAAAATAGGTAGCAAGTCCATGAAGGAAGAACCTTTTCAAGCTTTTCAAGCTAGACACCGTGTTTCCTTCTATGGGAGCCAATGAGAACAAAACACATTTACTGATTTTTAACAAATGATTACAAAACGTTGACCATTAATAAACATTGTTTTACACATTTACCTCTTCACTTGTTGCCAGCGGTGAAAGGGAGTCTGATTCTTGTCATTTTGCTGAAGTTTGCACTCCCCAGGGCTTTTTGACCCTAATGGGCATCTGTTGGTAAGGTCTTACACCAACACAAAAATACTGTTTGCTTGCAACAATTTAGGTATCTACTGCCCCCTATCGCCAGGAAAAATACACACTGTCACTTTAAAATCCTTTAAAAACAAGGATTTTTTTTCATTGTGACTTTATTTCCATACACTAGTATTTATTTATTTTTACCTTTTTAATTATTAAAATATGTTTGAGGAAAAACCTAAATTTCCTACAGTCAATGGAAAATGTCCAAGATATTTTCTGACTGGAACACCATTTGTGTTTCAATGAACATTTTTCTTCCAGTGCAGAACAAAAACATGATTTCCACTTCTTTGTGACTTATTGCTTAGTCTTTATTAGGTTTTGCATCAATCTCTAAACTCTCACCTATAAAGCCGCAAACGGTTCCTCTTTAAAACATGTCAGGACTAGTACGTACCCTCCTAATTAAAAAGATCAAGAACACCGCGTTCGGCTAACCTTTTCCAAGTCACAGTCCGTGACAGGTGAAAACGTTCCAGAAACGTCAGATACGTTAAATCTCAATCTTCATGAATTCTGACCTTACTCATCACTTCTTGTGTTTGAGTGCTACGTAAATAATATTTTACATCTTTGAGAAAAAAAGGTATAATTCCATAAGTTCAAGAAACAATCAGAGTAAACCTTATATGTGTGCATTATTCTCTACGCAAACAGGTGGCAAACACAAAGAAGGACACATCTTTCAAGTGGTTTAAGGAGGACATGGAAATAAAAGAGGTTGTTTATGATCAGGAATCAGGAGTCGGCTCTCTCGCCATCCCGCAGGTATTTAAATCTACGTTTCTGTCCCGGTCTGGTTCAAAGAATTTCTGTTTTTTTAGAATATCGGCATCAGACGATTGTATGTTTGAAGGGTTTTACAAGAAGACACTCCTGAGTTCACCTTCAAGTGGGTTGAAGTTGAGCATACCTGGAAATGAAAGATCAAATGAGGAATTCTGGTTTTCTCCAGGGATATTTAAGAGATTAATTTCAGGTATTTTACCTCAGGTTACAAAGAAAGAGGCTGGCTCGTACAAGGCTGTGGTGTCAGATGGTAGAGGAGAGGACATCAGCCTGCTGAAGTTACAAGATGGTGGTGAGATGTCGCCTCACATTCACTCACAGTAATATGTTGCAACAGCTGCATAACAAGCTCTCAGGTGGCTTTGGAATATTCATATATTTTTCAGAATATGACAAGCTTCTCCAGCAGCTGAGTAAACAATGCGGTGAGTTACACACACACACACACACACACACACACACACACACACACACACACACATTTAAAGGATCATTATTGTGCAACCTGAGATGTGCTGAGTTTAAAATATTTTTATTGCAACATGTTTGTTATGCTAAGATTTTTAAAATTCTGTGCTGTGAAAAAGTATGTTTTCGATTTTTGCTTTTTTTGTCACATTTGTTTCAGATCAGCAACTTCTAAAATTCAGGTGTCGTATGATGATTTTAGGAAATGCATGTAAAACCGAATATCCTCTCCCACCCATCTTGGAAAAAATTTGGGTCTACACCACCTCAATTTCACTAAATTACTCCAGTGCATTGTAAAACACATTCGTAAGCATGCCAAACCTGTAGGTGGCAGTAGTTCCCCAAATCATCTTTGTCTTTGCCGAAAAAGATTCCTTAAATGTGGAAGTGGCGTTCAATAACTGTCTTTAACATCGTCCTTCGCTCGTGGTCTCCTACGTAGAGTGGGAGTTTTGCTTTGTAAACAAACAAAACCAGAGCAAAACAGGAAACCCCAGTTATTTACGTCCACAAGCAACTGCTGTGATAGGTCAGTTTTTAAAAGAATCTTTTTTGATGCATCTTATCTTCACTTTCGTGTGGATGTCCAGCCACACTGTAGAAACACATTTTTGTTTTTTGTCTTTCGGATACCCGGCTACATGTGTACAACTTCTTATTTATTTACAGAAATATCCAAACTATCCAGGTTTTGCGTGAAAAGTGTTACTTGTTGTAACATCCTTGGCAGAAACAGCTGCTAACAGGTTTTTGTCTTAGCTTGATAACGAGCTAACTGCGGAGGAATTTTGTCCCAATCGTTTTAATTCAACCTCAGTGGAAGATTTTTCAGCATGAGCAGCCTGTTTAAGGTCAAAGGTCAGACATTCCCCTTCAGGATTACTCTACAAAGACCAGATTTCATTGTTCTATCAATTACAGCAAGTCATCAATCAACCAATCAATCAAATGTAATTATACAGCACGTTCTACCACCTTAGTGGAGCCCCAAGGTGCTGAACAGCACATGAAAACAAGGATAAAAACATCATAGTAGATAAAAAGCAAGTAAAAGCAAAAAAAATAAAAAATTTAAAGCTGCAAGCAGCGTCGTTCGGCCCTCGCAGCTCCGCGCCGCTCCGGCCTGGCCGGCAGTCTGTTGCACCCGGGCACGTCTGCTGAAGATAAACATCGACCACCCCGACACCAGAAACCGCCAACATTCTCCTCGTCTGCACCTCACCCTGACTCAGCATCTTCTCTGAGCCCACCATTAAATTACACATCTAACCACTAGGGGATACTCTATCTTTACCACACTGGTGGTGTGATGACACAAACCAAGTTTAATGATATTCTGACCACGTTTTTTGAAATCATTGAAGGTTAAAGTTAACTAGGGGGCGCTGTGACCAACTACAGAAAAATCCTATTGAGGTCAGCTTTGGTTGACAAAGATGGTTTTCTGTTATTTTGGCATCAATCAGACGTGTGTGTTATCTAGCGCCAAAGAGCCGAAAGGGGGTGGAGCTACAGGGGTTTGAACCAACAACCACATCAATGTGTTTGGTGCAGTCATATGATGACACAAGCCAAGTTTAATGCCATTCTGACCTTGTATTAGGAAGTAATTGCCTCTTAATCTTATCTAGGGGGGCTGTGACCAATTACATAAAAATCCCATTGAGGTCCTCTTAGGGAGTCAAAGATGGTTCTGTGGTAGTTTGGCATCAATCAGACATTGCGTGTGCTTTCTAGAGCCAAAGAGCTGAAAGGGGCGGAGCTAAAGGGATTTTAACCTACAACCACATCAATGTGTTTGGTGTAGTCACGTGATGATACAAGCTAAGTATAATGCCATTCTGACCTTGTTTTTAGAAGTTGATAAAGTTTGAACCCATCTAGGGGGCACTGTGACCATTTACAACTAAATCCCATAGAGGTAATCTTTGCTCATCGCATGGGTCATCTAGAGCCAAAAGGCTGTAAGTGGGCAGAGTTAAAAGTGATTTGAACGAGTGAGCAAATACATGTGTTGATTGTAGTTGTGTGATGACTCCCGCCATGTTTGATATAGTTTGGAGCTTTTTTGCAGTAGTTACAAAGGTTTTATTGTATCTAGGGGGCACTGTCCCAAATTTAGGAAATATTCCATGAAGCAGTTTGGAGGTTGACAACAATCATTGGTGTGCAATTTGGTGTGAATTGCATCATGCGTGTGTTATTCAGGGCCTAATATCTGTCAGGGGTGGAGGTAAAGCGATATCAACCAATGACCACAGGATTGCGTTGGGTGCCTTTGTATGATGACATATAGCAAGTCTGGTACAGTTGTGACCTCATCTGTACGAGTTATTACAGTTTTAAAGGTATGTAGGGGGCGCTGTGGTGATATTATACAACGTTCACCAACCGTTTGTGCCTCATTGGCTAAAGGGCATGATTGTTGATTGCCATGTTCAGTCTCGTGCAGATCGGAGGCTGTTTGCGGAAGTTAGTCAAACGTAAGGTCAAGGCGTCACGCCAGAATTCGCCATGGCATCAAAGTCCCTCCCTTTCTGGAAAGCTATCAGAACTGAATGGTCATTACAGCATCATGACGACAGTGCATGACCTTAGTGTCATGTTGACTAAATTAGAGGGGACAAATATGGGCATTTCACCATAAAACAATCGACTTCCTGTTGTCAGGGGGCGGGACTTAGGTGATGTCAGCTGTCCACATGGTCATTGTCTTGAGATGGGGTCAGTGATCACACAGACAAAGTCTGATATGGATCTGATCATGCACATGGAAGTTATTACGTCAAGTAATGTAATGACGAAAGGTCAAAGTTTGAGGCTTAGCCACGCCCACACCTTTCAACTTTTGAAAAATTTGATGGTTGAATTTTTTCCCCTACGTCTTAAGAGTAAATAGCAGAAGTTTGAAGGGACTAGGATCACTCACCAGAAGTTTCGTGGCGATATCTTTAGAAATTACGAAATGGGAGGCAAACGTAAGACCACAGCGGTATGCCTGACTTCGCCGTGCCGCCACAGCCCCGCCCTCTTTTGAAAACTCCCATAAAGTGACACCAAGAAACTTCCACAGGTCTTGAGTTACCAGCTACAAATTTGTGGTGATTAAGTGAAATGGGGTGATTTGGGACCTATCACAGTAAAACTTGACCTTTTTGGTCCTGAGGGGCCGGGGCTTGTGTGATGCCATCATCCGACCATTCAATTTTGTTTGTGGCTTGATGTCGAATGACCACAGTAATTTTTTTTAACTCTACTCTATTCAAATATGAAGTTATAGCCATTTATATTTTTTGGCGAGTAGTCGAAATTCGAGTCCTGGCCACGCCCCCTCAGCATATACGAAAAGTCAGTTTTATTTTTTTCTATTTGATTGCCCATCCCTTCTGAGCAATTTCCCAGAACTTTCGAGACGATCGTGCGAAAAATAATCGAATAAATCAATCAGAAGCGGACCCTAGAAACGGCCAAAACGGGGTCAAAATCGCCACTTCAAACCAAAATGTCCGACCTCCTGTTTGATGTTGACCATGGTTGCAAGAGGCTTTTCTGTGCGGACTGTTGAGTACTACAAGTGAACAAAATTTCATAACTGTACGATAAACTAAGCTTTATGGAGGGGGGTATTTTTTACATTCTAGGGGGCGCTGTGGAGCTAGTTTTATTGTGATTTTTGGGGGACCTTTAAAATAAAAAAATTTACACCACGCCTGACATGTGTGCAAAAATTTCTGAGTTTTCAGGCCAGACTTGAACTCCTGAAGAGTGAGAGCTTGCTTCACTGCATGAGGGAGCTTGTTCCAAAGGGTTGGAGTTTTTACCGAGAAGGCCCGGTCCCACCTAGATCTCAATTTAGAGCGGGGGACTTCCAGCCACTCCTGCTCAGCATAGCGAAAGGCTCTAGAGGGGACACGCCGCTGTGACGGTGCAGCCAGATATGGGGAGCACTGCCTTGCAGTCATCCAGGCCACAAAGCAACTCCACACCATCACACTACCTCCACTTTGTTGCACACACACTGACGTTGACAAAGTTGTGAAATGTCGCCTTGGTTCATCAGTCATTGGCCCTGACCTCTGAACCTAAAGTTGCAATAGCAAATCTACAAAACAAGCTAGCTTTTAAATGTAAACACGGTCACGGAACTCTCATTCCTCCGGTGTCGGTACAGTATCTGCTCGGGTGCAGGATCGGCTTGGGGTCCTTCGACTGCCGATGATGTCAAAGTAGTTGACTGGCTGAACATGAAGCTTATGAAAGTTATGTTATCACATTATGATTTTGATTGGTCAGAACAAATTTGCTGTCGTAGTATTAGCGGTTGTAGTCCTGTAGTCCAAAAATCAACACTTTTTGGAGAAAATATGTTTGAATTTCTAAAGGAAATGTAAAATATAAGCAAATGATAAACGGTGACCCTCAAAAGCTCTTGATGTTGATGAAATGGGGCAAAATATAATATAAGAACTTTAATGAAAGACATCAAGCAATATTTTGAGTCAAAGAATGTATTTAGACAACAACTAAGGAAATATACAGACGGACTCCACATTAATACAAACAGTTATGGCTTCACATATAAGAACTGTTCTATTTTTTGTCAGTCCGATGTTGGTTTTATGCAGTTTCACATTCTTACAAAACAAAGATAATATGCTGTTTTATTAACAAATTACAATTATAAAGAAAACATTTAGGTGTTAACAAACAAGAATTCATTAACAAAACTGCTGATGTCTTTCCAAAACGTATGTGTGAAAGCCGAGTAGATTTGCAGTCATGTGACGTCATCGGCGGCAGAAGGACCCCGAGCCGATCCTGTACCGACACCGGCTATCATTCCTGAGCCACGTCCGCCAAAATTCATGTTTTCAGATGAAACGAGATAGCGCTAAACAGCAGTCAACGTTTTCAGGTCCAAACATCTTTTGTCGTCTGTGACTTCAAATGTTGTTTTTTTTAGGTCTCTGGTAGTTTGTTGAAGTGGTAGCAGCCAACTTTTTTTTTATCTCTACAAAATATTTATAGCTATGTTAGAACTTTATTAAGACACATGAAAAAAGTTAGCTTGTTTTCTAGATTTGTTATTGTAGCTTCCGATCTTCAGGTCTTTTCCAGGGTTCTTTAGTTTTTAATATCTTCAGAAAAGGGAATTACGTGTTGCTTTTTGAGGTCTTTTAGCCCGGTTCATGTCATCAGACAAGTTCTATTGAAGTATTTTTTTTTCTACAGATAACACTAACTAGGTTAGACCTGGGTGTGGCTAGTGAGATTTTATACATAAATCACATTTAAGAGGGGGATAATTACTTTTTCCCCAATGGTTAAGATCATTAAATCATAAAAAACTGCATTTTGGTTTTCCTCAGTCTACCTTTGTTTGATATTGAAGTCTGTTTTCTTTTCTAAAATCTTTATATGTGGAAAAAAAAAGCAGACAAAGGAAATACTTTCCTCAGCACTGAAAGTTTTGAACTACGTAGATGACTGGACTGAATTGAGAAATGTTGTTTTCAGCATTATCAGCTGGTCCGCTGAAGATTCAAAGCACTGCTGAAGGTTTCAAGCTCTACTGCGACCTCAGATACTACATCAGCTTCCTGAAGACAAGCTGGCACTTCAAGTAAGTTTATTTCTCATCCTGTGAGGAGACAATGAAAGGAATGGGTAACTGCTGTTTTCTATTAGTAGATACAGTCTTAGTCTTTTATTTATTTTAGGGTGTTCATGTTATTTACTTCAAGATGTAGAGATTCTGTGGAACTCCGTGCAATAAATCAGGAAGATCTACAGTCATCTGCAGGAAAACTGCCAGCCAGAGAGTGGATTTATGACAGCAGCTCATAAAGAACAGATCATAAAAGTGTGCTGGAAATCCTGTAGATATTCACACATCGGACACGACATATTAAGAGATAAAAGTCACTCAAGTACAGCAGTTCTAGTTTTAGTACTTTCTAAGCAGTATTTCTATTGAAACATGGAAATGTATTTTGCCATATATTTAATTCTCATCTTTATATGTATATAAGATAACTTTCACCATGTTTCTGTTTAGTTTTTTAGGATTTCATTTGCTCAAGTGTCTGTTAACAATTATTTCATTTGCCATGAAATTGTTTAAAACTGTTGTTCAAGCAACAGCTATTTTTTTCAAGCAGTATTAAAATTCTAGGTAAAACAAACAACTTGTGGAAATTTTAACTTAATCATCTGTTTTTGTCTCGTATTACCAGCTGAAATTAGCCTCGCCCCTCCCGATTTCATACAAATGCACCAGTGATGACAACCGTTTGATAGGAGTAGTCTGAGCCTCGAGGACCAGTATCCAGCACGTTTTGGGTTTGACCCTGCTTCAACACACCTGATTTCAATTAGTAGGTGGTTAACAGGCTTCTGCAGCACCTGATGAGCTGCTTCACCGGTGATTCAACTCCTGAATCAAGTGTTTTGGACCACTAAAACGTGCTGGATACTGGTCCTCGAGGCCCGGAACTGAATAACTGTGATGTAGAGAACAGCATTCAAGCACAGATGACTTTTTTTTGTAGGTGAAATACTTTAGATGCAATTTTTAGATTCTCAGGCTCAAACATTGGTGTTTCTTGATTTTTAAGCTAGGTGGATAGCACCACCTGCTGGAGAAATGGAAGATGGCTGCTACAAAGACAACAACCGTGTTTAATAGACATCAAGTCATTTAAGAAATTTACGTTTGCATCATTCGCCATGAAATGTTTTTCTATTAGTTTTTTCTTTGCATTTGATGAGTAAAAGTAAATAAAGCTGATTTTGACCATCACAATCATGTTTTTATTCTGCATTCTGCACAAATAAATAGCATAACTTAAAAATCAATGGTCTATGTAAAATTTGCACCGTCTGTGCATCTTCCTTTTCTTGCAGGGAAAAGAGGATGGAGGAGGCCAGGGTAAAACCTGGCAGCAGCATGCAGAAAGTCTGGATTGACGTTTCAAACCCGTCAGAAAACGATAAAGGCAAATACACTTTGGAAATGTTTGACGGCAAAGACACGCACAAACGTTATTTTGAACTCTCCGCAGAAGGTGAGCAGGAAAAAAGGTTTAAAACAAGACATTAAAGTCACTGAATGTTTAAATCCTCCTTGTTGTTGCACCTGTCACCAGTTTTTGCCGAGGCCCTGCTGGAGCACCAGAGGTTAAAGTAAGTCTTGCATGGGTTGCCGTGTCCCTAACAGAACTCGTAAGTTACAGACCTACATAGATTGATAATATCTACGTCATGTTGATTTGTGTTTTTGATTTAATCCCTCAGGCAAGTGGCTATTGCAGAAAAAAGTGAGCAATTTTCTTCATTTTTAGACATTTTTGAGTTAAAAAAAATCTGCTTCTGCCGAGCTTCTTTTGCATTTTTTTTTTTTTTTTTTTTTTGCTTCCAGATCGTGCCAAAGTGACTAAAGGTCTCCCTGATGTTGTGGCCATCATGGAGGACAAGGTGTGACATCGTCAAAAATCATATGAGGTTACGGCTACATCACGTGTTCACTTTTGTCTTCTTCTCAGTCTTTATGCCTGACATGCTACTTCGATGGCGACCCAGCTCCAGAGATCTTCTGGCTTCATAACGACAGGGAGATCCTCGATCAGACTCAGTTCACCATCACTAAAGAGACCAAACGCAGCTCTCTCACGATCCACAAGGTCCACATGGAAGATTCTGGAAAGTACAGCATCTTAGTCCGCAACCAGTATGGATCAGAAACAGCTGATGTGACCGTGAGTGTGTACAAAGAGGGAGAGAAGCCTCCAGCTAATGCTGTGGAGATGGGTTAGGACTGCAAACCAAGACAGAGCTACAAATAATGAAGATTATAAAACGAGAATTAACTCAACTTTCAACCAAAAAAGCACTAGAGTTGTCATAAATTCAACACGGTTGCCGTAGTATCACTTTGTTTACTAAAGAGGCTGTAGAAGTTAGCTGAAGCTGATTGGCTTGTAAAACATTTCATGAGGTGGGGTTTAGCACATAGACGTCATATACGTAGACACGACGTGCACTGGCACTGCCCATTGGAGCTGGCGTAGCCGCAGACCGCCATCTTGGATGGGTTTCCAACCGTCCTCGATGCATTTGTTTCTACTGAGGAAAATGATTACCCAACTAAAAAGCACATTTTGTCATGCTTTTACACGAAATCAGCAGGCGAGATAGTTAAAATATAAATAAATTAAACAAGTTAAAATATAAAATCCCAACAGGTAGGCTGGAAAAGTCAATAGTAATCCCACGTGATCTGTTTTCAATAGTGTGCCGGTTGTTGCAAGCGTAGGCTACACAAACAACGGGAATAGCTGCCAATTCTGCGTTGACCCCAGATGGGTTTGGAGAGTGATGAACCCATCCAATATGGCGACGACACTGTAAAGCTCTCCATCGCCCAATGGTGCGTCTACGTATTCATGTCTATGGTTTAGCACACATTGGCTTACATCCACTGAGACAATTAAAGCAGAAATGCAGACATTTTTTAGGGAGAGCCATCTAGAGATGGAAAAATGTGTTGCACCGAAAGCCTGTCTCGTTTGTGATTGAGCTCCTGTAGACGGCCAACAGAGCTAAACATTTTTTCACCAATTTTTTTTCATGTTTATTGATTTATATCTGTTTTACGTTTCCATAAGAAATGTCGCCAACTCTGCATCCGTCTAGGTACTTCCACAAACACGCACATGCTCTGTGATTGACATCTGTACGTAAGCGAATGGCTAGCGCTATTGGCCAAAGCTGGGTGACACTCAATTCAAATTAAATGCTGCTCTACAGGATGGAGCGGGACTTCCCAGCCAGCATGCATAGGTGGGTCCCATATGAATACATATATGGGCAAACCGTTTGGGTGCCAACAGGTTTTTGCACAGTATCCATGATGGTCCCACAGGGGTTTGCCCAGATTTTACTGGGCCCTACATGGGTTTTTAGAGGGACCCAGATGGTTTGGGTCATACACGGGCTTGTTAAAATCTATGTGGGCAAAATCCTGTGGGGCCACCATGGAAAATGCGGCACCCATACAGGGCCCAACTATGCATGCCGGCTGGGTTGGTATTCCCTCACAGTACAGGGCAAGACTATCAATTTCTAAATTCAAATTTCTTGAATGAATTTTACATTACAGAGGTAATTTAGCTCCGTAAACATGCTGAAGCTCTTATTTCTTTCTTGTCTGTATTTTTCCATCTTTCTCCTGGTTTTATTTGCATTATTTAGTCAATGTTTGTATCAATACCACCTTATTAGGAAGGCTGTGTGCTTCGTTTGAGTTTTAGTAATCTTTCTCTGCCCCTTGGCTTTCATTGTGTGAGCGGAAAATACCCGTTTGGTTTTTATTTCCTGTCTGCCTCCTCCAGCGTGACTCTGACATTTCGTTCAACCATCAAAATGCTTCTTCTTAGCTCTTGTGATTCAAACTTTGGTTGTGTGGTTTGTCTGTACTCAATAAAGCGTCTTTCAAGCTATCTTATAATTTGTTTTATGATGGCACGCTTTACCCTGTAAACTTTGAACATGGAGTTAAAATTTAGACAAGGTTACTTTATGTGTAATTTTGCAATGAGTGATCTTTTTTTTAAGTTGGGGAGCAAACCGTTCCCCGTGTCATTAACCCTCCTGCGGGGCCTGCATTCGCCAGCTAGATCAAGGTTTAAACAGGCTGCAGCCGTGGATGACATTAAGTGAAAATTGCACGAATTATTTTCTTTCAAATTAAATTATGTGAAGGTGTTGAAGCACTTAAGCAGTTGCTTCAATGCCAGTGCCATGTCCATCATTAATACTGTGAGAGTTTGAAGTTACGCGTAATTCATTTATCGCTAGATTCAGATAGTGTGTAAAATTTTCCACGTTGCAAGACGAGGCTTGGTAAGTGAACTCTAGGTTGTTCAAACAGTTATGATTTCGTCATAAAACGTTGTTACTCATTAGCCACATCACCAGCCACCCTTTGGGTATAAGATGTGGGTTCACACTCACCGTCTCCACATTGTGTTGAGCTTCGCACAACTGTCCCAGCTTCCGGCCACCGTGGTCAAGGATATCCTCTAAGGAACGATGGATTTCAGCGGAACGTGGCAGGTCTACGCTCAGGAAAACTACGAGGAGTTCCTCAAGGCCATGGGTGAGAAGTTTGTCGCAACACAAACCAAACGATGGTTATCCGTATATTTTTTGTTGCATGGATCGATACTTTCTTCTTGACAGAACTTCCAGAAGATGTAATCAAGATAGCCAAAGACATAAAACCGGTAACCGAGATCAAACAGACGGGCAACGACTTCGTCATCACCTCCAAAACGCCCGGAAAGTCTGTGACAAACTCCTTCACCATCGGCAAGGAGACGGAAATTAACACCATGGATGGGAAGAAGCTGAAGGTTTCTTGCTTTTATTCATTCATAGATGAAATTCAGCTTATTAAAGTTTGACCAGGTCCAAATGAATAGAGAACTAATATTTATGGTTGAAACGAGTTTCTAGTAAGTGTACGTCTCTTTTGAGGGACACATTAGGTGTACTGAATTGTTTCCCAACCCCCAGTGCACTGTCAATCTGGAGGGTGGAAAGCTCGTCTGCAATACCGGCAAATTCTGCCACGTCCAAGAACTCAAAGGAGGAGAGATGATCGAGGTCTGGTGCACAGGAATAATCCTGCACACATGCTGAAATCCTGCAAAAGATTTTATTTTTAAAAATTATTTTTCTAATTTGTTTTCTTTTTCCCCGTTTAGACTTTGACCCGGGGCTCGACGACTCTGGTCAGGAGGAGCAGAAAGGTCTAGACCTGAACAAAAATTAGAATATGTATTTAAATAAAGGTGTTTACTGTATGTTGTGTTGTTCTTTATGTCTGTGCACATTTGGCCAACATGCCTTTGACACAATGCAAAACACTTATTGTTGAATCTAAGGCTTTTAAAGTAAATGTCATATTCAATTCTAGCTTTATGGAGGTGAATATAAATATTTCACACTAAAACTTAAATGATGCAAAAAAAAAACTGCTATTTGTGCAGTGTGTCCTCTATAGGATATGTGCATGCATTAATGGTTTTTATACCATAGCATTCACTCACATGGATGATAGGTATGTCACAAACAATTCCTAAACATGTAAAATGTTTGATAATCAAAAATCTTATTTTTACTTATTCACATAATTTAGCATTTTGACATTTTTTGAATGTCAACTGTGCTAAAATAGCAGGAATTACTACAAAATTAAAGTTAAAAGGGTATCACACCCAAATATAGTTATTTGAAATAACAATAAACAGAGACAAAGATGGGGGGAGGGGAAGGAATTTATTTATTTTTTTAAACTTTGTCATCAATTCAATGCACATTTTACATTTTTGAAAATCAATCAAGACAAATCTTAAAATGGGGCACATCTTTTAATCATCGGTGACATTTCATGAAAAGGGACAAATTAGCAGCCAATTGTTTCTGTTTTTATGTAGAGCGAGGAGACATTGCTATGCAAGACTGAATCCGGCAAAAAAAACAAAGGTAATAATTAATCAGTGAGTCAGATTCAACCGTCAGCTGGCGGAAGAACAGCTGAGGGCTCAAAGTGACCTCGGATTGGTGATTATTCAAGAAAAAAGAAAAGTTGGCAAAAAATTAACTTAACGAGTTCGTTAGCATTTAAGTGTCGATCTTACAATCTGAAAGCAGATTAAAACGTCAAATCTCTCCATACGCAAGTCTCCTCGAATCCAATTAAAATTTTTTTTGTTTTATTTAATTTGCACTTGGCATATCTGACCCTACACTGCGTAATACAAAACAATAGAAAAACATGTGTAAGATCTCCTTCAGGTCGACAGTGTAGGGGTACTGCTAAATGCTAACAGCAGGAACTTTCTTTGTTTTTTTAACAAAAATATTCTTCAATATTGAAGTCAAGACATGTTCTTAGCACGTCTTATACATTCATTCTCATTACTAAAAATACTTTTGTCAGACAGGCATCAAATGTTTGCCTGTAAATGTACATATGCTACAAGTACTTTACACATATTTTATTTACATGGCTCTTGAACACATTAACAATCTCTTTTGTTTTGTTGTTTTTACACTGGCTATTAGCAGCTTCAATTCTGCAAAGGGAAAACATGAAAAAGCCTCAGCAGAGGCCTAAATCACAAAAATATAGAACTCATAAGATAGTCCATTGCATCTCCATCACTTCCCATAGCATCCTAACCTGGTACTCAGGGTGAAGTTCTGGTTACAGTGCAGGAGGGGAAACGAGCAGCATCAAGGGGACGGATTATCAGATGGCCGGTCAGGGACGATGTTTGAAAACAAACAAATCATCTCCGTTGCTATAGGTTACGCCCCTTGAGCTGCTTCCCTCTAGAAAAGCTCCTGGGTTCTACCTCACCTCAGACGTGCGCGCACCCAACTGGACCCCGTCGTAAAAACGAGGCCCTCTTCCGCGCGTTGGGAGCTGCGCCACCGTCGTGATGAGGCAGAGACTGAAGGGCAGTAACAGTACTGATCGAAACAGACGAATGTTTAGGGAATGCTAACCCATTCACCGCCGGGGCTGGCAAAAGAAAAGGAGTGGGAATCACGCCAACCACACGGGGGCCATCAACAAAAAAAGCTTTGGTTACCCAGCGCTTCACATATCTTTCAATCACATCAAAAAGGACTTGTACAAAATAATGCTGTGATAGTGTTGCGGACTTCAGGCACACTCAACTCCTATAGTGCGTGTGCGCACAGCGCAATAAAAAAGGGATACAGGAGTTGGTGGTCTGAAGTCCATGTGCTATGGTCTCGTTCAAGCCTTCGAGGTCAGGCTTTCACCGTATCCACCAGCTCACGTTCAATAGAATATCATTTTTCCCTGCAGAACTACAGTTGAGTGCCTTTTTTCGTTCCAAACAAGGTATATATTAGCTAAGAAAGGGGGGGGGGGGGCTCTTAAAAAAATGCTACAAACATGAACTCGCTTTAGCACCCGAAACTTTGGAAGTCCCTCCAAAGACTTTAACCTTAAAACCAAAACCAGTGAAATAGCTCAGCTGCCCACAGAAATGGACCATAAAAGTAATGGATGTCACCTGACCTATAGTTCAACCCCTATTTGGGGGGGAAAAAAGAACACTCAATCTGCTCGGACAGCCAACTCTAAAAAGAACAAAACAAAAAAAAAGTAAAAAGAATCCAGTTTGTCGTCGTTTTACAAAAACTGGCTCCATTTAAGGCATGCCCAACCAACAAGGCAGCAAAGCTGTAATAGCTTAAAAGTCTATTTAAAAAGAAATTGACTCAACGTCAATTCACTGCTTTAAATGTCCACGTTTAGCTACGGATGATGTCTGTTAAAACGTTAAGTGTATTACAGCTTTGAGGCATTCCTGGTGAGCAAATGCCTCAATAGAGTCACAGTCTAAGCATTGGCTCTAGTTAGGTGAAGTGTGTGTACTCAGCTCAAGCCTGCACCTTCAGCAGGTTTTTGAGCTCGAAGGCCATCATCTCCCTGTGGTCACAGGACGCTATAGGGAAAGACACCCAGTGACTGGGGGGTTTGGGCAACACGCTAGGTGAGGGGGGCTCACTGAACTTAGGGCCTGCATAGCTCGGGCTGCCCTGGGTTGACAGGAGCGTGTTAAGATGAGACACTGCACCCTCCCAGCTTTCGTAGTTGGTGGCAAACCGGACAGAAGCATTCTTCTCCAAGGACATGGCCTGCCATGCCTCTGGAGATCTGTGGTAGGCAGGGCCTTTGTCGCTCCGACGGTGGCCATGGTGGTGAAGGGCCCCTGTTCCTCCTACAGATGCTGCTGTGGTTCCGTTCTGGTCACGGCTTCTTTGCTTAGCCTTGCCAAGCTGATGGGCTTTTTTGGGGCGATCCGGGTGGGAAATTGGAATGTTGTACCTCTCTCCACCTCCCATGTTTCACTACTACCTGTCACCTGCAAGACAATTATAAAACGTTACCATTTTCGTTTTTAAAATAAAAGTTATTGCGTAAAAGGCACTCTACACTGCACCCTCCACAAAAAAAAAACAAGCTGCAGCAGCTACGTGCAGGAGCTGCAGACGTCCAGGGCTGCGCTGCCCCTCCCCCACACACAACCCAGAGCAAAAACACCCCCAGCCAGGCAGCTCTCACCTCTTTGTTGTGAGAGAGTGGACGTGGCTGAGATCCCTCTTTAATCTTTCACCTCCGATCGGTCCCCAGGTCCTCGAAGTAGCTCTCTGTCTACTTCTCGCTGCACTTATGTGTCCAGCAAGGTCTGAGGTTTTCATGTGCCAATGAGCGTTGTTTTCCCGTGAAGCCGAGCTGAACATCAATTCACCTCGGCGCACGATGCTCCAAGAAGTCGAGCCTTAAAAATGCGTGAAAAGGCGTTGTTTAGATGCGCAAACTAGCGACAATAATATACAAAACAGAAGCTACGCACATCTTTATTATGTAATAGCAAGGCATTAATTAGCTGTAACAATGGTGTACGCCACAATGCGTCATGACATAGACAAAAACAACACCCCGTCGTCTTATTTCTAACTTTTCAGGGTTTATTGATATAAAAATGAACAAATAAACACAAAACAGCATAAAAACGCATTTAGTATTAATCATTGTTCAAACCACTTACGATGAATTAGATTAATAAAGTTCGATGAAAATATGGCAAGTCGCACTTCAGTGAACTAATTTCACATTTACAAACGCTAGAAACACAAATCAAACGGCTACCCAATCCGTATCGCTGTATTTTGCCACATAACCAAAACAAAAGAAACGGAACTCAACATGGCGACGAGACTCAAAACAGCTTCTCTTACCGACTTCCTCAGGCTTGGTTGTTAAAGCCTTTCTTTGAAAATATTTATGTGGTTAGCCTCTGATTTCACTCCGTGGACTGTGTAGGAAGCACAGAAGTCTATGTTTCCTACAAATCCGTCACCCTTTGAGGCTTGTGTGCTGTTACCGGTGGCCGTCGAAACGCCACTTCTCCCTTCCGTTTCTGATTGCAACAAAATGGAATCTTCACCACAGCTATGTAGTCCGTGCTCGCACGGAGCCAACCAATCACGTAGCGAATGCGTTCCGAGCGACCAATTACAGGAGAGGTAAGCAGACGCGCTCGAGCCTGTTGCCAGACTGCTGACGTCAATGGCTGACCCTCCTCCCTCCCATTCCTTTGTTGGAAATGGTTAGGGTATTTCCTAAGAGAAGTGACAAAACAACTCAAAACAATCACTCTCGATGACGAAAATCTCACGTTTACAAGCAAAAGAGCAAGTATGAAGTGTCCCTGTGGTACATAAAACACCGTATATTAGCTTCAAGTCGACAGCGCAATCGTGTTTTGTTATGTAACAAGATAAATACAACAACCTTTCAGATTTAACTGTGTTTCTGTGTTTTTCTGAAACAGAATGCCACTGTATTTTTTGTGGCGTTTTGCGGGTTGAATCTGTTCTTCAGCGCTGCCCAGCTGCAACAGGATGTAATAACCATAACACAAGACATAAACCAGTGACTGTAGAAAACGTATGACACCACCCATCCCCCAAGGTTGGCTCAAGTTACAATTATTTCCAAGTGGTGCTCGCTGCAGAACCACAAAGGCGGAGCTGCACCAGAAGGTGGGGCTGCATCAGAGTCAGCCCCGCCCATTCCAGAGTCGGCCCAATTCCTTCCAGTTGTCAGACTTGATAGCATTCTGGAACCAAAGAGGGTGTTATAGCTAATATCATCCAAAATGCAAGATTGAGGACGGAGTTGAGAGGTTAACTGAGCAGTTTTTGTAAAGGTTTAATCTAATAAAAAATCTAACTTTTGGAACTTTTTACCATGTTATATTGTCATTTCCTCATAAGAAATACCCCAAAGCCATTTTTGGCCTCATTCGCGCATTTTCCTCCCATCTCAGCTTCAATTTGGTCTCCTTCCCCGAAGCGGGTCTGGACTTGGTTCTCAAATCTGGATATTCTGTGATTTTTCTGACAAGTTATTTCTAAAATGACTTCTACTGAGACACCACCGGAAAAACCGTACATCCCCATCTACAAAGACACATGAGATGGGACAATTACAAGTAACGCCACTTGTTTGTAGACAGATGTAGTAGTGAAGTGGTTATGAAGTCAACTTGGTATGTAGTTTTGCGCAGGTTCGCCTCCCGGTAGTGGCGCAAACTTTTTTCTTCTTTTCTAGCTACACTTGCCAGTACTATGTTTTTAACCATTTATCGGTATACTGTTTAAAATATAAAGACTAGTGTGTTTGTTTGTTTTTTATTTATTCGTTTATTTAGCCAGTGTGAGTCAATTTCTGAGCAGAGTTTCAACTAAAATGCTGTTTAAGAACGACCAAATTCAAAGAACTTATAGAGACATAAATATTTTGCAGAAAATAAACATTACAACTAAAATATAAACAAATTAAATTTTTCAGCAGGCTAAATAGATTGTTGCCGACCCCACCGAGAGTCGAACCAGCATCAGCTGAGGGGAAAGCAAAACTTAATTAAAAACTGACACACTTGCCACTGGACTACCAGAATACAGTAAAATGTGTCCTTAAATGCTTTTCTAGCCCGGTTCTGTCGGAGCGGCTATGGACAGATGTTCGCTAAAAGAAACCTTTACATTTCGGGATATATTCAGGATTTGTCAGGTAGCAAGTTATATTTATCTTGCTTAATTGGAGCATAGAACATAGCATTAACAGTTGTAAACTAGTAACAGCTGTAATTCATGTGGATCAGGTTAGTTTGCGATAAAATAAAAAAACAGAAGAAGTCAGTGGGCTAGGCTGTTTGCGTGAATGGGCGGGGCTGACTCTGGTGCAGCTCCACCTTCTGGTGCAGCTCCACCTTTGTGGTTCTGCAGCGAGCACCCTCTCATTATTTCACCAAAACTCTTTTTTCAGATTCTCAATCCAGGTTTGATTAAGGGTGCTATAACAGCCACCTGAATGTTTTAAAAAAAGTGTTTTGGAATAAATAAATAATACATTTGATACGGTTGAGAGAGCTGCAGCATTGCAATTACATTTGTGGCAAGGGAATGGACAAAAAAAAGCCTACAATAGCCAAGTATCAGGTAGAAATGTCACATACTTTTTTGAAATAAAAGAAAATGGCAAAGATTTTTGCATGTAGCCTATATTTGAGTTGGTTCGATATAAGTTTGACTTAAAGAGACAATAGCTATGTTTACATGGGGACAAGTAATCGGAATGAATGCCCTATAAGATGAAAAATTATTCACATAAACATGTCAATTGGAATATTCTGATCCGATACAGCTCAATTGGAATGAAATTCCATTTCAATTGAGATAGGTGGTTTCAACACTCCAATTGATGTCCATGTACATAAATTTGGATTCTTGGGGTAATGCCCACTGAGCATGTGTGCAACTTTGGCGTGAAATTTTTCCGCTTCTGCAGACGCTCAGGACAAGTGGAAAACATGACGGGAGGCGAACAGAAGTTATCCTGCTCCCCTCTTCTGTGGAGGAAATAGCGTTACGTACCCTAGCTTAGTTAAGGTGATAAGTGAAATCTAAGGCATCGGATAATTTCAGTTAGTGTCCATGTAAACAGAGATTTGGGGTTTCTGAACAACCAAGATTTGAATTGGATAGGGGAAATTTGGTGCATGTAAATGTAGCTAATGGGTTGTTCTTACCGTTAATCTCTGGAAATATCCCTTGAAACAGTATTGAAAATTAATAAAATGATGTCCAGTTGTTGAAAAATATTAGAGGCATGGTACCATATAACCATAAAATTCGGGTACATAGGGTGCAGGTCGTCTTTGGGGGATGCCATATTAGACGCAATCTTTCCTTCTGGCTGGTTCGGGGTCCTGCGCCTCTCGATGATGTCACACTAGATGGTTGGCTGGATGTTCAACTTATGGAAGTTAGTTTACCACGTTCAAAAACATTTAGGCAGTAAGAAACACAAATGTATTAATAAAACTGATAAACTCTTTCCAAAACATAAGTGAAAGAACAGAATCAAAAAAGAGATGCAATGTATTTTGGCCAAGCGGCATTGCCGTAGTGTGATGATGTCATTGGCAGGCGCAGGACCCCGAGCAGATTCGGAAAGTGCAGTGCCAGCAAACTACAATTGGCGTTGCATTCTCTCAATGGAAATAACCGAAGGACCATCAAAGTCTGAGGAGTCACGCCGAGGTTGCATGCTTTCTGCTCCACAGGCAACAATATTTACCGTAATGTTTTTTTAAACCAGTAATGGCGATATGGTGTAAAACTACCCTGAAATGTATGTACTGCCCCCTTTTGCCAGGAAACTACACACTGCCACTTTAAGCATTGACCCATTCCTAAAATGGGCCATGACATAATAGCTTTTGTCCATAGTTTTTCTTTCTTTCCATATCCAATAAAAATCATAAAAATGTATAATAAGACATTTTTAATACCTGTTTACTTTTGAAACTCAATAAGGTTTTTTCTACTACAGACCATTTGAGGACAACAACATGTGACGTAGCCTAGCAGGTGGTTATTATCTGACTCCAAGTCTGCAAAGTACAGACCAGCAGATAGTCTTGTCCTTGATCAACTCAACTTTTCTTATCTGAAGTTAAAAGGAGCTTTTGCGCAACAAGGCATTTGTCACACTATGGCAGGACACGCCTTTGAAACGCAACGCTGCCTTGAATGGGGGCTGTGCACACCAGGATTGGCTATGTAAGGAAAGTAGGTCACTGAGGCCTCTGTGGGTCACTAAAACCCATTTCACTGTTTGCAAATGCTGACAGTGTAAACAAGTCAAAGAGTAACAGATTTAAACCAATAGATAGTAGAATGGAAAACAGGAAAGCTGCTTGTTTCATTCTTTTTGCTCATGCAAAGTGGGATTTACTCATGGTCTATAATAGTAATCCAGTTTAAATAATAAAAAATATGTTAAAAGGCAAGGGTCATGATAGGAATTTCAATATTCTGAAATCTCCAAATTTTCCAAACACACAAACAAAGGGAAGTGGGTGAGAAAAGACAAAAAGTTTCACGTGTCATTTATGTTTAAACACATGCAAATGAAGTCATTTAATGTGTTGTTTTCATCAACAGAACAGTTTCAACTTGCACCTTACTATAAATGTTGCGACTTAACAGGTTATTTTTAAGCTGAATGTTTTATTAAATAGCTTATGTAACAGATTTTCTTTAGCGCAAGTCATTTTAAAATATCAAATCAGCTGTTTCCACCCTGCAGGTCACCGTAGTTTCTTACAAAAGCAGTGTACAATCAGGATTGCATGCTAACAGGACCCAATTTAACTTTTGTCTAAACCTCTTTTATAATTTAAATTCTATAAAAGCAGCAAGTATTTGGTGTTCTGTTGACTATAACATGCTTTAAAAATCTAAATCGTCTTCTGATACATTGCTGTACAGTCTGATGTTTTAGCATTTTTGATATAAGAGTCAAGATAACAATCACAGACAGTGAATTAGTGCCTTTACAGCTACTTGGATTGGTCTTTTGACCTTGGTACTTTGTTTGCAGGTTCAGTGTGGGAGTTGAGTAGAGCTGCAGCTGCTGTTTCATCAAGAGGACTCCTGGTTACCTTCCTCTGGAGGTTTTTGGGAGGAGATCCTTCAGCAGATAATTCCTCTCTAGCCTGATTGCTCCATGGGTTCTCCGTGGGAGGAGCTGGCTCATGTTTGAGAGCCTGAGCTGGAGGAATGGTACAGTACACACACACACACACACACACACACACACACACACACATATTTTTAGATTTAAATGTTTATGTTTACATTTATGTATTTAGCAGACACTTTTGTCCAAAGCGACTTACAAGTGATAATCGGCATGTGGCCCTTGAGGCTAACAACAACAACAACAACAACAACATTGACATCAATCATGGAGAGGAGGGAACAAGGAGTGGACAATAGAGAGGGGGGACGGGTGCAGGGAGGGTGCTAGTTAAGAAGATGCTCTCTGAAGAGCAGGGTCTTCAGGAGTTTCTTGAAAATTGAAAAGGAAGCCGCTGTTCTGGTAGTGCTTGGAAGGTCATTCCACATTCCACAAATCAAGCCTAAAATGTGACTTAAAAACAAAAGTAGGTTCTTTAAATAATCTTTCTGTTTTGTGTAAATTATTGCAAAAATTTACAACAACAAATCAAACCTGATACTTGTTTCCTGGTATAAACTGTAGATTAACAAAGAAAAAAGGAAACACGTGGTGAAGTTTTAAATTAGGGATGCACCGTTATGACATTTTGGGGAGATACCGATATTCATATAGCTATTATGACCGATAATATATATATATATATATATATATATATATATATATATATATATATATATATATATATATATATATATACACATATATATGATGGCATTCATGCTTCTAAAATCAGCATTTTTTTAAACTGAAAATTATGTAAGCTGAAGTTTTTAATGTTTTGCTCTGTATCTATAAAGTGCAAACAAGATTGTGTGTGTGTGTGTGTGTGTGTGTGTGTGTGTGTGTGTGTGTGTTTGTGTGTGTGTGTGTGTGTGTGTGTGTGTGTGTGTGTGTGTGTGTGTGTGTGTGTGTGTGTGTTATTGCATTCTCTCTGAAACAGATACGCAAACAGAAAAAAAAATGGTTATAATATCGGTTGTTAATATCGGCACAGTTTTACTTATCGGACCGATATGTTAAAAGCTAACATCGGCCGATACCAATGTTGATGCTGATTTATTGTGCATCCCTATTTTAAATGTATACTTTCATAAATGTAACTGTCATCCATTTCCATGTTGAGAAATTAACCAGGATACAAAACTATTAAGCCTCGTTAGCGTTGACGTGATTTGATTTCTATTTATTATCTTATTTTGCTTCACTGACCTGGAAACAAGGGGAGGGACTTTGATTTATGGATTCAAGCTGAATCAATCTGAAGTAGTAAATATGTACATAGCGTTTGGGTCCAGGGTGATTTCTAAAAGGGGGTTGTGCAACAAGATGATTTAATCTAAGAACTAATAGGACATTAATGGCTTCAGTCTGTGCTTTTGTCCATTGTATTTATGCTGCCCCTGGACAGACAGTGACATGGAGGAAATCTTATTGTAGCTGCACTGTCAGCTTCTAATTACATTTCCTGCCTTCTGGTCTGTTTAATCTGGTGGGTCACTGAAGGAGAAGGCACAGCTTGAGGACTGAATGCATCAACTTTTACAAGATAACATGCTTTCCAAGCTAGTAAATACATGAAACATACAATTCTGAAGAAAAATGTATTTGCCCTTTACAGATTTGTTCTGTTTTGATTCGGTGGGGTTTAGTTGTGGTCACACTTATAAATTTGTAATTTATTTGATTTATCAAGGAAAATAGCTATCAAAATCAACCTGGTCCTATGTGATAAAACAATTGCCCCCACTGCTAATTCAAGAATTAACTTTAACCCTCTCAGGCTCAAAATAAGTTTTGATAAAAGGACGAACAACTAAGACCTTCAGGGGTATTTCTGAGTAAAAAACTGCTCATGAAATACGTGTGTGGAGTAACCAGGTAGGTAGGTTTTAACTGTTGTAAATCTGCAACGCCCGCCTCCAGAGGGTTAATGAAACATGAGTTTCACCAGCCACACCCATGCTTGATTATCGTAAAACCTGTTGAATTCTAAAGCCATTTCAGTATGAAAGAAGCTAAAAGATGTCAAAAAGCACCCCAACCCCCATTTCAAAGAAGAACATATGTAATAAAATAATTTGCTTGATGGAGGTCTGAAAAGAGGTCACGATTTAATGATATGAAATAGAGGGGGGAAATTGGCCTCTTTGGGAGAGTTAGACCAAAAGCTCTGCTGACCAATAAAAACACAACGGTTTATCAAAAGAAATACTAAAACACCTTGATGACTCAGAGACTTTTGGAAATATATTATTTAGAGTGATGCAACAAAATGGTATGTTCCATTGAAAAAAGGAACATCATACCAACAGTCAAACACAGTGGTGGTAGTGTGATGATCTGTGGCCCCTTTAGCTGCATTAACACTGTGGACAGTTTGGTCTGGGTCTGGTAGGGGCATTGCATTAACATCTGCATTATCTGTGTGTTTTCCGTGTGGAGCCAACCACCTTTTTTGGCCTTGCTTCCCTGTGGTTCGTTTCGCAGAGAGCCAACTGTACACACCCACCTGTGGACTGGCTGAAGCCATATCACTTTAAGAGACACTGATTGGCATGGGTGGAAACAGCCAGCGGCTGACCCCAGCCTGCGCAATTCATTGTCATTCTGGCTGCAGTGGGGTGAACGTCTTCCCTGACGCAGCCCTGGCGGGACTGATCAAATGGAAGAGGAACCCACAGCCGCACTGCTGCTTAGCAAGAAGAGTAGGAAGCTGTGGGCTTCATGTCAGAGTCTCCCAAAACAACACTACTCATTCGCACTTTTGTTTACTAAATTGTGGCACTTAGGAATAACACCACGGCTTTCTTTTGGACCACTTTAGTGGAGCACGCCCTCAACCTGGTCGCACAGGAGCGGACTGTCCCCATCCGGCCCAGGCCAAGCTGATCAAAGTGTAAATGCACTATTTGTTACATTAAGATGGATACATGAATTCTGTACTCTACCAGAAAATCCTTTCGGAGACTATCTGACCTTTCACCTTAAACTAAACAGATCCACAAATCTCAGCAGTCTAAATGTCCTCTTTATTGAGAGACTTATTAGACCCAGTTCCATCATCAGATCTTCATAGTTATTCAACTGGACCTTCACACCTCCTTTTCACCAAGATGGCCTAAAAGGACAACTTTCTGGGCCATTTCAGGAAGCAAAAGAAATGGTCCAGTAGAGTTGCTGGGCGGGACTTGTGGTTAACTCATGCTGATTGGTTGTAACTAAATGGGAAAAAATATCAGTATACATAGTAGTCATTTGAAAAAATTGGAACAGTTGCTGTACAAGAAGAAGAAGCCTACTTCTTTCTTCCAACGCTACCTCCGCTGTACATAGAAAACAGGAATGTGGCCTCCATCCATGCTTCTTTCACTGTCGGTCTCTTTTATTCTCTTCTCCTGTGGGCACCTTTTGATGAGGATCAGTGATGTGACTCCCTGCCGAAAACGGCCGCAATATGCTGACACCTTAGCAAAGTCCTTAACGAGTCAGTAAAGTATGGTGACAATGGCCGTTTCTCAATGTGCGTACTCGTCTAAACTTGTGTCCTCACATCCTTGTGAAACGTCATCAACGCTGGCCCAAGTACCGTTCCAAGTCTAAGTACGTATCATGGAAAGGTTGTTCAAAGTTCCCAGATGCTTTCTTGCTCCACCCATTGAATTCAGGATTCTTTGACGCATCCTTCTGCAGACTTGGGACAGCAAGGTATCTCAAAAGGCATTGCGTCGCAAACCGTTTCGTTGCTCCAGGACGCTGGTGCAATGGCAATAAAGCTGTTTCTGATTCTGACTGTCCCTGTCAACTTCCCTCTCCCAAAACTATTCCGGAACTTGTCTAGTAGAATCAAAGCTATTACGAGTAATCACAAACACCTGAATGCAATTGTTGCTGGCTGGGGGTATAACAACTTTATAAGGCCGCTACTTTATCACAGAGACACTTTTTCGAAACCACCACTCATGTGTCCACTCGGGTTACATCTGTCTGATTTAGATTTTGTTTGGTGAGCTGAAACATTTAGTTGTGATAAAATATCAAAAACAATGCATTTGTAAGGGAATTAACCTACGTCTTTCCCATATCACTGCAATTTCTACTTCTTTTCTTGTTTTGACATGTTTGTTAGTCCCAGAGATTATTACAATATTATTTGGCATACATTCCTCCAAATTTGGAGCTTTAAATAGGTTACTAATTTGTCTCAGAATGCCTCAGGTTTTACAAACTAATTAATTTGTTATACTAGTAAAAATGTGCTTTATTTTTTACCTGAGGGACATGATCTAAACTCAAAAGACCTAATTTAGGAATGAAACTTTTTGCAAACACTTTTTAAATGATAAACCCAAACTTTTAACAAACCACTGACCTTTGATGATCTATTCTAAATCAGAGTTGTCTACACTGCCCTCTGCTGTTAAAACAGCAGCATTACATATTGGCTTTCCTGTTTAAACTCATCCAAACTGAGAATTAAGACCTTGTAGTGTTCTAGAGATACAGAACATAATCTTTAAACAAGTAAATTGAACATGATCTGAATCTGAACCATATTTTTTTGTACTTTAAATCAATTTAATCTGTAAAAAGCTCTAATTAATTTAAAACAAAGGAGCAGTGATTGCATTTGGTTATGGTTTATAATATTTTTCAAATGTGGCATTTGAAACAAATGGGAAAAATGGAAATTCCTTAAAAGATAGTTTCTGTTTACTCAGTTTGCAACTGAAGTATTGCGTCAAAGCCTAAAAATTTAGCATATTTCAATTTTTTTCCCTGATGCCATCATCTTTATTTTAATATCGTTTTTTAAAGTTATAAAGTTGATTTCAGAGAGGATTTGTTTTGATTTAACACAAAAGACTCTCTGCAATAATCTCTACTGTGAAATCTATCTGAGGCCATTACACTTCAAAAGAAGAAATCTAGCTTAAATGTCTCTCTGCCATCTTCTCTTTCTTTTGTGTCATCATAGCCACCTCCTTATCTTCTGCCTTCATACACGAACAAGCTCACTTGACCGCCAGTCAGACTGGTGCGGACATCTTGCAGCTGCTCTGCTGCTCAGAACATCAGTAAATCAGATCACTGAAGCCTTTGTCCTGCAGAACCAAACTGTAAGGTAAGCGCAGATTCTGATTTTTATGAAGTTTCGTTTGTATTTGCAGACGTGTGCCTTTGTGACATGTTGTAAAGGGCTTGTAATCTTTCTTTGAGCCGTTATGTACTTTGTTAGTTGAGGTTTCATCACAAGGGAACAGAGCTGGGGGTGGTGTAATATCCCTTATGGGTCAGTAACTGAACTGAGAAATATTGCAAATACAAAGCTTGTTGGAAATGCTTTTTTTTTTCATGAAGCAGTGTTATATTTGTAATTAAACAAGGCAATAAGAGAGGAAACGACATTTCTAAACTTAACCAAGTGGCAAACTTTTAAATTGTGGTTGTCAATTAAACAGAAGAAGCTGCAAATATCATTATTGGCTCTGAAAGAAAGCAAAACTAAAAATTTAGCTGCAATGAAGACTATTTAGGCAGGTTCCTTCAGACTGTATAGCGGTCTAACCAAAACATAGCTTGAGCAGAAAATGTCTCTTTCACACATCTGCAGATACGACGACTGTGACTTATCTCTCATATCTATCCTTCAGCTCATGAGTGGAAGATGAAGATAAAGGACCACTGTTCTCAGTAATAAATGCCCAAGGCTGAACAACAGCCAGGGTTAGGTTAGGGTTGTGTATTTTATCAGTTAGCTATGACATTTATGAATAAAAAATTGGCATAACTGCAGCCAAATGTTTTGAGAATGGTAGAAATATTAACTGTTGACCACATCCGTTTCCATGACGGCACTGTCCATAGACTCAAAACGTCAGAAAGACTGATCAGATAAACTATGGTTAATTACCAAGTCCTTCCTCACCATTAAAATGAACTGATATTGTTGAGGAAAGGCAGATTCAGATCATTTGCCGAAGCAAAACTATTTTGCTCAAGAATTCGGTTTTAGCCACGCTCCACTGGAACCTCTGCAGCCTCGTCCAGCGTTATGACTGGCCAATCACAGCGCGTTTATTTAGAAAAACTATGTATTTTTGTCATCTTCCATCTATGGAAGACTGTTCTGCTGACTGACATTTGTAGCGGTCCAATAACAGCGCTCTATTGGTTTGGTGGGCAAATCTCAGCACTCTGTCAGTCAGATGGGCGGGAGGTTGGTGCGACTGAGCAAAACTAAGATGGTTACAGCTCCATAACAGTCCAATCACAGCCAATCATAGCACTCTGTTGGTGGGCGGGATGTTACTAAAAAAAATGGTGACGTATTGTTTGAAGCGGCTCTGACATCAACTTTGGACCATTTATACTTGGGCTTTTCTTTGAGTCAAGAGCAGATAGATTAAGTTTATTTGGAAACGGGATGAAGTTGCATCCTCGTTGGCGGAATATGGACTGCCTTGTTGACTGATCCATAGCTGTGAGTATTGTCCAATAGCACGCGGAGATCGTTTGAAAGACAACCGTAGATCTCGACTCACGACTGAGAGCTGTCAGTGGGCCGTGGCCAGACTACATATTCACATATAGGATGGCTTGCCAGACTAGATGAAAGACTGTACGAGCCTTCTCCAGCACATTCCAATAATTCTCAAAGAAATTAAGGTTTGGACTCTGAGTTTTCTCTCAGCATTGTCATCTTTGAACATATCAATGCCATTGGGGGAAAGAAATCCATTGATGAAATAATTTGGTCATTAAAGGTGCAATATGCAAGAATTCTGCAGTGAAATAATCACAAAAGTCACGTTGGAAGGGAGATTACATTGAAACAGATTTCTTTCTCAGTCGACTGGGGGGTTGTCAGTTTTCATCTTTCAAAAAAAAAAAGGAGAGAGGTATGGAGTTACTGTTAATTTGTGAGCTTGTGAGGTTGCCAAGTCTGCATCGAGCTTACGCATCAGTGCTGGCATTTGTAATTTGACACCGGAAGGCAAAAAACTTCAGAGTTGTTCAAAGAACTGTAGCGTGGTTAAACTACATACTAGAATTAACACTGTTTGCTATCAGTTTTGTTAGATTCTGAAGAAGATCATACAAGTTAGCAAATGAAGCTTCTATCATATGTAAAAATCTAGGATATTAATATAATCGATAGAAGTTCATACGCCAACGGGCTTGGTCTATATTTGATCCAAAGATTAATTTTTAATTTAAGATATTTAAATTAAAAGCAAAAGTTTATTTATTATACAGAAGACGTAATGGAATCTTTGCTTATTCAATAACCAAAAATACACTATTTCTGTGTTTCCTTTCAAAGAAGAGCCAGGTTTAAAAAGTTAAGAATTTATTACTAACAATTTAAAGATGACAATTTGAAATGACAATTTAAAAAATGACAATTTGTAACAGCTTAATATTAAAACTTGTCATTAAAAGCTTTACCTGTGTCTGAATGAAAAGCTAAAATGACATGCGAGGTTCGGATGTGTGGATCAGGGGTGTGTCCAGGGAGTGGCCTGGGGTAGCACATGCCACCCTTGGAATCTGATTGGCCACCCCAGGTGCCAACATACTAATTTACCTTTAAATAGGCTTTTCATTGTCCACAAAAGAATTGGGGTAAAACAAGAAAAGCATAACCATTGGTGCCACCCATGCACAAAGTTGTGCCTCACCTGGGCCATCCCATTTTAAAAGATCTGGACATGCCGCTGGCGTGGATGACATCTCAGAAGATTTCTTTCAGAGAGAGAAACGTGTTCTGGGTGAAAAATATTGTTTTGCAGCTAACTTATGGTTTCTTAGAGAGAACAGCATCAGATGCCATCTGTCAGACAGTGCCTACCTCACCCAGTTCAGGAGACCCTCTGTGGATCCGAGATGTCAGGTGGAGACGGTTTAAGCCTGATGCATGCTTCTCCGTCAGCTCCGCAAGGGACAGACACGCACGGATTGACGGAAGCGTTTTGCTCTCATACTTCTCCGTCTCCTGGAGAGTGTTGCAAAGCAATTCCCCGGCAGGACAACAGAAGGCGTAGCGCTGTTCTGTGGTATCCTGTCATGTATCGGTCCATGATAGTGTGTTTATAATATGTTTTTTTGTATATAAGAGACTTTTTTACACAGACATATTTGTCTCTCATTCTCCTCCACCTCTTCATGCGCTCCCCACCTCTAAACCCACGTTTCCTGTCATTTCCGTCCACAAATAAAACACTTGCTGCGCATCTTTTCACCCCTCCAGTCACGGGGGAATTAAACGTTCATATTTTTAGAGTTTTTTCGCGAGGTATTCTTCAAGCTTCTCCGTGTCTGCCGCTAGTTATCCTCGGCTCTCTTTATGTTTTTGAGGGCGCAATGGCGGCGCTGTAAACAACAGCGGCGTCCTGACCAATCACAAGCTTGCGTTGTCCGTCTCGAATGATGGATGTTTAGAAAAGAGAGCTCGACTCCGTCCGTCCTTGCGGAGCTCTCTGGCAGGCACGCAAGGACGTTGCGTGTCTCCGCACTGACTCAGACGGAGAAGCATGAATCAGGCTTTACTCCAAGCATGAGGTTGGTAGAGGGACCTCGGTGTGACTCAAATCGGTCCTGAGATGTCTCCGGGTCACAACGACTGATGAAACTATTTGCGTCTCAAAATCAATAACTCTGAAGGAGTTTGTGTCAGCTGGTTACAGGTGCGTTTATTCGGAGCAATTCTATGGGCATGACAGAACGCTTAGTGAGGATTCAGGTGGCCGTCCCTCGTCCTCTGGTTGGTTCAAGAACTGAACTTGAGCTGCGGAGATTTGGTTTTAACAAAACCTCAGAACACGCCCTCTCAGCGTCAGAAAGCTTTTTGTTATGGAGCAAAGACATGTGAGAGCAAGTTAACTTTTACCCTGGATTCAGTCCTGCATGAGGTGTACACATGCCAATGACCTTCTGGTTACTGATCACACATTACTGATTATCATAAATAATAATCATTATTAACCCAAAGAATAATGTCATTTCAGTAATTAAATACATTTATACTGAACCATGATGATTATTTATGATGATTATTATATGATTGTAATAACAGTAAAAATAGTTTATTAAAAATTATTATTTTAAAATTATTATTTTAAAATCTTGAAGTGTCCTTCATCTTGGGACTGAACAGCAGATAGATAAAAGATGATGTTTAGCAGACTTCCCGGCTCCTGATGGATAATCTGTGGAACAAAAGTTACAGCTTGACCCAGCTGGGAAATTGTGATCTTTGAGTCACAAATATGAGTCCATTCATGTCACTACAGAACTGAATCCAGAAAACAGAAGCAACCTAGAAGTTATTTCTTGTACCCCTTAAAAGCCACTTTTTTTTTTTGCTTTACTCTAATATTGAGTGAAACAGACCAGAGGCTAATAGTGAGCTAACAATGCTAATGGTGAATTAGAATCAAACAGTCAACTCTAAAAATATCTCAAGCTACTTTTTCAGCAACCAACTCCTCGATATTACAGTGAAATTAATGAGTGAAGTGAATCAGGACTCGTTCAGTCATTCCGAACTATAACAGCAAGACGGCAAACAATCATATTTCCTGTAATGCTGGAGAAATATTCCCATAATAACTGCAGTAAGACCTCCCTACTGTAAAACACCCAAGGGTGCTAAAACCAAATATAACAATGTATTTATCTACTTATCATCCTAATGTGCATGACTTGTCTTTGCTTGTCACCCAGTCTTCTGGCGCTGATCCGTAACTGGCAACAGCCATGAAACTCACAGAACAGCAATGAGAAAATAATATTTTGCTTAGAAAAATGGGCTTCAGTAACCACATTTTACCACGGGGTATCATTCATACTTCATTCTTCCATATTGCACCTTTAAGTTTCATAAGGCAGTCAGGTGACCTCATTCGTTGTGCCACACCAGCACTAGTTTCCTGTCAAATGGCCTGTATTTGTATAGTGCCTTCTTAGGGTTCTACAACCCCCCCAAGGCACTTCACAACACAATCAGTCATTCACCCATTCACACACACATTCACACGCTGGTGGGGATGAGCTACGATGTAGCTACAGCTGCCCTGGGGCGCACTGACAGAGGTGAGGCTACCGAGCACTGTTGCCACTGGTCCCTCCGACCACCACCAGCCGGCAAGGTGGGTTAAGTGTCTTGCCCAAGGACACAACAGCAGCATTCTCTGGTTGGAGCCGGGATCGAACCTGCAACCTTCTGATCACTGGACCACCCACTCTACCTCCTGAGCTACTGCTGTCCCTCTGTTATGCTGTGCTATTAACAACGTGGATAAAATGCAGTGAAAATGTGGCCTATGACACATGTCTGGCTAATAAAAGCCCTTCTTCCATTTTTGGTTCTTTTCCAAACACAGATCAGGTTTTTCTTTACCTTGCTGACGTTTCGTTTGTGGCTGCAAAACATCCTCACAGCTGACGCTGATGGTGGCGTCACTTCCTACTCCGTTTATCCGCGGGCAGCAGAGGGCGTTGTCGCCTCCCCTCTCCGATGATGCAGTCCCATGCACGGTCCAATAAATAAACTCCATCTTCTCTGTTCATGGTCCCACATCCATGTCTCCTCATCTCTATAGATTCCTTTATCCATCTTTTGTATTTCTGTAGTTCAGTGTGAGGGCGACAACGCCCTCTGCTGCCCACGGATAAAAAGAGCAGGAAGTGACGCAACCATCAGCGTCAGCTCTGAGGATGTTTTGCAGCCGCAAACGAAACGTCAGCAAGGTAAAGAAAAAACCTTATCTGTGTTTGGAAAAGAACCAAAAATGGAATTTGAAGACAAACACAGCAAGAGCGTACAAAAGATGCTAAAAGCCCTTCTTGCATGAATATAAGTATTTAAAAACTTAAAGATTTCATTTCCATCATCTTAAATATTTAAGAGATGCATTCATCTAAACACGAATAGTCTTATGTAGTTTTTAGGGATCAAGACAGAAATGCAATAATTTTCTCGGCCTGAGAAGCAGAGATGACACTCTTTGGAATTTTAAAAACAAACCATTGTACCTTCAACAGGAAGTGGTTTATGGCCCACTTTAACCCATAATCCAAGCGATTATCTCTCTGATATAATCACCAGCTGATGGTGTAAGGATCATTGTATGTTTGCCTTCACCCCTAAATGTCTTTTTGTCCTCACTCTCAGATGTTAACATTTCTTTTAGCTGCAGATTAAACATTGACCAAAGAAGAAAAAGCTGTTGCCTTATCTTCTCTGTTTATCTTTCCACAGGAAGTTGCTGTTTTCATCCATTTGGTGAATGAAATCAAAGAAGAATTTACATAATTTTTTAATTTGATAATACATTTGGATGTATGTTTGCTAGTGATGTGAAGGCTATTTGTAAATACATGCAACAGCTGACAGATTTGAATGTTTTGTTTTTTAGCTCTTCCATTCTGAAATGGAGGAATGGGAGGAATGGGAGACTTCTACAGCGTTAGACACACAAACTCAACACTTCTCAACTACATGTATGAATCCCTTTAAAATACTAACTAATCAGTGGTTTTCTAATTCCATTAACTGCTTTCATTATTATTGTGTTTGGTAGATAACAGCTCTTGTGAGAAGCTGGATTGCTACATGGTCCTGACAGAAGCAGAAAAGAAAGCCATCGGCTCCATCTGTTTTCTGGCCGGTCCTGTAACTCTGATGGAAAACGCCCTCGTGTTAGGGGTGATCGCCACCACAGTCAGCCTGCGAAAGCGGCCCTCCTATCTCTTCATTGGCAGCCTCGCACTAGCTGATGTTTTCGCCAGCTGCTTTTTCACCATAAGCTTCCTGGACTTCCACCTCTTTCACCAGAGCGACGGTCCAGATGCCTATCTCTTCAAGCTAGGTGGCGTCACCTTGGCCTTCACTAGTTCTGTGGGGAGCCTACTGCTCACTGCTCTGGACCGCTACCTCTGCATTCACCAGGCCTCTGCCTACAAAGTTCTGCTAACACGCCGCAGAGCACTATTGAGCCTCTTGATTCTCTGGAGCATCACCATCCTCGTCTCCTTCTTGCCGGTTATGGGATGGAGGTGTCCCACGGGCCTCGCTCCACCCTGCTCGCAGCTGTTTCCCTACATTAATCGGGGCTATCTGGCCTGCTGGACTAGCTTCATCTTGGTGCTTCTGGTTCTCATTTTGATGTCTTATGCCCTCATCCTGTGGAAGGCCCACCGTCATGAATCCACCATGACCACCTTCCAGGGTGGAACAGGAACTGGCCAGGCCCGAATGAGGATGGATATCCGACTGGCTCGCACCTTTGGTTTGATTCTGCTCATACTGGTGAGCTGCTGGCTCCCTGTGCTCTCCTTCATGCTGGTCGATGTCTCCATCCACCTCAGCCGTGCTCAGCAGAGAGCGTTTGCTTTTTGCAGCACCCTGTGCCTGCTCAACTCGACCGTCAACCCGCTCCTTTATGCCCTGAGGTGCAGAGAGCTGAGAGTGGCTCTGATAAACTCTTTATGTCGACTGTGGAAAATCGGGAGGTGTAAACAATCTACGAACGACTCAAACCCGAAGCTCCACTCAGCGGAAGACCACTGTGCTGCATCCACAGAGGATGAGATTCCCAGGGAAAGAAGCACTCGGCTGAATTCCATCTCTGAAATGGTGGACAATCCTTGAATGTGAGGAAATAAAAGTGATCAATCCTTGAAATAAAGGTTGGACAAAAAATTAGTGCTTAAGGCAGTTTGTTGCTAATGAAGAACTGTAAAAAAAAACACCAAGGTGATTGTTATAAATGTAGATGAAGAACTGAGCCTATCTTTGAAAAGACCTTTTCAAACGTGCACCATGTTGTGTTTTACCTCATTTAAACAACTGGAACTGCTAGAAAATACATGACGATGAACATTTGGTTTAAATGTCACCGGTTAGAACATTAGAAGATGAAATGTTTTGTTTTCTTCTCGTGACTTTTTATACGATTTTAAAACAAATCTGCAACTTGAACAAAAAGGTTTGAGATATTTATTGATGATGACTGAAACTCCAAAATCCAAACGCACTTTTGGTTTGGTTGCTGCTTCTCTGCTCTTTATAAGAAATAGAAAATCTTGATAATTAAGTGGGACTTCCATTCTTTCGTTCTTTTTTAAACACAGAAACAGTTTTGTTTACCTGTTTGTAGCTACAGTTTCGCCGACAGCTGCCGGCTTCTTCAGGCTGACGCTGATGGTGGCGCGTCACTTCCTTCTCCGTTTATCTGCGGGCAGCAGAGGACGTTGTCGCCCTCTAAAAAAGATCCAACAGAAAACATTAAGAAAAACATGAAAAAATTACTGAAGCCACTGCACGAAAAAGGCAAAATAACAGAAAAAATGTACAAACACTGGATTCCTACAGCAAACATAACACCAAGAATATATGGAACACCAAAAATACATAAACAGAACACCCCACTTAGACCAATAGTAGACAGCATAGGTACACCAACATACAGCATGGCAAAAGATATCAGCAGAATCATCAGCCCGTTATTAGGAAATACAGACCAACACTGCAAAAATAGTATAGAATTGGCAAAAGAACTAAAGGAAATTACAATAGAAGACAACGACATACTCATCTCACATGACGTCACATCTTTGTTCACAAAAACACCAACCCAAAAAACCATAGACATAGTAGTTAACAGAATCAGACAGGACAAGACTTTACACAAAAGAACACACCTCACAGCAGATGACATAGCACAACTGATAGGACTGGTAGCTAACTCCACTTACTTCACATACGACAACACAATATACAAACAACTGGAAGGCTTCGCCATGGGTAACCCGTTATCAGCCACCCTGTGCGAGTTTTTCATGGAAGACCTGGAACAAAAAGCCATAGCCACTGCCCCCCCAAACTGCAAAATAAAACTATGGAAACGCTACGTGGATGACATACTGGAAATCATACCAAAAGGTCAAACAGAAACACTAACACAACACTTAAACAATATTGACGACACGGGCAACATAAAATTCACTTATGAGTCAGAAACAGAAGGCAGTATAGCATTTATGGATATGAAAATCACCAGACAGACCGACGGGACCCTAAACATAAACACATACAGGAAACCAACACACACAGACCAATACTTATTATGGACATCAGAACACCCCACCATACACAAAATGTCAGTAATCAGAACATTATATCACCGAGCAAACATAATAACAGAAAAGAGAGACCGTAAACAAGAGGACAAACACATACAATACGCTTTAAAGACCTGCGCATACCCGACATGGGCGATAAACAAAGGAAAACAACAAACAAGAATAGAAAGCAAAGAACAACCCAAAAAAAGAACCAGAAACCCAGAAAGACAAGAACCAAAACCAGTGATAACCCTACCATACATCAGAGGCATAACGGAAAAAATTAGAGCAACAATGAAAAAACACAACATAAACACACCAACAAAGCCATACACAACAGTTAGAAACAGACTAGTACACCCAAAAGACAAAATATCAGCTGGACAAAAATGTGGAGTCATCTACGAAATCCCATGCAAACTATGCAATAAAACATACATAGGAGAAACCGGACGCCAACTCAATACACGGACAATAGAACACAGAAAGGAGTGCGAGAAAGAGGCAAATCGTAAACACACAAGAGCAGCAAAAGAAGAAGCAGAAAGTACAATAAAAAAGTCAGCCGTAACAGATCATTGCTTAAGAGAAAACCATATAATGGACTGGGACAGCACACGGATCATAACCACTGAACAACAAAAATACAAAAGATGGATCAAGGAAGCAATCGAGATAAGGAGACGTGGATGTGGGACCATGAACAGGGACGACGGAGTTTACACGCTGGACCACGCATGGGACTGCATCGTCGGAGAGGGGAGAGCGGGCAGTAGAGGGCGACAACGTCCTCTGCTGCCCGCAGATAAACGGAGAAGGAAGTGACGCGCCACCATCAGCGTCAACCTGAAGAAGCCGGCAGCTGTCGGCAAAACTGTAGCTACAAACAGGTAAACAAAACTGTTTCTGTGTTTAAAAAAGAACGAAAGAATGGATTTAGAAAGACACAGCAAGAACACACCTAAGTGGGACTTATTAGGCAAAACCAGGGGTGGGCAATCCTGGTCCTTGAGGGCCGCTATCCAGCATGCTTTAGTGGTTTTCTCGCTCCAACACACCTGATTCCATCAGCTCATCAGGCTCTGCAGCAGCTTGTTAGTCACCAACAGATTCAAACCAGGTGTGTTTAACCAGAGAAAAAACTAAAACCTGCTGGATATCCTCGAGGGCCAGGATTGCCCATCCTTGGGCAAAACTCACCTTTTTGCATTCTTTTTTTGCTGCCATTTGGGGTTTCTACGATTTCTATAAATTCTATAAATCATCCCTTTGTTTTCTGTCAGTGTTTGTGATAGGGATTATAAGCCTTAAACAAGCTGTGTCAGAGTCCCTTATTGTGATGTCACAATAAGAAAAATTTGCATAAAACCACGCCTCACCTGTTGATGCTGGAGAAGCAGCAGCTCTACTCCGAGCCCCTCCCGGATAGCCGAGCTCTTCGCCTTATTGACCCTTTGCATGTCCCATGACCCTTGTGATGTCACTCCTCCAAATCTGAGACCATGGTTCTCAACCGGAAAAGGGTGGCTTGCCAACTCTGGGTCGGTAGAGAGGTCCTACCTCAAGTGGAGGAGTTTAAGTATCTCGGGGTCTTGTTCACGAGTGAGGGTAGGAGGGATCGGGAGATCGACAGGCGGATTGGTTCGGCGTCTGCAGTGATGCGGACGCTGAGCCGATAGGTTGTGGTGAAGAGGGAGCTGAGCCAGAAAGCCAGGCTCTCGATTTACCGGTCGATCTACGTCCCAATCCTCACCTATGGTCATGAGCTTTGGGTGATACAAGCAGCCGAAATGAGTTTCCTCCGTAGGGTGGCCGGGCTCAGCCTTAGAGATAGGGTGAGGAGCTCGGACATTCGGGAGGGACTCGGAGTAGAACCGCTGCTCCTCCGGATCGAAAGGAGTCAGCTGAGGTGGTTTGGACATCTGGTCAGGATGCCTCCTGGACGCCTCCCTGGGGAGGTGTTTTGGGCATGTCCTGCCAGCAGGAGGCCCCCGGGTCGAGCCAGGACACGTTGGAGAGGTTACATCTCCAATCTGGTCCAGGAACGCCTTGGGGTCCTGCCGGAGGAACTGGTGGAGAAGGCCGGGGAGAGGACGGTCTGGAGCTCCCTAGTTGGGATGCTGCCCCCGCGACTCGGATAAGCGGAGAAAGACGACGACAACGACGATATTCAGAAAATGTTTCATAAGAGAGTAAGAGGGTACATGTTAAAAGGGACTGATGTCCTTAAAAAACCTAAATTCAGAACCAAAATGAAGGAATGTAATATTTCTGTAAATGGTGTAAGATTGTGGAATGCACTTAACAGAGAAATTAAAGAATCAAACTCACTTGCTATATTTAAAAAATGTATGAAATCAAATGTATTAAGTAATTATGAAAAGGTAAATTAAAATGCCAATGATTATATATAAAAATTAGAAAGGGACTGAGGTTATATTGTAAATGTCTTATGGATAATTTTCTTTTGTAAAAAGGGGCAGACATTATGAGATTTTTCTTCTATCTGCTCCTTTTCATTCAAATGTATTTTGTTCATTATGTTTATGTTCTGTATTTGCTTGTGTTTATTTTAGAAATTTTGAATGAAATACATATGTACATATATATCGGATGTCCTGGTTTGGGGATTGGGTCACGATCGGAGGGTCGAGGGGGGATGTGCGGGTGGTTCAGGCGGCTGACTGCACCGCAGCGTGTCACTCAGGTGGAAGAGCCCCAGACAGAACAATTACTCAGCGCTCTGAGGAAGCTGTCCCGGTGCAGAGTGAAGGGATTAGCGGTGCAGTGATGTATTCTCTACCGATGCTAACGACAATAGCATCATAAGCGTTGAGCTTTTTGCCCCTGGCTGTAAATGACTGCTTGTTTTTTTTGCCCCAACGATCGCTTTGTCTGCAGACGTCCCTCTCACAAGAGCACAGTGCATTTTGGTATGCGTCAATTTCCGCAGTTAACATAGGGCTAGCCAGAGAATCACACACGGTTTCAGTGTAAAGTCACTGGAAAATTTCAAAATAAAAGTTCTGCACCGATGCTATTTCATACATATGAAGCTTACGTGTGACCTAACGACTTATTTATGCACAGCATCGTTCCAGAAGTGCAGTGGTGTGTTTTCATGGCTTTAATCCTGGCAGTGGAGAGGAACAACATCATATTTGACATCAAACATCGATATCAAACATGATTCTCTTCTTTTTGCTTTAATGGCGGATTGCATTAACAAACCGTGACCTGAAATCTCGAGAGATCTTGTAATCTCGCGAGTCCAGCGAAGAGCATTGCGCAGCCGCAGCAGCAGCCTCAGGAGCAAAAACAACCAATCAAAGCCTTTGATGACGTCATAAAGGCTTCGGAACACTATAAATAGGTCGTCAGACCGCGCAACCGTTCAGTCTCTCCAAGAAACCTCACAGAGCGACACCGCGTGACAAGGCCTGCATAGTAAATCTTATTATCTTATTTATTCTTTAAATTAGAATAAATACAACTAGCTAAGGACTTATTTAACATCAATTTACAAGTTTTGTGTCAGGGACTCCAAACATCCACAATAACTCTTGTTTCCACAAAAATAGGATCGTATAGACCAAGAGTTTAATAAACAGCCAGCAGAAATGGATTTAATTTCTAACTTTACACTCCAAATTGAGCAGCTTTTTCTTACTGAAGGACAAAAGATAGAAGAGTTGAAAGCAGAATGTCTGAATGATCATTTGCTGGTTTCAAATGAACAAAGCATCAAAAATGAAACCAGTTTTCCCATTATAAACCAGCGTTCAGAAGATTTTGAACAGAAATTTAGAGAAGAAAGAGATTCTCACTTACAAACAAGAGAAGTGAACCAGGAACTCATTGAGCGTCTGAAAGCTGATAACGGGGCTCTCCTAGCACAGATGGATGAGACGAAGACAGCTCTGGAAGAAATGAAAGTTTCTCACCAGAAACTCTTAGAAAAATATAATAAGGATGTTCTTTCCACCCAAGAAATGATTGAACATCTTGAAATTGAGCTAGAGGATGAAAAGGAGGCTCACCAAATGACCATATCTCAGATGCAAGCAAACATCCCTGAGAAAAACAAACAGGAAGAACCAAATAAAGATCTCTTGAAAAAAATACGCATTTCACATCAAGAGCACATGTTTGAAGACAAACTTCTTTATGCCAAACAAAAAGCAGAACATTTTGAAAAAGCATTTCAAAAGGAATTTCAAGAACATCAAATTACTAAGACTAAACTGGAGGATTTAAGCAGTAAAATGACCCAACAGTGTGTTGCCCAGCAAACCAGTTTTCAAGAGACCGAGCCACAACTAGGACAGGCAGAAGGATTTGAAAACGAAATTAAGAAACAAATCCAGCCACACGAACAGACAAAGACTAAGTGTGAGGATTTAGACAGTACGGTGTGCGAACAGTGTGTTTGGCATGAGCAGCGTTTCATTCGCTTAGAGAAGGAAATGCGCCAAAAACATTTAGAAGAGCGAAACGTTTTATTAGATGAAACACAAAGATGTGAAAGTGAGCTTATTTTCGCCAAAGGACAGGTAGAAGGATTAGAAAAGGAACTTGAAAAGCAAATCCAGGCGCACGAACAGACAAAGACTAAGCTGGAAGATTTGAGCAGTGAGATGACTCATGAGTTTGTTCGCCAACAGAAGGGTTTCAAACTCAGAGAGAAGGAAATGCGCGAAAAACTTTTGGAAGAACAAAACGTTTTGTTGGATGAAAAACAAAGATGTGAAAATGAGCTTATTTTAGCCAAAAGACAGGTAGAAGAAATTGAAAACGAACTTAAGAAAGAAATCCAGGCACACGAACAGACAAAGACTAAGTGTGAGGATTTAGACAGTACGGTGTGCAAACAGTGTGTTTGGCATGATCAGCGTTTCATTCGCTTAGAGAAGGAAATGCGCCAAAAACGTTTAGAAGAGCGAAACGTTTTATTAGATGAAACACAAAGATGTGAAAGTGAGCTTATTATCGCCAAAGGACAGGTAGAAGGATTAGAAAAGGAACTTGAAAAGCAAATCCAGGCGCACGAACAGACAAAGACTAAGCTGGAAGATTTGAGCAGTGAGATGACTCATGAGTTTGTTCGCCAACAGAAGGGTTTCAAACTCAGAGAGAAGGAAATGCGCGAAAAACTTTTGGAAGAACAAAACGTTTTGTTGGATGAAAAACAAAGATGTGAAAATGAGCTTATTTTAGCCAAAAGACAGGTAGAAGAAATTGAAAACGAACTTAAGAAAGAAATCCAGGCACACGAACAGACAAAGACTAAGTGTAAGGATTTAGACAGTACGGAGTGCAAACAGTGTGTTTGGCATGATCAGCGTTTCATTCGCTTAGAGAAGGAAATGCGCCAAAAACGTTTAGAAGAGCGAAACCTTTTATTAGATGAAAAAAAAAGATGTGAACGTGAGCTTGTTTTAGCCAAAGGACAGGTAGAAGGATTAGAAAACGAACTTAAGAAAGAAATCCAGGCACACGAACAGACAAAGACTAAGCTGGAAGATTTGAGCAGTGAGATGACTCATGAGTTTGTTCGCCAAGAGAAGCGTTTCAAACTCAGAGAGAAGGAAATGCGCGAAAAACTTTTGGAAGAACAAAACGTTTTGTTGGATGAAGTCAAACAAAGACATGAAAGTGAGATTATTTCTGCCAAAGGACAGGTAGAAGGATTAGAAAAGGAACTTGAAAAGCAAATCCAGGCTCACGAACAGACAAAGACTAAGCTGGAAGATTTGAGCAGTGAGATGACTCATGAGTTTTTTCGCCAAGAGAAGCGTTTCAAACTCAGAGAGAAGGAAATGCGCGAAAAGCTTTTGGAAGAACAAAACGTTTTGTTAGATGAAGTCAAACAAAGACATGAAAGTGAGATTATTTCTGCCAAAGGACAGGTAGCAGGATTAGAAAAGGAACTTGAAAAGCAAATCCAGGCTCACGAACAGACAAAGATTAAGTTGGAGAATTTGAGCAGTGAGATGACTCATGAGTTTGTTCGCCAAGAGAAGCGTTACAAACTCAGAGAGAAGGAAATGCGCGAAAAGCTTTTGGAAGAACAAAACCGTTTGCAAGTATGCAACGCTTCATTAGAGGAAATGAAACGAAGATATGAAAATGACATTCTTTCTGCTAGACAACACGTTACAACTTCACAAGGAAATGGACGATCACAAAAGACAAAATGTCAGATTCAATAAGACAGTTCAGAGATGGAGACATTAGTCCAGCAAATGATGAAGAAAATGAAACAAATTTATAGAAAACGTGGAGAAATGAAGACTTTCAATGAAGAAATGAAAACAAAATGTAGATCAGAAGATTTTTCTGCCAAAGGCAACGACTGCAGAAGTGACAGAAGGACTTAGCTGAGAGACATCTCCATAAACAATCACAGGAGGTGTCTCTGCAGCGAGAATCCTTGAAGGAAACAGACTCAGTTACAAAAGTCTCTAGAAGGTTGATGGTGAGGACTAGCCCACCATCTTTAAAATTAAACTATTACTTAGAGTTTACAGAAAAATGGATTATTCTGGAAAATATACTGGGTAGGGGCCCTGGTTAGGCATAGCTGTGTTAGATACAGATAGAAATAAAATAGTTAGAGTTTAAAAACCGGGCAGCACAAGAGTCTGTTGAGACTGCTACACTTGTGTTTGCGTGGGGTTTTCTCTGGGCGCTCCAGTTTCCCCCCATAAACCCTAAACACTCATGTCTGTGGAAGCTTCTGTCTGGGCCACACGAAGTTTAACAAAAGAACATTAACAACTAGTTTTTAGAAAGGGACCTGCCTGTTAGCAAAAGAGAGTGGCCATGTGTTAAAGAGGCCTAAAGTCAAGATGTTTGGGTGACATAGTAACCAAAATCACCCCAAAATCAAGACGTACCACATTTCCCACGGCCGAACCGCTCGTTTGGGTGTAACGTGTGCGGAAGTCTGAGGACACGTGTTACGAACATACACGTAATTATAAATAAAATGTACCCTCTCAGGCTCAAAATAAGTTTTGATAAAAGGACGAACAACTAAGTCCTTCAGGGGAACTTCTGAGTTAAAGACTGCTCATGAAACACGCCTGTGGAGTAACCAGGTAGGTAGGTTTAACTGCTGCAAATCTGCAACGCCTGCCTCCAGAGGGTTAAGGTGACCATATCATTCTTTAGAATCCATTGATTGATTAGTTGATTATTTACATATGTAATTCGTGAATTAACTGGTAGGCCAATTAAAGAGAATTTTTTGCTGTTTTCTCACTAATTACACAGTAAATCGAAATGCTTACAAAAGCAATGGCGCCCCTCCCACTAGAGGTTTTAGCTGCAGGTCGAGCAGCAAAAGCAAAGAACAACTCTGAATAGCAAACTTTGCAAAGCAAGAATTTGATCTACTTCACTAGGCTAGTAGAAACAGTAACGTGAGCCTGATTGAGATTCTAAAGGATTCATTTTGCATCCCTGCAAAAACAAAAGTAAGTAAGTAAAAGTTTATTTATAGAGCACCTTTCGCAGATATAAATCACAAAGCGCTGTACAACATGATAAAGATCAGGGCAAATACCTCTAACCAATAAAAACATCAGAAAAACAATAGCAGTGATAAAATAGTAAATAAAATCATGAGTAAAAAGAAAGTGAAGAAGTGAACCCGAACAAAGCCATCTTTTAGAACATTTAGGGAGGGAACGCCTGGATGAAAAGGTGAGTTTTTAGATGATTTTTAAAGACCTCTACAGTGTTAGAGAGACGGAGATTTGAAGGTAGACTGTTCCAAAGCCTGGGTGCAATAGTCTGAAAGGCGCTGTCCCCTTTGATTTTCAGTCTGGTTCGAGGAACAGCCAGGAGGTTTTCAGATGTGGATCTAAGGTTCCGAGAGGTGGTGTGTGGGGATAAAAGCTCAGATAGGTAGCTTGGAGCCTGGTTGTTAAGAGCACTATAGGTCAGGACTAAAACTTTAAACTGAATTCTATATTCTTTTTTTTTTCTTTTTTTTTTTTACACAAAAAACAAAAACAAAATATAAAAAGCAAATAAATAAATAAATAAATCATAAACTAAAATAAAAGCAAAAAAAAAACTCTCTAACTCTGCCACTGCCGGTCCCAAGCCCGGATAAAAAAGAGGAGGGGAGAGTTTGACTTTCTAACTATGTGACAAAAAACAGATGAAAATAAATTAATATGTTTACAAGAGGGAAAAGGGGGGTCACCAACATCAGGGTCGCCAACATCAATCATTATGGTTCATTCTGTGAGAATCATGAATGTGCACCCTAAATTAGTAAAGATTTGGATGAAAGATTTGTACTGAATTCTATATTCTACCGGGAGCCAATGGAGGGACTGTAAAACTGGAGTGATGTGAGCTCGTCTGCTGGATTTGGTTAGGGGTCTGGCTGCTGCATTTAGGATGGCTTGAAGACGTGAGAGGGAGGTTTTGCTGAGACCAGTAAAAAGAGCTTTACAGTAGTCTAAGCGTGATGACACAAAGGCATGGATGATTTTTTCCAGATCTGCAGTAGAAACCAGTTTACGGACTTTTGAAATGTTTCTCAGTTGAGAGAAACAAGAGCAGGAGATGGTTTTGACGTGTGAGTCTAAACTTAAAACCGGATCAAAAACAACTCCTAGGTTTCTAATGTTGGCCTTGGCTGATGGGCAAAAAGAGGCAATTGTTGCTCGATTTTTGGCTGAAGTTCTGGTGGTGCAGCGATCAGGGTCTCTGTCTTGTTAGCATTGAGGACAAGAAAGTTGCTGGACAGCCAGTTACTGATCTGGGTCAGGCAGAGTACAAGGGTGGCCAGCCTGTCCAACTGGTGTGGCATAAAGGACATGTAGAGCTATATATCGTCAGCATAGATGTGGTAGGAGATGTCTGGGAAAGACTGAATAATGCCAGCTAGGGGAAGAATATAGATTGTGAATAGTAGAAGCCCTAGAACTGAACCTTGTGGGACCCCGCACGTTAGAGAGGCAGTATCTGAAGAGAAGGTTTCGAACTTCACTGTGAATGTTCTGTTGGTGAGATAAGAAGAGAGCCAGTCTAGAGCAGAACCTGAAATCCCAGCCAGGGCCTTTAACCTGTTTAGTAGAACGTTGTGGTCTACAGTGTCAAAAGCCATTAGAAGGCCATTATGCACCCTTACTAGAGCAGTCTCAGTTGAGTGCGCTGATTAGTTTGGTTAGCTCAGTTAGCACGTAGCTACATCGGCTCAGAGTTTGATGGGAGTTGATCATCTGCCTCCACCCTCAAAGCCCCACTCTCAGCTCATTTTTGTATTTTCCTGGAGTGACGGATGACGGTGTGGAGGGTTTGTCCGTTATATACAGTCATCGGCCACCCCTTAGGGCTCCACTGCCTGAAGTTTTAATGAATGAATGAATGAATGAAATCTTTATTTTGAACATTATAATAAAAATGAAAATAACTATTATAACAGTAGTAATAATAACAAAGTCATTGTAGATATTAAAAATAAAATCACACTGATAATCACACAAAAATTAAATTAACATATTTTGTTCGAAAAGGAGTAGGAGGAAGCTAGTGCTCATTAAATCTACCCCCCTTTTCCCATTTGTTCAAGATCAAAAGGAACAATGTCGTTCTCCTAATTCATCATAAATTTTCTATATTCATCTATAGTGAAATGGCCCATGCAAAATTGTTCCACATACCTTTTCCATTTGTCCACCACACAGCGATTAACATTCCCTACTACACATACTTACAACACACCCCATTTTCTTTTGTACACTTACACCCTCACACAACTCATTGGATCTTTTTGAGTCAAAATCCCTCTTCCTCCCTGTACCTCATGAAGACCATATTTTTGTACCATTTTTTAAATTGGGTCATACTTGGACATTGCTTTAAATCACTATTTAATTCATTCCATAATTTTACTCCACAAACAGAGATGCACTGACTTTTTACTGTTGTTCGCACAGACGGGTATTTTAAATTCCATTCCTCTCTCAAATTATATTGTTTATCTCTATATAAGAAATACTTTTGTATATTACCAGGGAGTAGTTTGTCATTAGCTTTATATATTATTTGTAATGTCAAAAATTGAACAAGGTCAGTAAACTTTAATACTCGTGATTTCAAAAACAGGTTGTTAGTATGATCTCTATAGCCCGCTTTATTAATAATCCTGATGGCTTTCTTCTGTAATATTATTATTGGTGATAATGTAGTTTTATAAGTGTTGCCCCAGACCTCTGCACAATAATTTAAATATGGTTGCACCAGTGCACAGTATAACATGTGAAGTAAATTGCGATCCAGGAAATGTTTCACTTTATTTAATATGGAAATACTTCTTACAGTTTTGTTGTGAATATGTTTTATATGTTGTTTCCAACTAATTTTATCATTCATTATAACACCCAGAAATTTACAATGATTCAACCTTTCAATAGTTACACCATCAATATTCATCACAATTTGGGTGTTTACTTTGTTATTCCCAAATAACATGTATTTTGTTTTACTTAAATTCAATGATAATTTATTTTTATCAAACCATTTTTTTACTTTAAACATTTCTGCAAAAAGTATTTCCATTAGTTTGTTTAATTTTTCCCATGAACAACAAATATTTGTGTCATCAGCAAACATTACAAACTTTAATATTTCTGAAACCTTACAAATATCATTAATATATAGAATAAATAACTTTGGACCAAATACTGAACCCTGTGGTACACCACAAGCAATGTTTACAACGCTTACATGTCCCATGGGACAGACGTAGCTCAGGAGGTCAAGTAATCGCAAGCTTACAGGTTCGATCCCGGCTCCGACCAGAGAATGCTGTTGTGTCTTTGGGCAAGTGGTCAGAGGGAATGGTGGCACCAGTGTATGGTAGGCCTCGCCTCTGTCACTGCGCCCCAAGGCAGCTGTGGCTACATCGTAGCTCATCCCCACCAGCGTGAATGTGTGTGTGAAGGACTGATTGTGTTGTAAAGCGCATTGGGAGGTTGTGGAACCCTGAGAAGGCGCTATACAAATACATTAATTATGTGAGGTGAAAGATGCCCAATTTTTAAAGTTAAGTATCTTTAATTGTCTGGTAAAAATTATTGCACGCAGAAAAAGAAATAATGTAATATTCAACGATTGTACAGAAACTAGACGGTTTTTATTTTAGATTCGCCCTTTAGAGGTGTTTTCTTTCTCATTTCTCCTCACATTATCACTCGAGGATTAACGGGGTTGCAGGTGAAAAAGACGTGGGGGTCACACATTATTCCTTCAGAGGGTCAGTCTTACTTCAAATATCCCCTCTCCTACATCTATGTCGATGAGTAAAACATAAACCCCATCATGGCACATGACTAGATTAGAGAGAATTTGGCCTTGTCACTTACTGATGAAAATGTTCACCTGAAACACGAGTCCAATTGAAATTAAATGGACTGCGTACCAATGCGATTGACTACAACTTGATATCAAGCCAGGTGGTGACGAGGGACGTTCTGATTGAGAAAGGTTACCATCGACTAGATCCCGACTCCAAGACAGGAGAAAGAGCATCCCACCTAAGAATTTGTGGGAGGAAAGGTTTGATTGAGGTCAAAGATTAATTGCAATGGCCTGACGCTGTGTTGTTGAGCATTGAGAAATTGTTTGGAGCATTTACAGCAATTAGCTTAAGAGCTATTTAAATAAATCACTTTTTTTAAAATAAAAATTCTAATAAAAATGATCACAGCTTGTGAAATGTGAAAATAACTGCTGTGTTTCATTGGTTTGGCTTAGTAACACCATTGAGAAATGGTTTTGAGTTTTTTGACTGATTTACCTAGGAGCTATTGACAAAAATTACTTGGATTGGATCTTGTGAATTGTTATAAAAACTGCTGTCTCATTGGTCTGGCGTAGTAGCATAATTGAAAAATGGTTTTGGGTATTAAAATCAATTAACCTAAGAGGTATTGAAAGAAATCACAGAATTTTTCATGAAAATCCTAATTAAAAAGATCAGATCTTGTGAAATGTGATTAAAAACTGCTGTGTCTCATCGGTCTGGCTAAGTAACGTCATTTTGAAATGGTTTTGGGTGTTTAGAGCAATTAACATAGGACCTATTGAAAGAAATCACTTTATTATTAATAAAAATCCTAATAAAAATGGTCAGATCTTGTCAAACGTGATAATAACTGCTGTGTCTCATTGGTCTGGCTTAGTAACAACATTGAGACATGTTTTTTTTTTTTACATTTAGACTGATTTACCTAGGAGCTATTGAAAAAAAATCCTAATAAAAAAGATCAGATTGTGTGAAACGTGTTAAAACTGTTGTGTCTTGTAAATGTAGTTTAGTAAAACGATTTAGAAATAAGTTTGAGTCATTTAGCAAATTATTCTGGAAGCTTTTAATTTTTTTGTACTCGTTTACAAAGGACTACAAATTTGTTGATAGTCCCTAAGCGAACCACGGTTCCCTATAGCGAGTCCTCGGAATTCAGCTAACCGCTCTCTATGCCGCTGTGCACGGCATGAAGACTTATCGCTGACCGTGTAAACCAATGTCTGTTGAATATATAACGTCCAACTTCTTGCTAACTTCACAGCGGTCCTCCACCAGACGTCTCGTGAACCCTCAATTTGAGTTCAACTGGAAGCGATTAAGAGCAACTAGGGGGTTGGAGGAACCGGAAGTTGCTAAATAAAATGCACTTAACACAAAATCTTCCTAACATTGCATTTAAGTGGTAATCGAGTTATATTTGAAATACATTTTTAGATATGTAGTGCAATGTGGAAAGACAATAATTCCTAACAAGATGGTTAGCTCTTTGGTGTCCCCCTCTTTTTCTCTAATGGTACGATCCACCATTGTGACGTTTTAAAAATTCAGAAGGTTGGCAGTTAGGGTTTACTACTCAGAGAAGAAAGTACGTTGTTGTGGAGAGGAAGAAAGGCCAAGAAGAAATTCGGGGAGCCCGAAGCGTTCGAAATAAAACATTAAACCCCACACTGCGGGCCGTTTTTCCTCCCTTGCCATTTTTTCGGGTTTTGTTTAGCTAACATGGCTTGTGGTGCTACGTTAAAGCGGTCAATGGAGTTTGAGGCCCTCCTCAGTCCTCAGTCTCCCAAGCGGAGAAGGTGCAATCCACTACCAGGGACTCAGAGCACTCCGTCCCCACAAAGATGCAACCTCCGTACCCCAGTCGACAGCCCAGCACATTCGGGGTCTCCCCAGCCCATCGGAGGCGAACACAGGCTCACTCCAGGTGTAAATCTGAAGCAAATTTGATGTTTTTTCTTTCTTTTTCCTTCCTTTCGAGGTGGGTGTCATGGGGGATGGGGTTTGGGTGGAGTGGATTGGAAAGAATCGCTATGGGGGTAGGAGGTTAAACGTTAGCTAATATCAGGAAGAGGAATGTCGTCGCTAAACGTCGCATGCTGCTTTACTGACAGTAATTTCTAACAAACGTAAAAGTGGCTCCATGGGTATTGTTAGTGGCATGTTGCCAACTTGTCTGTGTTAGCTTGTTAGCCTGGCTAATGTTGATTTGCTCAGGTAAATATCGGATTACTGTTTTATTACAAATACCTTTACTAGCTTTAGCATCGTTGTGTACACACGGCTGAAACCTGACTTTTCTCAGTCGACTCCAACCCCCTAACAAATCGTCATCTAAATTACTTATTTAAAAACTGATTGGGACAAGCAAGGGATTAAAGATTCTTAAAGATTCAGAATCTGGTGGGCCTCCAGAAGACAAATGGTATATCAGCAGCAGCCACATCTGCAGGCTGTCCAGCTAATGTTCCTGGGCTCTGTTTTCACAATTGTCTTGCATTTGAGTGGGGGTTACCTATCCTACACAACAAATTCTCTCCCTCCACAGGCCTGAGAGCTATTGTTCATTTCCTCTATGCCTATTCCCTGCATTCCCTCACTGACTTGAAAATGCAGTTCCACTCTGAGGGCTGGACGAGTGCGGAGTGCATAAGTAGACAGGGTAATTACTTAGTGCAGTTCAGTGGCTTATTACATGTGTGCTCATCAGTAAGATTTGGTAGTGGTGAGGCACAATCCTTGTTTGTTTTATTCCAGTTAAACAACGTAGTGTGTGTGTGTGTGTGTTAGTTATGGATTTGTCATTCATAGATGTGGGGAAAGAATGTACGGTATATCAAATTGAAACGGCTTTATTACCATTTACCACTATAAAACCAATGCTTATATTATTGCAGGGTTGATCGTGATCTAAGTTTGCCGCCTTGTTGTCACCATGACTATCATCTTCCTTTTAGGTCTAGAATTATGACCATTTCAGTGTTGACAAAGATATTTAAAAGGCAAATATGCACGTTTTTTGTTTGTTTTAGGTAAAAAGCTGTGCTGTTCATTCCTCATATTACTCAGGTGTTTGTTCTTGGATCCTTTTTCATATTTTACAGAGGCATTCCAAGTGCTGCATTTTGTAACCCTGCTTTGTCCTGGCTCCATTTTGGAGAATTTCTATCATTGAGAACATGCGCCTCACATTTGGATAGTTTCTGCTCTCTTTTAAAGCCAGACAACTGGAAGGTGTTTGGGAACAAAGCTGTGGACATTTGTCGAGAGCTGATTTGGGAAAACTTCTGGTACAATCTTCTCTGTTTTATACTGTATGAAGTAACTTATTTAGCATTTTTTCCCCAGCAAAATTTCAACTTGTCAGCTGCTAAGTTTATTGAATGTGTATTTGGTGCAGTTTTCTTGGGTTCATTTAGGAAAAAAGACTCAACCAGGTTTTTGTTTTTCCCATTTTTGTGATTTAATTTGCACACATCTCTTATTGAGTGTGACGTCTATTACAAAGGTCTTTCTGGATGCATTATGCCAGGCTTTAGGTGTGATGCCATAATTTCTTAAAATTACCGATAGTGTTTCCATGGTGAATTATGACATGTTTGTTTCCAAGAACACACATGGTTGAGTAACTTTAGTTTACCCACTATAGTGTTTAAAGTATAGATGTGAGCTATTAACATACATTGCCTAGCCAAAGAAAATGTCACACTAATATTTTGTTAGATTGCCTTTAGCTTTGATTACAGCACACATTCGCTGTGGCGTTATTTCAGTCACCTTCTCAGGGTATCTGCGGGTCCTTAAAAAGTCTTAAATTTGCTTTTCCAAATTTAAGGCCTTAAAAATCGTTAAAAATGACAAATAATCCTTAAATACAGTTTCCAAAGGTCTTAAATTACCAAAGACCCAATAAACAAGATTCTTTTATTTCTGTAAAATTTTCGTGAATTTCCAGTTAGTCTTCAGCATTTTTTTGTACGATATTAGCGTAAGCGGAACCGTACACATTCAGTTGGTTGTGAAAGGGGGCTATTTTAAGAGCACATTAGCTGGTTAAGCTAGTGGGAGCTTGCGCCATAGGGAAGTGCAAGTTTAATAGTAACTGGATGGTTCCACGTTCGCGACGTGGTTAGCACCTGTTCCAGGCAATAGCTGGAAATTATAGTTTAAATTACATTTTAAAAATAGCTTTAATTTGGTCAAAGTGACCTTAAAAAAGGTCTTAAATTTGACTCCCTTAAACCTGCAGATCCCCTGTTAAGGTCACAGTTTATGGACCTTAAGGTTAGGATTGGGGTGAGGGGAAGGTTAAAGAGTCGAATAATGCCCATGTGACTGCGCGCGTCAAACAGTGACGCCAGCAGAGCCACGTGACCCAGCGTGTCCCTGATCGTCGTCTCCTGACGCGCTGGGGCGTCCCGAATCGTCATATATTGACACTTGGTCACACGCGTCATATTTTGATGCCTTGGGTGTGAGAATGTGTTGGTTTAATGGTAACTGGATGGCTAATCCCACGTTCGCGACGTGGTTAGCACAGGTTCCAGGCAATAGCTGGAAATTATAGCTTAAACTTATTTTAAAAATTAGCTTAAATTTGGCTCCCGTAAACCTGCAGATACCCTGCCTTCTGCAATGTCACAAGATTTATTTCCATCCAGTGTTGCATTAATGTTTCACCAAGATCTTGCATTGATGATGGTAGAGTTTGACCGCAGCACAAAGCCTTCTCCAGCACATCCCAAAGATTCTCAATGGGACTCTGTAGTGGCAATCCATGTGTGAAAATGACATCTCATGCTCCCTGAACCACTCGTTTACTATTAGAGCCCGATGAATCCTGGCATTGTCATCTTGGAATATTCCAGTACCATCAGGGAAGATGGAATAACCTGGTCATTCAGGATATTCAGGTAGTCAGCTGACCTCATTTTTGGAGCACATCCTGCTGCTGAACCTAGACCTGACCAACTGCAGCAACCCCAGATCATAGCACTGCCCCCACAGGCTTGTATAGTAGTAAGATCACTTCATCTGCCTCTTTTCTTACCCTGATGCATCATCACTCTGGAACAGGGTCCATCTGGACTCAGACCACTTTTTAATAAAAGGAATGCGACAGACAGGAACTGAACTGTCAGTTAAAAGGGTAAAAACAAAGCCTTTACTGCTCTGTGTATATATAATAAGAACCAAGTACAAGTGATTCAGCTGGTTTAGTCTTGTCCAGATGTTTTGTCACACTGCACATGTTTGATGTAGTTAAACCAGATCAAGTTTGAGCTTAAAGGTTGTGAATCCTCTGGCAAGTTTCTTTTTAGCCTGTCTGAGTGAATTAAAGCCACAAACGCTACAAACTGAAAGTCATGGAGATTTCACCCTGTTCAGTGATTTTGGCTGTCTTGTGAAAGGGAGTGTCAAATAAACCCGGTTTTTCGGATGTTTAGTTAATTGAGAGCAGTTCAGCATTGGTAACAGGTCAGCTGATCTTTCTTCCACCATGCTGTACACACATAAGCTTAAACCCTGGTTTATACTTCTCTGTCTATTTTGGTATGGAGACACGTAACGCCTTTATGTGTCGACGCAAGGGCTCTGGGGCAGACCCACAGAGGGTGACAGATACATGCCTAATTTTGTAAATGTCCGTCTAGAGTTGTCACGGTGTGAAAATTTAACCTCACGGTTATTGTGACCAAAATTATCACGTTTTTCGGTATTATCGTGGTATTTTTTAAAACGTGTTACATTTTCAGACAACTAAATAAACCCTGTATATCAGGAAAATATTATTAGGGCTGCAACTAACGATTATTTTCATAATCGATTAATCTGTCGATAATTTTTTCGATTAATCGGTTTGTTATTGTTTAGCTATTTAACCTATACAAGTGATGAATAAATTTCAGTTAAGAAAAAGAAAAACATAAGAGAATTGTGCAGTTGACTGCAATCTATTTTATTGCACATGAACACAGTCAGCGGTGTAAAATGAGCTAAACAGTGCAAAATATCAGTCCAGAATAATTTTTTGGCATCAAAATATAAGAGGTAAATTCCATAAAAAATAATGTAGAATCTGGAATAGAGTTTGTAAGTGGTATGCATTGCTGGGGGTGAGTGTCTTGTTCCCCATGTAGTTGTCCATCGTTGCTTGTTTTTTTCTGCATAAGAAACACAAATAAACTGAATTAAGTACACATATAAAATAAAGCAGCACACACACTACAACACTAAATCAATATTACATTATTTGAATTAATTAACAATATACAGTGATCATTTATTTAGACAAAAATGTGTTGTGAGGCGTTTTACGGCGTTAGATAGTAAAACAGCCTTTTAATAGTTAAAAAAAGGACTTTCTGAATTTCTCCTGTATTTAAAAATTGAAAGCGTACAACTATGCCGCGTTATATTCACCTGGACACAGCTCGTCTGTATATTTTTCTCTGCGGAGTTGTCCTTTTTTGAATGAGGAACATAGTTATGGGTTTGTGCCGTTTTTCTCTTAACGAGAACATTCTTATAAACAGACGTGCTAAATTTGGCAAGCGCATGATTCACAACACGGAGGAGATTCATGATTGCATCTAGTCAATCAGAAGTAGAACACCGTAAACTGACGCGGCAAAAAAAAACATGTTTAACATCCACTATAACGAACTCAGCTAACACTAAGTCCCAAATGTGATCTGCGTTAGCTTGTTTATTTTCTGTTACTTACCGGACATTCCTCTGCTGCATCAGCCCCCACGTTTTCGTCTCAAATGTTCACTTAGGGACGTCGTGCTTCCGTCGTGCCATGGTTTTTGCATATTTTGCAGGTCACCGGTCTTTTCAAGGCATCTAGTGAAGTGCTCCCATACTCGTGAGGTTTTTGTCCGGGGTTTCTCTTGTTTTGTCGCTTCTATTTTTCTTCCGTAT